ATGTTAGAGAAGAATCCTATCATTAGTGCAATGGTTAATAGTTATGTCTAGAACTGGATCTACGTTCGTGTGATGGTTAATAGAACTGAAGAGAACAGTTCGTGAATGAGGCTTTGTTATAAAAGAGTTGCTATTAGAATAATATATAAGGAGAGTAGAATCCATAAGATGATATATATTAGTATTACTTATAATATATGCATAGTTAGACTAATCTTCAGTAGTATACATAAGTAAAGATCTAGAAGTATAAAGATATAAGATATCTAGAGATATCACAATATATTACTATTTAGGTAAGTTCCATTACTAAGTTATTACTAATCAGAGATTTACTAGTTGAATGGGATTCATATCTAAAAATATACAAGGAACAGGTCCCTTGGCCCAGTTGGTTAAGGCGTGGTGCTAATAACAAGATCAAATGATCGACGTTGTAACGCCAAGATCAGCAGTTCGATCCTGCTAGGGACCATATACCTTGTTTTTTGATGATTCAAAATTTTGGATTTTTTTTTTGATTTATGAAGCTAATATTTTTGGTTATTATACAAGTTTTACTAGGTTAGCTGATACAGATGGCAATATGGACAAATTGGTCTGAGATCTTATGCCTAAAAATTTCAACAGCATTTAAATATTATTGACAATAGAAGATCAAATTTACAGAACTCCCAAAGAGACACATGATATATGATCTATGTGAACGTTCCGAAGAAATTATAACGTCTTTCATCTTTGAAGTTGATTCTAGGTTTCTTAATCATCAAACTGAAGTTTCTAACCGGCCGATTAATTTAAATAATATATGATTATTATCACTGTCAGAATTAGACCATGGAAGCCTTGTAGTTGTGTATTCAAGTTCTCTACGTGATTAATTAAGTTCGATATTTTGGTTGTGGATTTGTTATGATCAGTGACATGATCAAATGTGGCTACATATATATGTATTGGGTGTGATAATAATGTAATTATGAATAGAGTTGTAACTGCACCGCTAATTTTCGGATAAACAACCTTTCATAATTAAGCAAATATTGGAGCGCTAATATTGGAATATCGGGCATGAGATTGACGTCTTATATTAGACCATGAGCGAGCCAATTTTATAATGGTATAATACAGTATAAGTGAATGTATATAACAACTTAACCTTCATAACAGTACTTTCGTTAATCTATATACATTAATGTCTTCATTCTTAAATTTTCCTCATATATATATATCTAGTTAAATGTACCCACACGGCTCATAGTTAATCCATACGGATAAATAATCAATATTCGATCTCATAATATTAACCTTCACATGACCAGCATGATTGAACTAGGTATTCTCATACCAATTGAGTTTTCTGTAATTATTATTCAGGAGAGGCTATATAGTGCAGCTGCATAATTGACGCTAACACATATATTCATCAACTGATTTAATCTGATACGCTCAACTTTCAAGTATCGAGGATATTCAATAAAACTAGTAGCATAGTAAAAGAAGAATATTAAAGAGAATATATTGACAATGATAGGTACCTAATATTCTTGTATTTATGGTGATTATTAACTAGATATCAATATTTATAACAAAAATTGGCCCATATATCAATCAACGTTGAAACTAGATAAGCACGCCTCACCTTATATTAAAGCTAATGATCCAATAATTTTTCATGATCATGAGTCCATACCATATCTTTATAGCACTAAATTCAAAGAAGAATTGAAGCCCTATAAGAGTAATTTGGTACTATGAGGGTCGAGGGTTTCTAAAATCTATATCAACGATGCTAAATAAATATATCTGACTAGCTGACTAGCTGAAAAAGTCTAATAGTCCAGCTCCCAGTAACCAACTACATAACTATATGTATATCAATCATAAGTATATATATGGAACTCACAAAACTTCATATGATAAATATACTATTTTTAGAATTACAACTGATACATCATTAGTTATGCCTTCCTATAAATTCTGGATGTCAGTTTCAGATTCAAGTAATTGATATTGATCACCCAAATTAAAGAAGCTCAATGTACTAGCAGATGAATTAGATAAGAGGCTTAAGATGGCTCATGAATATATTCTATATTCTCTTGCTTCAAATTGTAAGTTGGTCAAATTCAAGAAGTAAGCTGTTGCTTGTCACTTTAAAGACTCATGCAGAGCAAATCTCTTATCGTCGGAATTTCGCAGTTTCGTTGCAGCGAATTTTACAAGATGATTTTTTCAAAAAGGAGTTTAAGTTTTCTTCCCCTGGCAACGAATCCAATGTCCATACAACAGATACTACATACTACTACAATTTGATAAGACACAAGCTAGAAATAATAGTTTATTGAATTGAATCAGCTTCTCAACAATGCCATTGGTGAATCACAGACAGCGCCCCAAGAAAGAACCTAAAAGTCCTACAAAGAACAAGGCGTCAAAAAACCCTCAAACTACAAAGCTCAATTTTGAAAAATTTGACAGGGTTAATCTTGATATGTTCAACGTCAAGCCCTCTCAACGCTCTTCAACCCCTAGAACATATACCAACGATGATGATGGTGTGAATGAATTGTCGTCAAGTAAGAGTTCAAGAGCTCCCAAAGAACAAAAGAAGACCGTGAAGAAAGGAAGAAAATCAACTACTTCATATGATCAGAGTTCAAGTCCTAGAACACCTTCAAAGAAATTGGACACTTTAACCATAGGTTCAAATAGCCCAGATAGCTCTCCTCTTGCCTCAGATTCTAGGAAGAACCTGTCTAAATCTCTTGATAGTCTCACCAAAAAAGACACTGCTGCTAGTGATGAAGAGGACATCAAAATAATCAGTCATCATAAACCACAAACTCAATCCTCAAACCACAGCTATAATCAAGAAGAATTAGATGAAAGGCAAGCTGCTATCAAAGAAACAGAAGATCAGATCAGAATCTTGATTACGAAACCAATTACCCTTGAGGAAAAGATCAAAATTTTGAAGAAGGACGAAGAAGAACACGATAGGCAGTTTGAACAAAGTAGACGTTTCCAACCAAGTCTTCAAGAGATGTTTGGCTTGGGTGATATTGGTATGGTTTACGTAGAGCCAGATCCAGAAATCAATGAAGAATATGTAAAGAAATACGAATCTGAAAATGGTAAAATTTCACATCATGTTCCTATAATTGAATTTGAATTATTTGAAGGAATAGAAGTGGCAAGTGTTTCATCAAGGAGACCCGGTGATTGTGAATATTTAGAGCGTCAATATTCAGTGAGAACTATTGAGCAAGTTTTAGAATTAACCGTTAATGACATTATAAGAGAGAAATATCTTATTTACATCAAAAATGTTAAAATTAACCCAAAATTCATAAGAGATACTGAGCGCCATTTGAAGACTTTTCTCAACACGAATATTTACAAAGGATGTCCAAATGATGGTAAAAAACTTGACGGTAATTTCAATTATTGTGAAAAATGCGGGCGTACAGTTAAACCAAAGGACCATTTCAAGCTTAAATTAGAGTTTTATTCAATCACAAATCCTCAATCAAAATTAAAGGTAACTGTATTTAATGATGTTGTGGAGAAAGAAATATTTCCATGGGCCGAGTTATCTGCTAAGAATATCAATATTGGACTTCAAGGAGATAATTTGAAATATTTAGAAAAATTAAAGCCATATTTTGAAGATTGTGCTTTTGATATTATGATGACAACAAAAAAATTTAAATCGTATGGGAGGGAAATATTATCTCATACGTTGGATCATATGGAACGCGTTTCTTGAAATTTAAATATTGATAGCAAGGACATTATCGATCAAAGCTAAATATTGATCTATTATGATTTTGTATTACTGATTGTTTTTTTATTGATATTTAATATACAGCTGGTATGTATATGAAATTATTACGTCGCCACTTTATGATCTTATTACGTAAAAGAATTGATAAAAATTAAATAAATATTAGTATTATAATAAATCTAAACAAGGAAAGAACTATTGTCTGTCGAAAACGACCAGATCATCAATTTGATTTATTTTCTATTCATAATTTCATCATATAACATTTTCTTCAATTCCGGAACTGAAAGTTGATCTTTAACTTGATCAAATTCGAAAAATTCTTTTGGAATAGGTGGTGCATCAGGTTCATCAGTTGGGTCATGATATGTGGTTAAGTATGGATGTTCAAGAGCTTCAGCAACAGTAATTCTTTTTCTTGGATCAAATGTTAACATTTTAGATAATAAATCAATAGCTAATGGATTTGCATAAGGTAAGATTCTTTCAAAAGGAACTTTTTTATAAAATTGTAAAGATCTAATGTACTCTCTTGCTCTTTTGGATTTTATACTCTGATAATCTTCACCAGTTGGAGTACCAAGAACTTGAAAAATCAAAATTAATTGATTTCTATAATCTTTACCTGGAAATAATGGATTTCCCATCAATAATTCAGCTAATATACACCCGACAGACCAAACATCAATAGCTGTGGTATATTTTGATGCAGTTAACATGATTTCTGGAGCTCTATACCATCTTGTAGCGACATATTCGGTCATCATATTAATATTTTTATTTTCTGGAGAGTTGGCATAATTGCCTTGTTTTTGTTCATCTATTCTTGCAAGACCAAAATCACAAATTTTCAAATCACAATTAGCATTAAGTAATAAATTTGAAGGTTTTAAATCTCTATGAATGACATTTGCACTATGCAATGCTTTTAAACCTCTAAGAATTTGGTATATGAAATATTGAACATGATCATCTGTCAATCTTTGTGATATTATAGCTCTATGTAGATCTGTTTGCATTAACTCTTGAATGATATAAACTTCATTGAAGTCATTAAAACTCCCAGGTCTTTGAATGTCAAAAATTGATATGATATTTTCATGTTTGAAATGTCTCAAAAGTTTGATTTCTCTAAGGGTACGAACACAGAATAATGATCTTTCAAATGGTTGAATCTTTTTGATGGCAACTTTTGTGTTTGTTGGTTTATGTACTGCAAGACAGACAACACCATAAGCACCTTCACCTAATAATTGTTGGACTTCGAATGAAGTAGAAATGTTGAATGTGATTCTTTTTTGACCCATGATTGATTATGTTTGTATGATATATGTTTTTGAATGATAAGGTATTATGAAGAAGCGAATTATATGCTGAGTGTATAATAATAGTATAGTCTTTCAAAAGCAGTTAATGATTAAAAGATTTTGGCTTTATTATATCCTTTTCCCACAGACACTCTATGATACAATGGTGTAACTAAGAACCGTAGCAACAGGTTTGAAGGTGAATCAGAGGACTCAACCTCATTTTTCCAAAGGGATGAGCTTTAATTTCAGCCCACATATTCTTTGATGGCCTCAAAATATCTTCACGCTAATCAAAGAAGCGAAACATCTGAAACTACGTGCATATGTAAGTAATGTATCAAAAAGAGATGGCCTCAAAAAGTTTACTCAAGGAGTCGAGCATAAAACACATTCGCGCATAATAAATCTCTATTGTGCACAGTTTCAGATTGAAACAATAAGATAAGAAGAGCTAAAGAGCTAAGGGATTTGAACCAATGTTGGGAAACGCAGAAGGATGGAGGTCCCCTGATCACTGATGGTGTTCATTTCCAATATGGGATACTATAAGATACTTAAAACCTCCAATTATCACTTCACACGATCAAAATGTGTCTTTTTCCGCGAAATCTGGTGATGAGCTACAAATTTTTTTTTCACTGTTTACAATTTGAAATGATAATTAGTGTATTATTGTTGCAAACTAAAATAAATCTGAATACTGTGGAGACTTGACGAGATGAATACGTTTGGGAGAATACCTGGGATGCGGTACTTATCCAGGAGTCTAATATTCGCAAAACAGGGGCCTTTCGGACTCCCCAGTGGATCTAGTCGTAATGTCTTGATCTTACCAAAGAGAAAGAATTCACCAAGATCAAAGAAAATAACGAAAAAAATAAGGACCACAGAAGCCTACAAACCACAACCTCCAAGCAGAGAAGCTATTGAGCTAGAAAAGAAAATTAAAGAGTTGAATGAACAAACAAGATTGATCATTTCAAGGATAAAAAAAGCCGAACAACAAAGTTTAGCAGATAAAGTTAAACAAGCTAGTCAAAATATTGAAGGAAACAATGAAGACATCTCAAGTGATGTTGATGTTATTTATGAATCTATTAGTCAAAGTTCAGGATCACCACTGGGTGATAGTATTGATCCATTTTTGATTGGTGATGGTAAAAATGAATCAAAAGAAATTAAATTATTTGATAGACCTGCAAAAGGTATTGATGTTCCACAGATAATATTGGATAAGATTGGAGATGACGTGAAGAATATTGTTTCCAAAGATCATCAAAACTGGGATGAAGTTATCAATTCATTACAAAAAGCAGAAAATAGATTGAAAGATTTGAATATTAATGATTTAAATAAATTCACATCAGAAATTCCTAAAAGTTCATTAAGTGTCAAATCAATCATGGTATACTATGATCTTTTACATGAAGCTTTAGAATTTGGAAAATTACATCGCAATCATTATGATTTCTTTATTAGAGAATTGGCTGATAAAGGTGAAATCACATTAACAGAATCTTTTTTTCAACAATTACTCACAGATGGTCAAGTACCAACCAAATATATTTATTCATATATGATTGATCTTTATTCCAAGGATAAGAACCTTGAAAAAGTCAACCAAGTACTTCAGGTTATGAATAAAAATAATGTTAACCCAGGATTAGTCGTTTACTCTGAAATATTACAGCTTTGTGCTGATTTGAAAGATGCCAAAAGAGCTGATGATATATTTCAAATGATGAAATTCAAATCTTTAGAAACAAAACCAGATATTACTGCATATAACATCATGTTATTGGTTGCCTTAAAAGAACAAGATGTATTAAAAGGTCTTGATCTATATAATGAAATTATACTAGATCCAACCTTAGAGCCAAATCTCTTCACATTAACATGTTTAGCTAATATCTGTTCCAAAAAAAAGCAATACTTATTGAAAGGTTGGGATTTCATCAATGAAATAAATGAAAGAAGACTAGTTCCAGATATCAAAACATTTGAATCCATGCTGAGATTATCAGCTAAAGATGGTGATTTGGAACTTGCAAGAACTTTATATTTAACAATTTTCCAAATGAGAACTGATTCACCAACAGCAGGTGGTCCAGCGTTTGCATTTTTAATGATGGTTTATAGAGATTATAAACCTGGAAAGATTCCATTAATGCAACAACATGAAAATGGTGACCAAATCAGAAGAAACGCCCTTGGATTAGCTGACTTGTTAGGTTTAGAACAACAAAATTTAGATGAAGTGAACCAAAATAAGAGACCACCACTGTTACCAATCCCAATTTTAAGAAGTTCAAAACAAATCATTGCTGAATCAAATGCCGTTTGGTATTATCATTTATTAAATGAGCCAGAAACATCATTCAACTTACACAATTTGATTACATATTTAAGAATTGCAGTTGAACAAGGTGACAAGGAAGAGTTTATGAACAGATGGAATCAACATACCTTTGCTAATCCCGAGATCAACGCTACAGGAACAATAGAAATATTGAATGATGATGAAAGCTCAAAAAGTCGAATCACACTAGAACAAGATGATTTATTTGATGAGACAAAGGATTTATCAATTTCTGATATCGATGAAACACCAGCTGCTATAAGAATGTCAATGAAGAAAAACTTCAAGTTCGAAAGAGAATCCAAACTTTACATCACTTTATTATCTGCTGGTAGAAGATTCAAAGATACTGAAATGTGTGAAATGGCATGGATTGAAAGAGGTAAATACAGAAAGACAAAAAGTTTCAAATCATTAGGTGAAAAAGATAAATCCAAAAGAGATTTTTATGATTATAAATTTGCACAGGAAATGGTTTATTCTTTTACCGAACTAGGATTATTAGATGACGCAGTTAGAATCGTTCAATCTACCAAAAATCAATTTGATTGGACTTTCTATGTCTTGAAACCATTATACATCGAATTACAAACAATTGAAGATTATCCAAGTATGAGAATTATCAGTGCAATTTGTAACACTAGAAAGGGTAAGATTTTACCAGGAATGTTGAAACCACAGGTTATGTCACATTTAAAAGATAAATATAACAATTGAGTTTTCATTTACTGAAAAATATGAAATCATGGAAAAGGCCCTGTTAAAGGACCGATTTCTTTTGCATACGAATTTAATGACTTACATATGAGAAGAAAGAAGCATATTACTTGTACATAGAGAAACAATCAATGTAAATATGGTATAAATAGAGGATATTATATATATATATATATGGTTTTAATAAAGACCAGAATGTTAGAGATCTAAAATACATCTTTGAATAGCACGTACGTCTCATGAATTTCGCGACTAACGTACTCACCAGAAAGTATAAATGTTCTGCGTAAATCAATTACGAGATACACCCTTTAGCATATTGAAATTTGAGACCTTCTATTTTAGGCATTTGGCGTAATAGATAAAAGAACTACTATACTGCAAGACATCCAATCGTAATCATTCAACTTCTAATTAGACTTGAAGGACCCCAAGAGATCTGAAAGTATTCAAAGAAGACTTTCGATACAAGTACACAGGTGCACCTGAATATTTTGTGCTACTTAAGGAATCATCGGGGACTTGCGTAGCTTTCTTTTATGAGAAACGTTAATAGTACTGAAGGTTGATCGAATATACTTACCATATGTTGCATCATCACAGGACATCGTGGTGTACCTGCCATGGAAAATTAAATTGAAAATATTCAGGAACAAACGATAGTCTGTTTATGGTTTCATAAAGCAGCCTATAAATTGGAAAGATCAAGAACCAAGATGTATATCGGCCCCAGATTCAACAACTGAGAGAGATATGCGACACTTATTACAGTTGGAATAAGTGAATACACACTGCACAGCTAGTTGAATCGTAACTTATCTTAAGATCGTAATCAGTTTTGACTCTCGATATCTTGACCCCTGAGTCCTGAGTCCTAACTCTTGATTCTCGAACCAGACCTACTAACACTCTACCGTAAAGCCCTCAGCCTAGATAGTAGACAGTGAGCAGCTACTGCAATTTATATTACAATTTACGACCTTGGTTTGTGTTAATTAGTATTATAAACTGCCATTAATCTTCTTTCGTGTATTCTTGAGCGCTGAGATAACTGTAATTAGACTGTTGGTTCCTGAAAATTTAGACCTGGGTCCTGGATACCTGGATGGATCTGAATTTAACACTTTATAATTGAAAGATAGCTCATGATAGAGCTAAAATCAGACAAGGACTATGAATTTAATTCGAAATTAGTCGATCGAACTAGAAAAGAGGCTCAGATCAAAAGCAAATGGGAAAGGAGATATAAATTCACTGGTCGTACCGAGATGGTACCATAGGTACACAATATTATATGAATAGAATGCTTTACCTATTATTGTCCTTGCCTTAAGGAATTCATTCAACAGGTTATATATGTGAATGTACAGGATTCCAGGTAATTAGCCAGGTTGAACCCCTTTCAAACCATGAGAAATGTTTAAGCCTTTCAGGTTTCCAGTGGAAGAATCTCAACATGGTCCATTTTTGTCCTAGGAGTCTTCCCGATTTGGCCTCAGCAAGTGCTTTGAACGAAAAAATGAATTGTTGCCGGAGACAAAACGCAGAATTTTGCAGTGTTTCGCGTCATTGAAGTAGTAATTAACAACTGATTACCGGGCAACACCGCCCGAAAGAGGAAATTCTCATACAAAGATTAAACTTTTTCACAAAGTCAATTGGCTGGTTCAGACAGTATTCGCAGACACATAGTCCAAATCGACTAAAAATAAACTTCGTTTAGAAAAAATTAGAATAAGACAAAAAGATTCTGTAGATTATCTTAAGGAAAAATTGCCTTTAAAACTATTTTCAAATTGATTTATAGCTTTCGAAGAACTTACACTCATTACATCTTTCGTTGTTGTTTTGGTAAAGGGTCCTCTCGTCTTCGTGAAAACCCTTCTATAGCTTTTTTCTTGCATTCTTCTGCTGGCTTTGTTAGATATTTGGACACATTTTTTTAATACATTGTGGTTGCATTCAATTAATTAAGGAAGCTGAACATACTTCATCTAAACCATTCTTAGATAAAGACTTATTTTCATTATTATAAAGTACTCAAGAACATTCACTGAAGAAATTTGGGAATCAACGTTTTTATATTTTTTTATATATCATTGGAATAGGGAAATTTTTCGTTTGACAAGACAAAAAGAATTTGAAATATTAATATTCATTTAAAAATAGTCAAAAACACATACCATTACAATCAACTAGCTAGAGATCAATTACATAAACCGGGAAGGTTAATTAAAAATCAGCTGTCATATAAAATAGATTAAATTTAGAAAGCATACACAGGATGGCAACATTTCCATCATTCAAACAAGATGATTATTTTCAAACACAGAGGACAAATTCCATCTCAAGTGGATCTAATCATTCAATTAATTCAACTTCAAATATGTCAACAATGAGTACAGCTTCCCATGTTGTGCCTCGTGGATCTTCAACTCAAGACTTACTGTTCATGGAATCAAAATTCTCAAAACCTTCAAGATCAAAACCACAGTTTAAAACTTTTCAAAATCAAAGTTCAGTAACTTCATTAAATGGTTACGTGTTACCACCTAGGATACCAAGATCATCAAGTGTACCTTCTGTGCCAAAGCTTATACCTGAAAACCCATCAGAGAGACCTGGGCTACCTACAAGATTTCATCCTGGTTTGAAAACATCAAATTCTATGCATCATGTTCCAGCTTATAGAAGACAATCCTTAAAAGCAGCATCTGAATACAACAGAAGCTCACTTTCTATTCAACAGCCCACCGAAAAGAACCAGAATCAGAATCAGCAACCTGTGCAACAACCCTTACAACAACAACCATACAAACGTCGTCATAGTGCAAGACCTGGTTTCCATAATGCACCATTTACTTTCCCAAATGGAGAAGTTTACACACCAAGAAATAAACAACGAAATTCTCAACCTAATTTCAGAACATTCACTCAAAATCAAAACAATACAGGTATTCATAGGAATTCATCATCTCCTTCATTGACTTCACAGCATCAACAACAATTCCAGGTATTTAATCAACAAAGACAACACCCCCAAAGAGCAGTCCCTAGACAACAACCACCTCCTTTGCCGCTACAGACTAAAACAGCACCTCAGCAGATACAAAAACAGGAGCAATATATCACAGTGCCTGATGCAAACAGTCATCGCTCAAGTACTAATTCACAACACACTGAACAGGATTTAGCGTTGTTGACTACAGGAAGTAATAGCTTCTCATCTTCACCAAGTCCCTCAAGAACCTCAAGAACCAACAGCAGTGTCAATGAAAGTACCCCACCATCTTCAATAGATGATCTTACTCTACATACAACTATCAACAATATCAATGGTGGCAAAGCAGAGTTATCACAATTACCACCACCTCTACAACAATTAGACTCCACAGGTAATTTAGGCAAGATTGAAGAACATGAAACTAAAAGTTCTACTCCAACAAGTGATTCTACGCAAAGCCAAAGTACTTTGGATGCTGTTAATGGTAGTACTGGACAAATGAATAAGGAAAATATTGAACAACCAGACCATGAATTCCTTAAAGAACAATCAAAAGCTAGAGCTAATGCCCAACGTCAACCAAAATTATCAAAAGCATCAGATACAGTCACTCCAACTATCACAGTCTCACAAGTCCCACAAGTCCCACAACAAAAGAATTTTCCAACCATTGCAAAACCTCAAGTCAGTGCTGTTAATGCACCATCAAGTTTTAACAATAATAATCACTCAGAAGCAGCTCCACAAAGAAAACAATCTGTGTTGAAGCGTATATTTTCCAAGGTTTTCACATCTTCAGATAAAAAAAAACTATCATCTTCAAAGTTTTCGTTGAAAAAGAAATCATCTCAAGCTACATTAAATATTAAGGCTCCATTTAGACCTGAGTTACCAACCAGATCCAAAACTGAACCACATTTACCTCAAACTGAAATTAAAACAGAAACACCACCGCCATTACCAAAGATTTCAACTTCAGATAATGTCAATGATGTTAAACTAACTACTGAACCTGATACATCAGATGTTTTCTCTTTTATGGATGGTGACGAAGATGAAGGCATTAAAGTTGAATCTGAAGAATCAAGTACAAAAGAATTCAAAAGTGAGTTAGTTTTGGATAAATTGTTTTCAAAATTATCAACAAATGAATCATCAGAAGAAGTTTTCAAAAAGATCACAAATGGAGAGAAAAGAACATCTCGAGTTTTAGAAGAAGATAATGTATCTAAGAAACCTGAAAGTTCATTAGAAAACAAGAAGATTCGTGGTACAATTAACCCAAAAGCATCATCTGAAAATTTGAAACCACAAGATCCAGAAGATTATACCATCCAATTTGATGATATGGAATTTATTGACAAAATTATTGAATATGGTGAAACACCATTTCCAAATTTGAAGTCAACAGATTTAGGACAATCAGAGCGTAAATTACAAAGAACAAGATCAATTGAACGTAAGAAGTCATTAAGATCTGTTAGTTCATCATCTGGAAGACAATTGGATGAAGTGATTGCAAATTCTGATAAAATATTACAATCAAAAAGTGATACTCACCATATTCAAGTGATTTATTCCAACACACCAAAAGATCCATTATCAATGATTAAAACAAGACCTTCAATTTTGAAAAAGAGAAGAAATCAAGGTTCAATACATCAATTTTCCAATAGTAATGGTTCTAATAATTCTTCAACATCATTATCATCAACTTCTGCAAATTTATCCTCATCAAATAAGAAAGTCGGTTTCACAAATCAAATTTTTGTTAATAATACCTATCCCTCATACATTTATAATCGTCATTCACGTTCATTATCAAGTTATTCATTAAGCTTTCAATTGATTCAACAAATTCGTCATGAAATGAATGATTTCAAAAGATCAATGACAATTCATGAATTAAGTAGAGGTAATACTCATTATTTCCGTGCATAATTTCAAGTATTTCTCTCATGAGTATATTGATTGTTTTTCAAATAGTTATAAAATTTAGTTATATCTTTTTTTTTTTAGTTTTAATTAAGCCGCTGTTTTTTGTTTTTTTAGCCCCTTGGTATAAAGTTGTGGATAATAACTGGTTGTTTAATTATTGATAGTTTAGGCCAGCCAAAACAACTTTTACCCATCACATTTTCAATTCTCATATACATATACTTTTAATGATTCTTATATATTTATTTACGCTTTCAATTATATCTTGTCGAAATTACGTAGTTACCAAATTATATGACTTTCAAAAACGATCGACAGAACATTTTCAAAATTATAAATATTTTGTAATACTATAATTGATTCCTAAATATAGAGCTCTCCAATATATATTTTAACATGATATATAATTATTCGATATATATACTTGAGTACTATGGTACTAGTACAGCCTGTTCCATTCCTGGTGCCCAGCCGTATTCTCTGGACACACGTTCTGATCTTATATATAATATTACGGATTTAATTTCCATAGTTAGTGGTTATTCAACCTAATAATAGCTCTACTATTTTTAGAGAATATTCAGTGATTTTAGAAGATTCATAAAGAGATCACAATGCATTGGTTTTAAGTAATCCTAGCAATTACTCGAGTTATAGATTACACAGCCAGTTTGATTGAAAATCATAACATAAAACATACATTAAAAAGCAGATGAACTAAAAAAAGACGTTAACAGGGGTTTTATTAGCATTAAATTTAACTCAACGGTAGAAATCAGGTCTATTAACATTCAAACCATACTCAGATAATGCACTACTCAAGTCATCCATTGTTAACACAACTTTTTTAGAACTATTACCAGAAGTTGAAGTACTTGTTTGTTCACCTCTAGTACCAGCAACCAAAGCCTTAGCTCTGACTTGTGGATTACTTGAGTTGTAAACTGTTGATGATGATCTTATACGTGAATATTCATATGCATCTGTTGCTATATCTGATATGAATTTTTGAGTTGCAAGAGCAAGTATTCTTTTTCTATTATGGAAATTGTTAGTAAGGATCTTAACCAAAAGGACCAATGAAACTTACATTCTTGTATCATCACAGTCTAATCCATTCTTTGCTAAATAGTAATCTGTTACAGAGTCCGGAATCTATATTTTAACTGTTAATTTATGTGATTTTTGATTGAAAAGAAAAACAAACTTCCAACATACTATAGGATAATAATCTTCCATCATTTCTAAAATCTCATGTAATGTTTTATCTTTTCTTGTGAATTCAGGTAATTCAGGTATGTTTACCTTTGGAGGTTTTGAATTATCTTCATCTTCATCCAATTCTTTTTCATCTTCTGGACCTTTACCATTTACTTTTTCACTATTGTTTATCGTATCTTGAGCATTTGATCCATCTGCTGCATCATCAAAGATAAGATCATCTTCAACATCGACATCCATTTCATTGTCTTCGTTCCCACTCTTCGGTATATCTTCAGACATTTTGATTATAACTTTTTGCTGTTCTTCTTGGTTTAGCGCTGTGTCATTTACCCACTTTAAACCACTATTATCATCATCTCTTTCAAAATCTTAAAGCTCAGAATTCGCGAAGCTAAATTCAAAGACGCGAATCTCAGTCTACGCTTACATAATCTGAGCTGTCTATACCGGTCAATCCGAGGCGGTTCGGGCCATATTTGTGTTCCTACTTTAAGTAATTGTAGAGCAAAGTTCAAGAATTATGGCTATACACATGACACAATATTTAGATATTATAGCGATATAGCCCGCAAATTTAAATGGGATGGAATGGGCAATGACATCAGATATCCCCTTTTTGGTGTGCATGATATTCAATTTTAGAAAAGTATAAAAGAGCATGGATTCCCAATTAACTTTCTGAACTTTAACTATCCCTTTTTTTTCATCATAGAAGAACACACTTTTATATTAGAACAAATTTATACAATGCAATTGAAAAACTTAGTTATCTTATCAACCGTCTTTGCCGTCGCTGCTGCTCAATCTAGTTCAGGCTCAGGTTCAGGCTCAGAATCAGGTTCATCTGGTGGTTCATCTTCAGGTGGTTCTTCAGGTTCATCATCTTCAGGTGGTTCAAGTGAATCAGGTTCATCATCTGGTGGTTCAAGTGAATCAGGTTCATCCTCAGGTGGTAGTGAATCATCAGGTTCAAATGCTGCTGGTTTAAACATTGCTGGTACTGGTGCTATTGGTGCTGCTGTTGCTGCCGGTGCTGCTTTATTGATGTAAGATTACCCAAAAGATCTTTATATCAAATGTATTCTACAGGTAGGAACATGAAAGCCTTTTGCATATGAACTTATGAGTTTTTTTAATTTTAATATTTGAGCTATTTTGGACTGTCACTATATTGATTTAATACACAGTTGTTTTTATATACTATAAGCTAATTGACAACCAATTGAGATTCGTAGTTAAACTCTATAGCCAAGTAATCAATGCATAGGGAAACTGAGCTAGATGCTCATAAAAACCTATTATTGACTCAATTGAGATAAGAACTGGAGCATATTACTACCTTCTGGTTAAAAGTGACCCTGGTGAGTCGTGACCCTTATAGTCAACGAGTCACGACTGAAATTGGGATTTTGCTAGATTGCCCCGCGAACTCATGCGCTAGATTTGACGTATGAGGTGCATACATAATTCTGTTACAAGTACCTACTCGATAAGATATACAAAGTTGCTATGTTATTTAACTCTTTATAATGATATTAATTTATACATCCCATTCATCAGCTTTTATAGAATTATCTAAGAATGGATCGTCTATGGTATCAATTTTTAAATCACTGCATAATGGACATCTTTTACATAACAATGCATCAACATCAGGACTGTTAATAAATTTCGATCCTGGCTTTTGATTATCATTTCTTGATGCTAAAAACTTCTTTTGTAAAAATTCTAGTTTCTTCTTTGTTGAATAATCATTGGATTTGGAAATTTCTTTAATCAAACAATCTGAATGAAAAGCATGATTACACGGAAAAATGAAAAATTTTCTTGAGGTTAATAAAAATTCACAAATTGAACATGATTCACCTGATTTAATCACTTGTGATTTATTTTTATATGTTTCAATCTCTTTTGTGATATTTTCATTTATAGCACCCGATGAATTCATATCAATTGATAATTTATTGATCAAGGTACCAAATTTCTCTAAATCAGCACATATTTCGTCTTTCAAATTATCAATTGTTGTGAAGTCTGGAATTTTTGGTAAGAGATCTTTAATAGTTAAGATTTCACATCTTTCCAATAGAAATTTAACTTCATTTTTAATCTTATCTTTTTCACTTGGTCTAATGTATGAAATCTTTTTTTCAGATATTTTCAACCATAAGAACTTTCTTGTTTTGTCATCTGATGCCTTATCTGCAATAACCATGGAAAGGTCAATCATATCATTCTTTAATGCTAAATCAACTGCATCTTCATAGTACTCCAAGACAGAATAAACATAAACAGCACTCTTGATTTTCTTAAATTTTAAACAAAGTCTTAAGATGAAATCCGAATTATAATAAACCGAATTTGAATATTCCTCTAAATATCTTAAAATGACATCCTCATCATTACCACTTGTACTTTCATTTGATATTAAAATGTATAGAAGAGAATCGTGAATTATTGAATCCTTACATTTTTTTTCTCCAATAAAAGTTTTCAAATACCGTATAACATGATTCTTGGCGACATCAACTTTCTTGAAATTTTTATGATATGCTAATATAGCCGGTAATAATTTTGAGGCATCAATGCCTGAAATTCTTAACCATGATTCGACAGTTTTCTCTGGTGAATTCACCAAGAGGACTGTTGAATATTTGTAGACAGCATCAACATCATTGTTTCTTTCTAATATCTTTAATGCCTCCGGCCAATTTTCTAACCTTATCCAATATGCTAGCACAAAATCAAAATCATTAATCAAGTTCGCATAATATAATAGTTCTGCTCTTCTGTTGTGGGAAGTTATGATTTCATAAATTGTTGCCTTATCCAATATGTTTTTATTATCGATCAAGAATTCTTGTAGTGTCTTTTCTGTTTGCGTCTTTAAAGCAGTCGTTGATTGAATTTCAGCAGATTGTTCAGTTGTTAATGAATCATCAATTTCATTCAGTTTCTCAATAAATAATTCCACAATCCAAGATGATAACATGACTTGCTGCATATGGAAATCGAATTTAGTGTTTGACTTTAAAACAGACAACTTGGAAAGGAAATAATCCAAAAGTCCATCATTCTCTTGTTCTTCAATAAACTTGAGAGCAACTGTTTCAAACGGTTGGGATGATAATGCGTAAATTAATGCTGCTTTTTTGTATAGTTTGTTTTCAAAAAAATAATCACCTTGTTTAGAATATATAATATCTTTGATTTCTTCATCTGTTGTAACGTTCAAAGCATCATCATAGTTTTCATTTTCAATCATAGCTCTCCATATATCTTTCTCTTCATCAGTAACTGTTATTTCATAAATATTCAAATTTGAATATACCCAGTAAGTGGAAGTAACATAATCAGCACTTATACCAATGAAACGTTCACCTTCTGATACAGGTAAAATTTGATGGAAAACCAATTCATCATTTAATTTATTTATTGCAAGTAGCTCTTGACCACGAAGTAAAATTAAATGATATTTTGTTAATGCGATAGATTTGAATTTGTGTTTTGATTCAGGTAATTCAAGGTTCACAAGAAATTTCAATTCTGCAAAGTTCTTTTTAGAACTCATCAATGATTTATCGATATTTCCGAAGACTGTGCCAGCAGATGTTAACCATCCAAAACTTGACTCCCTAGCAGAAAACTTTTCACCGTTGATATTTCCCAAATCTTGATATTTTTCAGATTCTATAGGTTTAGCTTTAATGTAGCTTCCTAATATTAAATCATTATATTTTGCATGTTTATGCCTTATTGGCTGATTCCAATATGCGATATCTTCACCAGATACTATAAGAATCATTAATTCATTTGTTTCTTGATCAAAATCTATCTGTATACCATCAATAGACGATTGGGAATTATAGCTAGTCTTGCTGATCTTTTTGTAATATTTCTGAACCATGTCATGATATTCCAAAAATGCTTCATATACAACACCTGTTTTATCACCAATTAAGAAACACCCAGTATTACTTTCAGTCACAGCTTGTGCATTCCAACCAATTGCACTGATCTTTACATTCTTCAACTCATTTAAATATCTGAAAGTTGATGATTTCTTATGAATGTAGAAGTTTTCATTCCGGCTTGTAGTGACAAGAACATGATTCCCTGTAGGATCCTGAAAAAGTTTAACTAACTGTCCAAGTTCTGATACTGATCTCTTGTAGGGGAGTTCTACCGAATCTATATGAGCTGGATTGTTCAAGTCAATTCTGAACACTTTACCACTTTTGAAGCCTATTGTTAAAATATCACTAGAAACATTTAACGATGAGATATTGCTTATTTCTGTTTGGAATTGAACAGGAGCAACGCTAAATATGGACGAGCTATCAATATCTATACTCTGATCATCACTCATAGTGCGTCTTTTGACCCCGTATTCTGTTTCTTGTTGTTCGTTTGTTTGCCTCTTTGTAGAAAATGTTGATGTTTCCGTTGTTTTTCTAAACGCTGGAGCCTGACTTTGGTACAACAGGCTGGGAATTCGCAGTACAGACAGAAACAATTTCTACTTTCCTCATTGGGAAGTCTAGATTTGTACGTATATTTTCAGAAAATTGATATAAACTTCTGAAATATTTAGTTAAAAAAGGTTCAAAACAAAAAACATAAACTCTTTAATATCTACAAGATGTCTGCTGGTATACCCGTCAAACTGTTAAATGAAGCACAAGGTCATATAGTGTCGCTTGAATTGAATTCCGGTGAAACATACCGTGGTAAATTAATTGAATGTAAGTTCAACTGGTTTTGCTTATGCCTTCTTACTCTTGATACTAACATGTTTTAACTTCTAGCTGAAGATAATATGAATGTTCAACTCAATGATATAACGCTCACCTCTAGGGATGGTAAAGTCACACACTTAGATCATGTATTTATAAGGGGCTCAAATATCAGATTCTTTGTTGTCCCAGATATGTTAAGAAATGCTCCAATGTTTGATCCAAATCATACAAAACCACCTCCACCAATTCGTGGTCCAAAAAGAAGATAAGAATTTCCAAATCGTGGAAGTTGAATATAATCAAAGATATGTATATTAGATGTAATACTACAGGTGTTTTTTTTTGCTAATTAAAAGTTGTTCATAAAATTGGATTTTTGTATTAGTACTATTTTTTGTTAAAGATATCATACTCTAGACGTGAGCCACCCAACGATTCCTTTAATAGCGGTGTAATTGAATCAAGTATGGATTTTGGATCATATCTTGCACCAAATATGTTTCTGTAAACCAAATTCAAATTATTTGTAGTAGAATCTTTAGCTGATTTACCAAACAAGCCACGTAAAAATTCAACATCTAATGCAACTTGTCTTAATCCTTCAGCTGAAAAGTCACCAACTTCTTTCAAATTTTTCAACAAATTAGAAGTGGTGTATTCTAATAAGTTTTCAATAACCTGATCAAGGAGCTCTTTAGAAACTCTTGAAACACTTTTATATACTGTGACCAATGAATGAATACTTTCATATATAAAGCTTGAGACCTTGGTAGGTGGCGAGCTGATGGAGGTCCATTGAGTTGATGAAACTCCCTGTAGCAATGTTGTTGAGATGTGCTTCCTTTGTTCATTGATGAATGATTCAAAAATGGTGTCTTCCATTTTGTTTAAAATTGAATAAATTTCCAAATTTTGACTGTGTAAATTAGCTTCAAATATCGAATCATATTTCTCCAAAATATTTGGTATAGTTTTATTCTTCAATGTTTTGATATTGGCCAAAGTCAAAAGTTTATGGTGACTCTTCAATTCTTTTGAAATGGTTGTGTCTTGATTCTCTTCTATGATTTTTTTGATGATACTTTCCAATAACACATCAAAAGAGCGAAGAAATTGGATTTGAACACCTGTTAATACTTTCTTTGATGGATATTTAACAATTTGAATATTTTGTGCATCTGGTATTTTTTTGAATAATAGTTTTTGTAAACCTTCAATGATATAGACTTCAAAGTCATAAATCAAACTAATAATATATGTTTCACCACTTTCTGAAGCTTCCCAATCCTCCAAATTATGGAATAAACGACAATCATTTAACCAACTTGAGCAAACACCACCAACAGAACGTTCAAGTACTAACACAGAAGTATCCCTTAATGATTGTGTGCTCTTGTCAGTTATTGATAGTTGTCCCAATCCATTTAAAACTTCTGATGTAAATTTATAAATTGTTGGTAAATATTTCAATGAACTTAACGAATTTGTATGTGGTGGTAGAAATCCGAAATGATCTGGTGTTCCATCAGTACCTTGTGATTTTGCATGATGAAGTGTTTTCAATGATTCTTGAGATGAACTGAAAAATCTAATAATTCTGTTGACTAACAAATCTATGAATTCTTCCCCTTTCTTCTTGACATCATCTATTTCATATTTTTCAAATCTTAAAAACGGGCTATTAGGATCAATGTACTTTGAATCAAATTTTTGTTGATATTCACCCGTAAAGAATTTTTCAACATGATTCCAAAATCTTGTAAACTCATTTGAAATTTCTAATATTCTTTCGGTCAACTTGACAGTTATTAACCACATTTCAATGATGATAGCTGAATCAACTAGAGGGTTTTTACTACCCAGTGCAACCTTGAAGTTTGTGAAATCCAATTCTTCACAAGTTGAAAGAATGTTTAATTGAGCATTCAAGATCTTTTCATGGTACTTATTAAATGTTTCATTGAATGTTGATATGAATTTGTTTAATTTTAAATCGATCCATTCTAATACTGGATTATCTATGACATCAATTTCAATCAATTTTTTAATATTTTTTAAGAAATCTTCATCGTTATCATCACTTGCTAAAGATTTCCAAAGATTTTTCTTGTAAACATCTATTATAGTATCAACTTCTTCCCAAATTCTATTAATGATTTTATTATTATCATCAGCTTTCTGTTGTTTTGCATTTTTATAATCATGAATCAAATTGTCATAATCATCTTCATTAACATATCTTTTAATTGCATTTGGAAGATTGAAAAAAAACTTTTTCTTTTCAACAAATTCTAAAGCTTGTTTCAATTTCATTTCCTTTTGCTTTTTTTGTAAGATTGGCATTATAAGCAGCGTAGCCTCTTTATTAGCTTCATTAACACTTCCTCTAAGATTTTTTAATCCACTTTCTTCATCATTAAACCCAGTTTTTTGAAATTGTGATAAAATTCCATCTAATGAAGATTTAGATCTAACAAATCTTAAAAATTCACTTTCAACAAGAGTTCTTAATTCAAGATTTTTCTCAGAGATTGAACTTTCCAAAATATTCAAACTTTCTGATAATTGACTAAATGAATCATCGCTATGAATGAATTTCAAAAATTGTTTTGAATTGAATTGTTTACTATTGATTGAGAATTTAGATAAATCATCAACACCTATGTTTCTTTGACGCGCAGATTGTTGAATATTCATCTGTGGGTTCAATGGATCAACTGAGTTTTGTACAATTCTCTCATCTGGATCTTGATTCACAACATTTAAGAAAGCAGCATAAGTTTCTTCATCACTAACACCTTTACTTATTATTGGATTTGAAAGATTCTCTTCCGTGTCTTCTTCCCATGACACCGGGTTCAATGTTTTCAATTCGTAAGTTCTTAGAAGTTCCTCTTCCATGATCAATAAGCCAGTGATATGTCTAACTGATCTGGTAAATCCTTGGATACTAGTAGCTGTTATGAATAGTTGGCGAATCAAATTGACATTTGTTACCAAGTTGCAGGTATAGCCAGATCTCGCAATGAAATCAAAATAATCAAGTCGCGAAATTTTAGTAACATACAAAGCGTCAATATAATCAATTACCAATAGTACAAATCTCTTTTAAATTAAAGTCTTCTATATAAATAAAGCTAATCAGTTAAACATGGAAAGTAATAATATACAACATGTGGACTAAACCTATGAAAAAAATTAGACATTATACCCACTGTGATTAACAAAACTTGTAACTATCTGTAAACCTTGAACTTTAAAAAACAACACTTTCAACACTTTTTTTTTTCATGTGATATATATGAACGAAAATACGACTGAAAACTGAAATAATGATATAAAAAACTCCTAAAATGCAACCTTCAATCTAGACAATTTAATAACTGATGAACATCAAAATTGAACAAGATTGAGAAACTAAAAAAAAAACCGAATAAAATAGTCTGTTAAATGAATGTGTAAATTACAACACTTAAAATGGAATATAAAAACAAAAACAAAAGCAAAATGTAACAAAATGACAATTATATGATAAAATAAGAAGTATGGATGATTGAATTGTTTTATTTGTTCTCTTGAAGTTTATTTTCATTGATTGAATTTGTGATAAAATGCAAGAATCTTTCACCATATTCCTTTGGTGGAACAGCACTAACGATTTTTCTATCATTACTTAAAGTTCTCCAGAAAGTTTCTAATCTTTTGATGAATGAATAATTTGTTAAACAATCAATTATTCCAAGATAATAAATATATTCACCTTGATTATCATCATCATTTGTTGAAACAATACCACCATTATCTGAATAAAAAGAATTTCCATTTTTAAAATCAATAGAAGGTAAATCATTATATCTATTTAATAATTTTGGATTTGTTTTTTTCAAATCTTCAATATTTGAAGAAGCTGGTGAAAAAATTGATAATTTTTTTTGTTCTAAAATTTCTTCTTTATTACCCTTTTCTAAATCATGGAATCCAATTAAGAATGAATAATCCATAATATTCAGTTTAATTAAAAGTTTAACATCTTTTTGTAATTGATCAATAAATTTAGTTTTCAACATTGGACCAAATTGTATAACTTCTTTATTATCAATCCAATTTAAATCTTTTAAAACACGATGTGCAGGTGATGGTGGTGTAAATCTTCCTAAAGTTGAACCTTTCAAATCATATGTTCTATGAATATCTCTATGTGGAGGGAATAAATTATTCATGACAATGAAATAAATTTTTCTTCTTTTCAAATGTGCATAATGAAGTGGCATTTTCACTCTATGCAGTCCATAAAATTGACTTACAAGAGTATTTGGATTATTTTTCACATGATTATGATAATCTTTCAACATTCTTCTTAAATGTCTATGTTCAGCTGGATGAATTGTTTTAATAATAAAACGATAATCTCTTGAAAAATAAAAAAATGAACCACTTTTACCTGGTGAATTTAATTCTGAAAGGATATATTTAGATGTTAAAGAGACAAGATAATCAGCAGGGTCTAAACCAAATAATAATCTTAACTCACGGAAAACAGTTGGACAATAATCTTTAAATTTAAAATCATATTTTGATGAAGGTGTTAATTCATTCCCTGAAACATCAAAAACCAATTTCTTATTCATTCTGAAATCTTGATCAGTTAAAGGTTGCATTATACCAGAACATCTTGAAACAGCAACACGAATACCTGTCAACATATTATATGCAATAACATAATTGACATGACCTTCACCAACTTTATTTCCAACTAAGACTTTATCATCATCTGCTAAAGTACGTTGTCTTTTTTTATTTTCTCTTTTAGAAATTATTGAATTTCTCATTCTTTCAATTTCTTTAGTTGCTGTATCTGTATTATTACTATTATTGTTGTTGCTTTGAACTCTTGATGATGTTGTATGGGTAGAATTTCTATTTCTTATTGATCCAGGATCAACTATTGATTCTACTCCAGTTGCTCTTGATATTCTATTTCTTCTAACATTTGTATTTAACAGTACTTGTTCATCATTTTCATCTTGTAAATAAGAGCCATTATCATTGAAAGAACTTGTTCTATTACCAAAAGTATAATTATCTAATTGATCTCTGAAATTTAAACCTTCATCTTCAGGTGAAAGAAGATTTGATTGTTCATTTTGATTTGAATAATCATCAATTTCATATTGATTGTTTGATGGTGTTATATTTGGTGTTTCAGAAGCTGGATAAAAAGTTTCTATACCATCAGATATTATTTCATTATTATCATTTTCTTGAATATTCAAAACATCATTCTCTGTTGATGAAATAACTATATTATTACTTTGTGATGTTGTTGTATTTTCACTTTCTCCAGAACTTGGGTTAGTAAATATTATAGAATCATCTGTTGTAGTAACGACTCTTGATAATGGGGTTTGAGGAGAAGGAACTCGTTGATCAACATTAATATCCAGTGTATCAGTTGTGTTGAAAGGTATATCTTGAATTGGTATTTGTTTTTCCTTCAGTACTGGAACATCATGAGTTTCTATTATGGGAGCTTGTGATTGAATTTCCACCATATTTCCAGAAAAAAAAAATGTTGTTACGCTTTTCAGTCCAGCGTTAAGACTTGATGATGAATATAGCTTTGCACCCCGCCGTGATGAAATATAAATGGAATGATTTAGTGATGATAATAACGTATCAACCTTTGTTATTTAATGGAAAGAGCAAAAAAAAAGATAAATAAATATGTGATTTTGAAAAGAGTGCGTAGCTAATGAAATGAAATCCTTTGCAAATCAGCGATCTATCCCCCAAGCGCTGTGTTTTTGGATTCTGTTAAGTGCTAGTCTCAATAGCTTCTTTCTAGGAATGAATAACAGGGCTTTTGAATAGAATTTGTTGTTGAATTTGAAAGTTTTCTTTGCCTCTTTATTTGGTATCAAATTGTTTACCTTTGAAGTAATTAGAAAATAAATCAGAATTTTTAAGAAAAACACAATATCAACCACAGAAGGAGCGGTTTGGGCACAGGCAGAGGGTCCCAGTTCCAAAGTCTGTCTAAGAAAACACAGAACCTCACTAAAATCCAAAGGAGACAGGCAGAACAAACAGAATTTGGCAGAACATTCCGTAGTTTAAAAAAATATGCACAGGCTGGTAAGAATTGCAGAATTCTATAGATCTACCAAAACAATCATCAGAAGGGTACGCGTACTACGTAGTATCCACAATTGAGCTTCTAGAACATCATATTGACAATCTACTGAGTACATATTCACAAACTAAAAATAACCTTGTACTATCGGTCGCTTTAAAGTGCAATAGTATGAATAATTTGATCACAACGTCGACTGATTTCTTGGATCGATCTGGCTGACTGTCTCATAAACTTTATCCGGGAAGCCCATAATTGCGCCTACGTTTTGACATCAAATTTTGTTCGAGACTTAGCTACGAATTAACAATAGCAGTCCTTTAAAAATATAATTCATACATTCTTCACCAATTAAAAGTCAAAAGTTAAAACCATGCCACAAACTCAATTGATTGACCACTGAAGAATGCATAAGCAAGTAATAAAACCCAATGATACACATAATTAAACACATCTAGATTCTAGAAAAACTCTTCCATATTCAAATACACACAAAGCCCCATATAAATCTTATTAATCAACTACCTCTATAAGTTGTATAACTATGATTAGCTAAAAGTAATGGAATATGATAATGATTATCAGGTGGATCACTAACGGTAAATACAATATCAACAAATGGGAAAAATGTTCTTGAATCACTCGTTATCCCATTTTCTTTATCTTGTATTGCTAAAGTTTTGAAATATTTTGATGTATGGAAACGAATTTTATAAATACCTGATTTAAGTTCATTCCAATCTTGTTTATCTATACCTAATGAATTTAAATCTTGTTTTGGATGGAATACCCATTTATCAACTCTACCATCTTGATTTGTCTTTGTTACTCCAAATGGTTCTATTTCTTCAATAGTTAATTCTTCATCATCTTTTGGTAATTCTGATAATTTATAGATTGATACAAAAACATTAGCAGCTGGTTTCCCTCTTGTAGTATCAAGAATATGACATGTAATTGGTGGCATAATGAATTGTTGAAATATCAAATTGGAAGACAAGTTCAATTAAAGGATTACAATTTCATTTTATATAACAATTTGGAAATTTTCCTTATCTCATCATCAAATTTTCGTATTTAGCCGTAACGTCAAAAAGTCAAAAAAAAAATATACCCGCGATTCATAGGAAATTGAAAAGTAAACATTCATATTATATTTTAGTGGGTACAGCGGTAAATCTATCTTGAGCTTCATTGATTCATCAATTTTATGACAATACGGCATGTCTAAAAGAGCACGTATAGTGCATGACTTACCAGATCCTATAGACTTTGCACCAGGTATCAATAATGTTGTTCTTCGGCGTGATAATATTGAATTTTATGCTCCAGAAACATTTCATTCATCAGTTTTTTATGATAAAACTGTTCCAATTTTGATTAAAGATGTGAAAGAAAGTAATGATATCTTACAGATATATGGATATAGAGGTATTAATGCCCTTAGAGATCAAGTTTTATTGATTAACAATCATCCAATTAGGAAAATTAGAATCTTAGGTAAAATTACAGAATTTTTTATTAAAACTTTTAATCAAAATCAAGATATATTCTTCATTACAATTGATGATTCTTCAGGTAATGATATCTTAGCTAAATGTTCAACACAATTTTTAAGAAACTCAAGATTAGATTCTGAAAATATGTTATTTAAAACTGTTGAAATAATTGGGAAATGTCACTTATATAATGCGAAATTTGAATTACATCCTGAATCATTAAGAAGATTAGATGATAAACAAGAAGAATACATTGAACATGAAATTTTGTTCTGGAAAGATGCAATTCAAATTAGAAATATTTTGAAAAGACCATGGGTACAAACTTCACAGAATGATTATGATTCTAGTCCATTAAATGTTAGATTGGATCCAAGATTACAAAGAGAAAAATTAATCAGAAAGCAACTAGATTTTGGTAGTGATGATGATATAAAATCACAATCTATAGTTGTTGATTCACAAGTATATACAAGGAACAAAAAGAATAAAGACGATTATTCTGATGCTTTATTCCATGATGAAATTCCAAAAATTAATCAAAGAGATGATTTGGGTATAGAAGAGATCACAGAAAAAGTCTTTCTCAGATCAACTTCAAATCCATTAAGACATATACAATCAAGTATTAAATCTAAAGATCATTGGATTAAAATATCACAAATCCCAATCAAGACAATGAGTATAGAAACAAGTCTTAAATTTGAAATATTAAAATGGATAATCAAAACTAATAAAGATGAATTCAACCTTAATGCAACGTATCAAAATAAGAAAATACATGGTATTTTAAAAGAATTTTCTATAAAGAAGTTCCCACTTCAAACAATTGATTTGACACAACCAAATACTAAAATTAAAACTTCAAATGATATTAAAGGTGAAATATTCCATGATATGAGGCATGAATTACAAGTATCAAATCTCATCAAGTGTACCAGAGATAAACAATGCTTTTGTGCACCAGTATTAAAACTATTCAATCATTTATTAAGGACTTTAGAGAGTATTAAGTTTGTTAATTCATCACATGAAAAATATGATAATTGTTTAATGGCTACAGAGTATATTGCAACTTTTAATCAAGAGCACCAGCTTAAAGTCTCACTAGATTTGGAACTTTTAAACATATTGATACAATGGACTATCATGAAATATCAAAAGGGACTTTGGGACTTTAATAAAGAGTTGAATTCATGGAGATATTTAAATTCTTAATTGTTAGATCTCTTTAGTTATGGACTCTTTCGGTTAACGCACGAAGTTTTTACGTCAAAAAAAAAAAAAATTAAATTTTTTTATATGCAAAGGTAGAATTTTAATGATAACGAACTTTTATTAATAAACCATAAAACTTTACTTCAGCTATACATTATATTCAAAATGGCTTTGTTTCAAGTTGATGGATGGAACTTAAATGAAAAAGTTGCCAAAGGTGGCCAAAACCAAAAAAAATCCAATAAAAAGCAAAACAGAAAGAGAAAACAAGATGAAGTTAATCTTAACGATATAAACTCTACTGCCTCACCATCAGAAGATCAAAAGAATGATAATGAAGAAATAAGGTCAGATAATAAAAAGGAAGATTCAGATAAACCAGAACCAAAATCTCAAAAGAAACAAAAACTTAATAAAAAGACTGAAGATTCAAAGAAAGAGAAGGAAACTAAACCTGAACAACAAATTGAACAAGATGAAACAAAAACTTCAGCTCCACCAGCTCTTGATTTACCAGTAAATCGTAAATTAACGCCATTACAACAAAAAATGATGGCTAAATTGACAGGTTCAAGATTCAGATGGATAAATGAACAATTATATACAATTACATCAGAACAAGCGTTAAAATTGATTAAAGAACAGCCTTCATTATTTGACGAATATCATGATGGTTTTAGATCACAAGTTCAATCATGGCCAGAAAACCCAGTTGATGTTTTCGTTAATCAAATTAAAGAAAGATCATTAAGACCTGTTAATGCACCAGGTGGTTTACCAGGTTTACCAAAGAACAAGAAAGTTGTTGTTGCAGATATGGGTTGTGGTGAAGCTCAATTTAGTGCTGATATTGCAAAATTTTTGAAAGAAAGAAATGGTAAAAAGAAAGGTAAGAAACAATTTCCATTAGATATTGATGTTCATAGTTTTGATTTGAAGAAAGCCAATGAAAGAATCACCGTTGCTGATATTAGAAATGTTCCATTGGCAGATAATTCATGTACGGTTGTTATCTTTTGTCTTGCCTTAATGGGTACCAATTTCTTGGATTTCATTCAAGAAGCTTATAGAATCCTTGCTCCAAGAGGTGAACTATGGATTGCAGAAATTAAATCAAGATTCTCAGATAAAGAAGGTGAAGAATTTACAAAAGCTTTGAAATTACTTGGATTTTTCCATAAAAAAACTGATAATGATAACAAAATGTTCACTAGATTTGAATTTTTCAAAGCACCAGCTGATATAATTGCAGAAAGAAAAGCCAAAATGGAAAGAAAACAAAGATTTATTGAGCATGAAGATGAAAAAGAACAGTTGGAAAGTAGAAGAGAACAAACTCCAGAAGGTAAATGGTTATTGAAACCCTGTATTTATAAGAGAAGATAATATTTTTCTCAATAAACATAATCAATTAGTCTTCGAGTTAATAATGGATGTAGTTTTCTAGTTTAAAGTACAATTTATGTATAACAGAATCGGGATTTGCTTATATGTATTACGTAATACATAGGTAAATTTTATAAACGATCGAAAAGAGAAATGATAAAGTATATCTAGAAAACTATCAAAATATATTTTAGTTTACCAGTTCGACTAAGAAAAGTTTACAACTAAGATTTCAAGATGTCTAGTTTTTTCAAATCATTCCCAAAACTTAGATTAAACAGATCTCAACTAGAGGTTTTCAGAGTAAGCATATCATTATCGGTCTTTGACCAATAAAGATTCTCTTATTAACAATGTTGAAAAGTTCACATTCTATTTGATGACACCTATCGGTGTGATGTATTATGTTGGTATCGATGCTGATAAAAAGTTCAACGTTCCAGGTTTCTGGCCAGATCCTGAAACTACAAACAAAATCCCAAAAGAAAGACATGAAATACAAGCTGAATTAGCAAGAATGAAGAAAGAAAGATTAGAAAAAAGACAAAGACTAGAAGAAAAATTAATCAATGAATACGGTATTGATCTAGAGGAAGAAAAAGCAAAACTCAAAGGTGATAACTGAGTATTTTAGGAGACGTGGTGTAAATATAATGAAAAAAAAAAATAAAAACCATAACACGGTGATGGATATCCTGTATATAGCATGGGTTTATGAAGAAGAAATGTACAATATTAATGTTTTCTCAAAGAAATGATACAACATTCAGCTACAATAGTTTTTTTAGTGAAGTAAAAAGATAAACCGAAAAATAAATAATAAGATTTTGTTTGATACAATGGAAAACAGTCCCGAATGATTCTAATTGTCTCTACCGTCAGTTAAGATTCAACCTTTGTTGTTGTTCTCTGACTTTATTCAAATACTGGTAATATAACATCTTCACTTCATCTGTAGTTTCACTGGTCAAGTTAATATCTTCATCAACTTCTAATAACTTCAGGAAGTTGACAATAATCAACAGTTTTTGAGCTGGTGTGATTTCAGTACCATTTGTATTTATATTGGATGATGTTTGTTGATTGTATTGAGATGCAGATGTGCTGGTTGAGATTGGTGCAGATGTTAAGTTTTGACGTGAAGAATCCAATTGTACATCCGCTGAAGTTAACCGCCTTGAAAAGTCTTTGAAATCTTCAAAGTTGCTGAATGGTTGATGAGTGTTGGATCCTGTTGAATCAACGGATGGTTGCCTTTGGTTTGCTATTGATGAAAAATTATTAGCTGAGCTCAATCCGGTATCTGGGTGGAATAGTTGATTTTCTAAACTTTGGGTGTTGTTATTATTTTGATTATTGTAATACAAGCCATAATTTGGATAAGGAATGTTATCATTAAAGTCCATATCATCAATATCAAATTCATCAGGATCTAAATCCATATCAAAATCAGAATCAAGTGTTAGTTGACTTGCAGCTAAATGCATTTCACCTAATCTTTGTAATCTTTGTAAACCTTGTCCAAGAGTATGGGAAAATGGTTTTCTTTTTGGTTCACCATCACTATGATCAAAATCATCATAATTATCCACAATACAACTTTGTATTGTTTCTTCATTTGATAAGAAAGCTTTGTTGATTTTTTGTTCAACTGATAAATCCAATAAAGATAAGACATCCCATTGTTCTTTAACCTTAAGCTCATTAATAAAATGAAATAGTTTGATTTCAAGACTATCGTCGAACATTCTTGATCTTTCAAATCTATCGGTTATATATTTAGGTAATATACCACTTTGTTTCCATGCACCTTTTATTCTTGAAGAAGGAATCTGATCCCAAGAAGATTTAATCAAATCAAATATTTCAACCATGGAAAATTTCAGATCTCTCTTGCTTAAAATTTTATTATCCTTTTCACGTTGTCTCTCTAAAAGCTTTTTATATTGCTGAACTCTGAATGTTAATCTAAAATCATTTGCAACACCCCAACTCATTGGTAAGAAGCTTGAAGCTGCAGATGAAGTAAACAGAAGCCTTATTCTTTGTAATTTGATGTTTATGACACGATGTGATGCAGAATCATCCAAGATAATGATGATATCCTTCCCCTGTAGTGCCAATCTTTTATCCAACATGGCTAACCAATCATAAAATACAGATGATGTCAACCATTTCTGTCTATTACTATGATAACTAACACCATGTTTTGTTGCAGCTTTGATACTTGATTTATTTTCAAAAGATGGATAGTCTTCATAACGACCAATAATTAAAGGACTCAATTTTTCAGATCCATCAGCATTAACACAAAGCATACAAGTTAAGAAATCTGATGTATCATCATAATAACTCTTATCTAATGGTAAATCATGACTTAAGAATATTTCATCCAATGTAAATATTTTCTTAGGGTCAAAGTCAACCAAGTAAGTTTGTAAAACTGATCTTTCATCAAATGACCAAATCTTCAATTTTTTATAAAGTTCTTGTTCTATATTACTTAAATTGATGTTTACTTTTGATAAAAATTGCGAGCACCATTTATACGAAAACTCACCATTACCTTCTCTTAAAGAGACTGGTAGTAAGTTCCAAAAATTTGAAGCAGAACTGATTAAAATAGGAGCTGTTATTGGTATGTTACTCCATACACATTGCGATATCCATTCTAATAAAACTTTTCTCAAAAGTGGGTTTGATAGTCTTCTTCTTCTGATCAGCTTGAATTCATGTTCTTTTAATGCAATTAGTTCATCCTTTTTAGCCAAAATTCTTGATATTGTTGTTTGTGAAGGTGGTTTCTGTGAGTTATAATGCTTTTTAGCCCACAAGGCCAAATCAGCTTGTGTCATCTCAGGATTTGCCTCAGCCATAAGACATATATCAATCTTTTGCTTAATAGAATACCCCATTATGAATGATTATGTGAATTTATATATGATCTATTAGAGAGTATGATGGGTATCTTTTGGTATTTAATGTGAAACTCATCAAGCAGTTCACACTTGACACTATGATTTTGATATATTTTTTTTAGTTTTGACGTGTGGTTAGAAAGGCGTTAGGTTAATAAAACTTCTTGCAACCAAATTGTCCGAAGCCCTTATGTAGCGAAAAAACTAGGTCTATTGTCTTGATCTGTTTTAATGCTGCTAAAACCTTGATAGCAATCTGATGATTTGTTTCTTATTGTTGTTTGGTTTCCTGTGTATACCAATCGATGTGTAAAACAATTGAACAATTGAAAACTTTTCTCGTGAAACACCTAAAACAAATCGACCGTTTTCTGGTAAAACGCACCTTTTTGACTCTTGTGCTTTATGGGAAATTAAATTTGGCGTTCAAATCTGATGATAAATCCTGTACCCGTGCTGAAATGGCAGAATATTCATGTCAGGTGACTTTATTTTCGAGTTCCGGGGAATTGTTACCGGTTTTCGTGTTCAATACTGAATTCTTAACACCTAATTATGAATAACAGAAAGTATGTATTATTAGCATTCTACAAGTAATAACCATTAATCAACAAACAACTGGAAGGATCAATTTGAGTTGATACTATCAAAATGGTAAGTTCAAGAATACCAATTGAGTTTTTTATTTCATGTGTATGAACTAACAAATCTGAAATTTAGTCAGAAGCCACCGGTATAGAAGGACCCCCACCACAAAGTCGTACTCTCTTCCAGAGACTATCAGAATCATCACACCCTGTGGCACTTATATTCTTCTTGGGATTTAGAATTGGTAAGTTTTGCTAAGGTTTTCACCTTTCACAGTTTTGTTCTAACATTCATTTAGGTGCTTTGATAACGTATCTTTTCGGTCTTTTATTCACAAATAACTTGTAAGTATCAAATGATTTTCCTAAAGTTACAGAACTAAATTCATCTAACATCTTAAAAGTGTCTTTTTATTCATTACAGTCATTTTATTACTTGCAGCTGATTTCTGGAACGTCAAAAATATTAGTGGTAGATTATTAGTTGGTCTACGTTGGTGGAATGAAACAGATGATAATGGTGCTAGTATATGGGTTTTTGAAACCTCTGATCCAAATAGATACATAAATCCAATTGACTCAAAAGTATTTTGGATTTTATTGTATGCTTCTCCAGCATTATGGGTTGCCTTGGCTGTATTAGCAGTTTTAAAGTTTGAATTTTTATCATTAATTCTTGTGATTATAGCTATTGCTTTAACTTTGACTAATGCTTTTGCATTCACAAAATGTGATAAATTCGGTAAAGCTAATAGTATCGCTTCAGATGTGTTTGGCCGTGTTTCTGGAGGTATCTTGGGTAGATTTACACCATCATTTTTATCATAATGATTCAAGAAGGAAGAAAAGACTGTTATAAGTCAGGTACATAGACCAATAAATTATCTTTGATTAATCAATGTAAATGATTATTATGTATAAACAATTTCGAATAGTTTTTGCAAGTAATTGATTACAGCTAGCTTGGACGAATTTGACCAATATTTGGTCAATACACGCATTTGATGTCGCGAATTTTTACTTCAAATAATAATATTTCAAAGCTTCAACTTCAAGTACAAATCCACTACATCCTTGGAATAACCATCGTGTCTTATAAAGTTGCAAGATGCCTAGAGCTATTAAAGGTATGTTCTCAATGGAATATAAATCAGATAAGGAGTCAAATGTCTAACAACTTTAGGTGTTCTTATTGAGTGTGATCCATCTATCAAAGCACTTGTTGTGAAGATTGATTCCGACAGACATGATATAGTTATTCAAGAATTAGATGAAACTCATTTACTGATAGATCAAGGAAAAGTTGAATTTGTAAAAAGTGAATTGAATAGATTATTATCACAGAATACTTATAATCCACTAGATGAAGAAGAAGCTCAGAATTAAAACTATTTTATTATGACGTATAAAGAGAAGTCGAATATTGGTTTACTAGTATTTGAATAGAAGTTCAATCGTCAAGTTTTGTATATTATGGCTCATTATGAAGACACGTTTAACTCGTCATCATCTACTTCACTTTGAAGCCCTAGTCCATCCAAACGAGATTGCGTTTCATCATATTCATTTTGTTCTTCATAAATTTTACCAACAATTTCACCAATAACTGCAATTAAGGTATCAACATCAATGATTTCTTGTGAAGTTTTTGAGATTATGGTATTGTAATATTGTTCATAATTCTGAATTATTAACTCCTGTTTGAAAAAAAAAAGTTAGTATTTTTATAATTGATTAAATTATTAGAATAGGAAGATCAAATACATACTTGAATACCATCTATCAAAGATGTAACAATTTGTCTATCGTCAATAAATAACTCGATTTCTCCTTTAAGTCTTGGTAATGATGATTCTATATTATCTTTCAATGCTAGAGAATCTTTCTCTGCAGTTTCAGGTGATAATTTAGTGATTGGATTTATAATTTGTTGAACAGCATCTTCTGTGAATTCATGAACAACATTTCTCAACTCTGATTGTAATTCTAATCTAGCATCAATCATATTATTAACAACTTTTGGGACAGAGTCTCTCACAAGCTCTACTAAACCCCCACCATTCGTATTGAAAACACTTGTTCCATTTCTAATTTTATTGATAATTTCACCAACTCCTGAGAAATCTAAAAATGTTTCATTACTAACATATTCAATATCAAAGTTTTGAATTTGAGCTCTTAGTAGCAATAAATTTTTCAAGAAAAACAACTCAGAGTCCAATTTTCCAATTGTTGGTTTGGCGAGTTTGTAAGCATTTCTTAATGATATAATACAATCGTGAACAATGTTATGTGCCATATCATCAAAAACTGAAGAGCTGACTAACTGGTATATCTTGGATAACAATGAAATACCTTTGCTCAAAGGTTTATAAGAATCTTGTAAGTCTTGTTTATTTGAAGAAAGTGCAAAAGAAGAGTCTGGATCATCTTTGTTTTCCTCAGTAGTAGCTTCAGATTTTCTTCTATTACCAATTTGAAAGTCTCTAACTGAAGGTTTATACTTGACGATAGTTTCTTCGACATAAACTTGTGCTCTAAAGACTAATCTTGATTGAACATCTTGTAAAATTGGATGGAAAATGGCACCTAAATCAATCTTTTCGAATTCAGGTTTGATTGAGTCTTCTTCATCTTGAGCAGTAAGTTCAAATTCCTCTTCTTCATCATCATACTCATAGTATTTATCCAGTAAAGTTACTAACTCACAAAGAGAACTTATTGAGCTTTCCTTCAAAATACTATTTCTTAGAGTATCATTTAAAGGTTCTGATAAATTTTGAAACCAGTGAAGAAGAGCATTGTTGGAATCTTTTGGGAAAATCTTGTGGAATAATTCAAATTCATCACGAAACACTTTGGTAAAGAATGAAATGTTACTTTGGGCAAATTGCACTAGTGATTTCTTAGAATCAACAGTGGTTGAATGGTTTAAATGTTCCCATATTTTTGGATTGACAAGTCTTGTTCTTATTCCAAAGTAAAAATTAAAACAATCTGATAGCAAACCTTCTAATTCTTTACTATCTTCTGCTCTATTAACCAAGTCTGAACTGACATCAAATAAAAATTCAAGATCTGATCCAAATCTCGTATATAATAAAGCATCTTGTGTAACCGAATTGACTTTTGTAGCTGCTACTTTCCCTGTTATTTCATCTCTTATATTTTTCAAATTGTTTATGACATAATTTCTGATCAAAGTCAAAGCTCTCACCAAACATTGTTTGAATCTCAAATTATAAACTTCAAAATCTTTAAAGTCTTTATGTTGGTCAATAAACACGAGACACTCATCTAATTGGGTCAATAATTTCTTGAATGATGATTTTCTTACAATATTTGGACTTGGATTGTTTAATTTTCTTGTGAAACTTTCAAGTAATTCAAAATGACTTAGATCTTGCTTCAATTCCTCATTCAAATTCATATATCCATTATATTCGTTAATTAGCTTATCTGATTGTTCTTGAAATTCATAAGTTTCTTTAGTCACAGTATCATATTTAACAGTCAATTCACCAAGAATCTTTACAATATCTAAAGATTTTGCGATCAAATTATTATAATTGTTTTGTCTAAATTCACAAGTTTCAATGAATGTCTGGTACTTGGAAAATTTATTGTTGATTATTTGCTTCTCTAATTCAGGTTCCAATAAGATGTTGTAATCATAAGATTCCAAATATTCCTTGGTTAATCGATCCTTCTCCAATTGGGTGTAAGGAAACAAAAGTGAAGATGTATCTGGTTCTGCAACATTTTTAGTCTTGAATGATTGATGTGATTTTGATCTTTTTAATTGTGCTTTATGTGGACTCTCTATAGATAGATGACTCTAGATAATGATGTCAGTAGATGTTACATTTGTATTAACGACACGATTAACACTTACCTCACTTTGTGGTATATTCAATGCAATTCTTTGTACAACAGAGTTTCTTCTAGCTCTACTGTTTCTCCTATGGTGCTCCCCATTTTCCACGGTCATATTGTCAGTTAATGGAGAAGCGATCTGAGGTTGTTGATGAGATCTATTTAGAATGATCTGTTATTGTTTCGTTGATTTTGAAGTTGACGTTTCTATCCTAGAAATCTGGTCACGTGAAGCTGGCTAGAAACAGAGCTTCAACATATAAGCCGTCGCTTGATGATTTAACAATAAAAAACTCAAGTTTTTGTCAAACTTCTTATTATTCTGTCAATACTTAGCCACCATCATTACATCTTTAGTGAAAACTATTCTCTATTATCACTATAAATGACATATAACCTTGATTATACTGGCCAATCAGACATCCTTCTTAGTAAATTCAGCGTATTTTCGCGAGTTCTCAACCTCATCGCTTACATCATCCCCATAGTGAATTTTTTTCTCACTGCATAACGAAAAAGTTATAAACTTTGAACTTTTATACGTGTACCCACTATCTAGTTGGATATCGAATTGCTCTTGTTACTATTTAGATGTCACCAGATAATAAGAAACAGAAATTAGATAATACTACTACCGAATCAAATATGGCTTCACAAATTTTCAGAATATGTACACACAGTGGATCATTCCACGCTGATGAATCTTTAGCTGTTTATATGTTGAGATTATTACCACGTTATCAAAACTCATCATTAGTACGTTCAAGAGATCCTGCACAATGGGAACAAGCTGATATTGTTGTTGATGTTGGTGGTAAATATGACGGTACCAAATTCTTTGATCATCATCAAAGAGGATTTGAAGAAACTTTTAATGAAAAATATGCTACAAAATTAAGTTCTGCTGGTTTAGTTTATAAACATTTTGGTAAAGAAATCATTGGTGAAGTTATTCAATCTAAAGACGAATCAGTTTTAGAATTATTATATGACAAGATCTACAAAGAATTTATTGAGTCATTAGATGCCAATGATAATGGTGTTTCTAAATATGATAACTTAACTGAAAAGGCTAAATTCAACGATAGAAATATTACATTACCATCATTAGTTTCAAACTTAAACCCACACTGGAATGCTGAACAAAGCGATGAAGATTTCGATAGACAATTTTTAATTGCCTCTGAATTAATGGGTAACGCATTTGTTAATGTTGTTAAAAACTATGGATTATCATGGTTACCAGCTAAAAAAATTGTTGAAGATTCATTTAATCAAAGATTTGAAGTTGATAAATCAGGTAAAATTCTTGTATTAAGTCAATTTGCTCCATGGAAAGAACATTTATATGAAATTGAAAAAAGTAATGACAAAGAAGGTGAAATCCTTTATGTTTTATTTGAAGATTCAGGTAAAAACTGGAGAATTTCAACTGTTCCAATCACAAGTGCAAGTTTTGATAATAGAAAACCATTACCAGAAAACTGGAGAGGTTTAAGAGATGATGCTTTAAGTAAAGAATCTGGTGTTGAAGGTTGTGTTTTCGTTCATGCTGCTGGTTTCATTGGTGGTGCTAAAACTAAAGATGCTGTCTTACAATTAGCAAGATTAAGTTTGTAAGAGATGTTGAAGGCTTTTAAGGAATATATATAAGTTTGATTTCTACGTTAAATCTACATATTTATTTTAGATATACTATCATGTAATATACTATAATATATTTTAACCACACAAAAGGACCACATGTATGGTCATCAGGGCGTTTGTTCAATTTTGATCAAGTACTAAGTACCAAAAGATTAATCCGGAGTAATCGTAAAAAAAACAATCAATCTTTGTCAAGCACTAGATCCTATCGAATTTCAGATCAAATTTGTTTCTTTGGTTGAAAATTATATTCCCTACAATGTTATGCATTGATGCTTAAACTGATCAAGGCAATTTTCGAGGTGATCAGTACGTACCCTTTTAGTTTCCTGTGGTGAGAGGTATAGAGGTAAAACAGTGAGGTACTCATGAAACAACTTCCCAGTATAACATTCAGGCGTTAATCAGTACTATTATATTATTTATTACTTTGGTACTCGGTGTTCATGTCTCAAATGATTGAAAGTTCATCGGTTGACCATAGTAATAGGATAGCACTGCACTATTTAAGATGATGGTTTTTTACTTAGTTTTTGTTTACGGACGTACCTGATCTACACACTGCACAGACACTCTTGAGAACTTGAGAGTACTACTAGTCGGCCGTCGGGACTAGACTGATTGACCCTTGCAGATTTTTACAACAACAATTGGATGTAGACAGAAGCTCGGGGATTTGGGGCTGAAGCTAGGCAAGGCAAATGACAAAAAGGCAGACGGAACGACAGGCAGCTGTTGGAAAATTAAACACAAACCGCGACTTGCCACAAAAACAAAAGGAAAGAACTTGTCCAGAGTTTAGAGTCGTCTTTTTTAACACAATCATTGTATCAAATAAATGAACGAATACTTTATATCTTCCATTATTAAGGAATTTAATTTAACTTTTTAAAAAAACACCAAAATAACGAATAGTGTTTGAAAATTTAAAGCCTGAATTATCTTTACGAGACCTGTAAATTTAAACCAAACCGTTTAGAAACGAGAGTCGCGAGTCGCGACTGACTCTTGTGCGCGCCTGAAATGTTGAAAAGGTAAAACACAGCATTCTTGAAGAAATCAGAATTTGATTCAAGTGAATGGGAATTCTCAACAGATCAAATCAACAACTTTCAAAACCAATTCAACACAACAACAACAACAACAACAACAGCGGTAACCAGGATATCGCAAAGGTAAGTACTAGCTATTCAGTGCTGTCTAATTGAGAGATATGAGAGTTTGTTAAAGAGATCAAGATCAATTTTCATCTTCATGATACGTGTTGGTGAAGTTTTGACATTTCGTGACAAAAGAATGATCAAAAGCATGGAATGGCTGATAGGTTTGGTAGACTTCAATTACCACTCCTAAATCATGTTTGAGGCCTAAATGAATTGAGATAGAATCATTCCAAGCAAGAAAAAAGGTTTAAAAGGGTTTTTTTTGGTCTAAATTAAAGTTTTTATATATGAACATACCAGTCACCATTTCCAACTATAAGATTTCAAAAGAACCATTACAACATTAATTTCTAAGCGCGTCTGTTATTGAAATTCAATCCACATTGTCATAGCCTTATTACATCCATTCTGCCAATCAATTTTCCAGATCTAGCTGGAACTTGGAATTAATTCTTCTTTTTCACAATTTTCAGCATTGGGATCATTCACAGGCATAAATTAAAAACTAACATTTTAAGACTCTATATACTTTGGCTATAGTTTTTTTTTTAGATACCCAGTTTGTGCTACCTTATTGAAAACCTCACCATCATCAAAAGAATTACAATATAGAAGATGAGGTGGGGCTCAAGGAGCAAACGTAATAGTATTGCTCAAGAAAAATCGAATTCTAAGAATTCATCATCATCATCAACATCACATAGTCAATCTCGTCAAAATGGACGTAACTCGTTAGATGTTAGAAGTTCGGATTTAGAATCACAAAATAATCCATATGCTCATTCAAACCATAGATATAATGGATCTTCTGCTTCAATTCATACTGCAAGAGGTGTTGCTTCATCTAATAATGGTAATAATGATTACGATGCTAAGAATTCAATAGCTTCAAATACAGATTCTACAGCTAACAATCTATCAAATTTAACATTATCAGGATCAACAACATCCATAAACTCAACATTTCAATCCAATTCTTCAAATCAACAAGGTAATCATGCTGGTCCTGAATCAATTCGTACTTTAGCACAGAATGATAATGAATCAATAACCCCAACTATTCCAAATTCAAGCTCATTCAAATTATCTCATTCTGGTACATCAAGTTCACTTAGACCATTCAATTATGAAACTTATGATTCTTCTGAAATTAGAGTTGGGTGGTTGAATAAAGGTCAAAATGTTAATAATTGGACAAATGTTAATAGTGATAGCTGGAGATTATATAAAGCTCAATTGAAAGGACCAGTGCTATCATTATATAAGATTCCTGCTGATTTAAACATTAAAGCTTTTGATCATAATTCTGGAAATCCACCAGTTAATAACAATTTGGAACCAGCTTCATCACAACAAAGTGTGCGACAAAAAAGATTATCAACAGCTTCTTCAAGATTAAATTTAAGACAACAAAATCATCAAGACTCTAAAAATTCTCCAACTACTCCAACAACTCCAACAACTTTACATCACCAACCATCTACATCACAATTGAGTACCAAGAATTATAGAATTAAGCTTAAATACTTATCAGAAGTTTATCCGCATCCTGATTTGCAGTTAAATGCATCAAATTCTATTGTCTCAGGTACCTTAGAAAGTATTTGTCACACTATTTTGTTCAACACATTAGAAGATGACAAGTTATCATATAACCTCTTGGTCATTTTACCATTGTTCGGTGATATGAAAGCCAGTTTGAGATATTTCATTGAATACGCGGTTGTCTTTACTTCTGCTAGACATGCTAAGAATGCCGCTGGTAGAGTTTCAATATCAATAAATACAGATAATATTATTACGCAAAGATTAGCATTGGTAATTAATACTATAAAGGACTCATTCCCTGGTATGTTGTTAGATGATGATTTATCTGAATTGGTCGCTAAATTATTGGAAATCATGCTATCACATAATGAAGAAATTGCAAGAAGTTTAAGAAAAGACGTATCTATTAAAGAAGGTGAAATGAAAAGTTTGACTTTTTTCAAAAATCAAGTTTATCAACCAAATGGTTCTTTGAATTTAACAAATGTTGATAACTTTTTAGCATTGGATTCTCAAGTTTTAGCAAATCAAATTAATCGTATAGATTTAAAATTTAACAAATTATGGAACCCTAAAACTGATGCATCTTTGTTATATGAATTAGAAAACTTGAAATATGCAAGATACAATCCATTGATTTTCAATTCATCAACTAATATTCATTATTTAGGTAGATTGCTAACAAATCATTTGTTTGGTGATAATGAAACTAAAAATTCTGAAATTAAAAGAGCTAAAATCTTATCTAAATGGATTGAATTAGGTTGTGTCTTTGATAAGATTGGTGATATGGTCAGTTGGTTAGCTATTGCAACTGTCATTTGTTCAATGCCAATTCTTAGATTGAAGAAAACATGGTCTTTAGTTGATGAAAAATATTTGAAAACCATTTCTACTGAATGGGCACCTGTTGTATTTGAACTTGATAGAAGAACAATGATCAGTGAAGCTAGTCATAGATCATCATATCATGTTATTGCTCCTCAGGGTATTGGTATTTCATACTCCAAATATGATGTGGTTCCTTATTTTGGTGATTTAACTGTTAAATATATTGAAAACTCCACTTTGAAGCAATGTGAAAAGAGGGTCCAAAGAGTTAAAGTATCATTTAGTAGGTGGGATGAATATCTTGAAAACGTTGATCAAGAAGATGACCAATTTCCAAATTCGAATCTCAATGGACCAAATGAAAATATGGATTTATTAAGACAATTATACAACCTTTTATCAAATCATATTTCATTACCAGCATTATCACAAGAATCCATCATGGAATTGAGTTTGTTAGTTGAGCCAAGTATAATTGGTCAATACCATACTTTGCATTACAACTCTAGAACGCCGTTAATTACTGGATCATATTTACCAACTTTATTCACTGAAGTCTTACCAAGTTATAAATTATTTGATCAATCTGTTTTAATTGGTGCAAGTGGATTTGCTAGTGCAAGATCTGATGATGAAAGTGATAATGGATCAAATTTCCAAAAAATTACAGGTGTCAATGACGTTGATTTACATAGTTATGTCATGAACTCCAAAATCCCATCATCAAAACAACATACATTTTTGAAATCTGTTCGTGATATCTTCAATATTGGCTCAGATGTTTTTCATATTGAAGATGATTTAATTTTCAAATCATTGAATAATGGTGATGAATGGAAAAGTTCAAGACCTGCAAGTGTCGTTCTGGAAAATCCTTCATCAAAGAGATTAAGTCAAATTTCGAATAATAGATTGAGTCACATCTCAAATTCTAATTCGCCTTCTAATAGAGTTTCTGGAAGCTTAGAATTGACACAAACACAACAAGAAGCCAATGATGTTTTTGCTGTTCTTGATAACTCCAATTTGTTAAACTCTTTAGTTAAGCCATTAGATGTTGTTTTGAAAGCTGGTACTTTTGAAAAATTAATTGATATTTTGGTTCTAACTTCAAACGTTTTCTCCAAAAGAATTGAGCAAGAGGATATTGATAGATATCTTGAAAAGTCACACCTATTGGACAATCAATTTTTGAAGCTGAACATGAATAATGGTGTTTTCACATCAACTTTTTTCGCAACTTATAAATCATTTGCTACAACAACTACTTTGCTAGAAAATTTGGCTAAAAGATTTATTGGTTCTAAGTCTGGTGCTATCTCTATTTCTAGATTGAATTCCGACAATGAACAATCAAAATCAGGAATATTCCCAGATTGGTATAGTCAAGTCACTAATGATGATTCACAATTAAATTGGAAATTTGTTGGTAAAATTCAATTAGGTGTCTTAGAAGCTTTGTCAATTCTGATTAATGATCATTATGTTGATTTCACTGATGATTTACAAGTGAAGAAAGTTTTTGTTGATATTTTGAAAATTATTGATAATGAACTTATTGTTGAATGGAAAGATATTTTAGAGAGATCAGCTAATAATCAAGAACTACATAATGAACTCAGTGATATTCATGAGTTATTGTCATCATTATACAAGAAAATCAGAAAGAATTATATCAAGAAATGTTACAGACCTTTGGATGTTTTCCCAAAGAACCAACCAAAGACAGGTGAAAGAACTTTTGGTGATTTAACAATAACTGATCTACCTCGCGATTTTAGAGAGACTGAACAATTTGTTGAAAGATTAGATTGGTTTATCAATGATTTGTTCTCTGCTGTGAGCATTTCTGATTGGATCTCAGTTTTCCAATTGATTGAAATACAAACTGGTAAATCATTAACAAGTTTATTCAAATTTAGAAGTCCTACTGCTGCTAGTGACGATGAAATTGAAATTTTAAACGTCTTCACATGGATTAGATCATTGTATGGTGAAACTCCAGATGATAAGATCTTGGATCAATTTCCACCTCCTGTTAAAATCTTGTTTGATGTTCATTACAACTTGGAGAAATATTTCAAACTACAAATTGCTGATCCTTCAATCACACGAGATGTTCGTACTTCAAGAATGATTGCCATTTTGCAAATTCTATCTGTTTCAAGATTAAGAATGGGCTCTGTTGATTTGTTTAATTCATTTGAAAAGGTGGAAGAAAATGACTTAGGTAAAATTTCACCACATGTTCCATCATTCATTGAAACAGCCATTACTCAAGCAATTGTTTCCCCAGAATCAAGAGCATTTTCAAGAAGTTGGATCTATTCTGCTTCTACATTAAATTCTAATGTTGACAGCTGGGATGATTTGACTCAATTGCTTCCAAATTTTGATGTTGAAGATCTTGATAATAACTTGAAAGGTGGTTTGACACCATGTGTTGGGTGGTTTATTGAAAGATTGATGGAAATTTCATGCTTTGTGCCAAATATGTCAATTGAAAATTCTAAGTTAATTAATTTTGATAAACGTCGTTTCACATACAACTGTATCACAAATATTGTTGATATGAATGCCAACTTTTCTAGTGCATTTTCTGATTCACCAGAAGAAATTGAAGGGATCAAAAAAGATTTCCAATTTTTATACCAATTGGCACATTTCCCAGTTATTGAATACAAACAACTTAAAGAATTTGCAAGTAAAGAAAATAAAGAATATCCAAAGAATGATCAAAAATTCAAGTTTTTAGAATCTTTAATTGAAAATGAACAAGAAAAGCTAAGAAGAGATGCTAAGAAAAAAGATGTTCTAGAAAATCAAGAGAGAGATATCAAGAGATCTCAATTGTTATCACAAGCTAGAACTTCCGTTTCCAGCTCTCGTGAATCACAGCCAATAACTGATCAAAATTCATTGCGTAAAGCACGTCAACCTTCATCGCCATCAAAGGCACCAAGTTCAAGCATGGGTAAAAGATTGGGTGGCTTACTCAAATCTGTTCGTCCATTCTCTATCAATGTTGGAAGTACTTGGTCTGGTCCTGATAGAGTTGTTCATCCTGATGATTTACCAGATGTGAATAATGTTGACTTTAGTGGTAAACATGCTAAACCGTACCAACAAATTAAATTATTCAACAACAAACCTTTATTTGTCCATTCTAATATTGAAGGTTTTTTCAAAATTGTTGGTGATGGCGGTGAAGACTATTGTTTCCAAGCATTAAGTAATCAAGATGCTCAAGGTTGGATCAATGCATTAAATGTTTCAAAGAGATATACATATCTTTCTAAAGATGCTCAAGGTTTGACAACCTCAAAAGTTTTTGGTGTTCCAATTGCTGATGTTTGTGAACGTGAAGGTACTTTGATTCCAAGAATTGTTGAAAGATTATTACAAGAAATTGAACTGAGAGGTCTTGATGAAACAGGTTTGTATAGAATTCCTGGTTCAGTCGGTAGTATCAATTTATTGAAACAAGCATTTGATGAAGGGAATGATTTCACTCTGGAAGATGACCGTTGGTTTGAAATCAATACTTTAGCTGGTTGTTTTAAATCGTACTTAAGAGAGTTACCAGAAAATCTCTTAACATCTGAGCTATTACCAGAATTTGTTTATGCAACTAAACAGGGTGATTTGACTGATAATTTGAAAATTTTGGTTCGTCAATTACCTATTCATAACTACCATTTATTGAAAAGATTGTTTGAACATTTGAACAGAGTGATTCAACACTCTGAAAACAATAGAATGGATGCTACAAATTTGGCTATTGTTTTCGCAATGAGTTTTATTAATAATGATAATATCGGTGCAAGTATGGGTACAGATCTTGGTGCTTTACAAACTATTTTGCAAAGTTTAATTAAGAACCCTGATGCTGTTTTTGGTGAGCAGTTTAATGATGATAGTACTGTTTTCACTGGTAATGAATAAAATAAGATGTGATAATTTTAATCCATTCTATTAATATAAAATTTTGATTTTAATTTTTCTAAAAAATAAAGACCCTAATAGTGGTTATAATAATTTTGAACGTTCATTTGTTTCATATTGTGTGTTTTGTTTTAATTGTGTTTGCTTAATTTTGTTTGTGTTTTTCATTTCCATATATAATAATGACAATTTAAACAAGCTACTTGTTGAAGTGGCTTGTCATCTCTATATGTTTTATTTACCTTATTTCACTACACAAATTATATTCTTATTTTTCTATAATAATAGACGATCATTTTAGTATATGTACATTATTTTGTTGTAGACATTATGAAAATAAAATTCATTCATATATACAAGTTTATTTGAATCTATAATTAATTTTTTGGTCTTCTGACAATCTTAATTTCACCATTTTTTCTTCTAGCCTCAGCTAATTTTTTGGCAACTTGTTCTTGTTCTTGTTGTTCAGCTTTCTTTTCAGCTTTTTTCTTAGCTTTATCGAAATGTTCTTTGAAAGCATCAGCAATACCTTTTTGTGGGGCATTTGGATCAGCTGGTGGTGGTTTAACGATATCAGCAATACCCATTTTATGTCTGAATGCTTTATTTCTCAATAAGGTAGTTTGTAACACAGAGAATAGACCATTGACAAAGAAATATAAAACAACACCACTTGATAAACTCATGGTAGCAGGAATAGAAACCAATGGTAAAACCAACATAATTTTTTGCATTTGAGGACTGAATTGTTGAGCACCAGTTTCACCACCTAATTTCATGAACCCCATAATAACAGCAGCTGATAAACATTGTAAGGCTAAGTATGGGTCAGCAGCAGTTAAATCTTGAAACCATAAGGCACCTTGAGTAGAGAAACCATCGACATTAGCATTTGCCATACCACGTAAACCTGAAAAGAAACCAAGAGCTAAAGGAAGTTGAAGGACTGGAGCTAACAAGTAACGAGTTTTGACACCATTATCAGCTAACAACTTCTTACGTTTCAACATAACTTTTTGATTTTCAGCCATATCAGTTGCTGTATACATTTCCTCTTGAATAGCATCTAATTGTGGTTTAATTTTGGAGTTTCTAGCCATCGTATCTGAAGATTTGACGTATAATGGGAATAAAAGAGCACGGATACCAATAGTGGTAATTGTAATAGTAGCCCACCATGGTAATCCTGTTGAGACATGAACTATTTCCAACACATGTTGAATAAGTTCTGGAGGCCACCACCAAGATTTAGCTAACCCTATGGATTGTAAATAACCAAATTGTAAGGATGCTTCACCCACAGCTTGACTTGTTACATCGACAGCTTGTTCTGCAACTTGATCGAATGATTGAAGAGATTTTTGAATTTCTGTAGTAGCTTGTTGGGCTGAAGAGCTTGAGTTGAATCTCACACTGTTTTGTAATATATATGAAGATGGTAAAGTTCTTTGCAAATTAGCCCCAATGAATAGAGGTTGTAAACGAGCCTATGAAAGGATGCGGGTTAGTATGAAGTTCCAGAAAGTAAAGGATTCCAGCAAAAAAAAAGAATTACTCACAGTCTTACTGCTGCGTATTATGGTTGATCTCAGCATTTTCCAAAAACTTATCCTACTCAAAGAGCCTGACTTCCCGGATACTGTTCCAATACATTCATCAATATTAGATCTCCTAGAACTTTGGCCTGTGAAAAATCGACGTTTTGCAAAAAAACTCTATGACTTATGTAATCCGCGATGATTTTTATTACTAGTATATGAAAAATACATACAAAGCGAAAAGGTCTTCTAAAGATATTTGAGAAGGGCTGCTAGGAGACCAGAAAGGGCTTGCTTGAGGAAACCATGGTAATAGTGATACGGCAAGGAATTTTGCTCAGGAATCTTCCCAAAGTGGTGCTGCGAAATGGGACCAGGCTTATAACTTCAGCTTCAAATTTACCAGAATTATCATCAACATTATCATCAAAAGAGATTCAAAGCTTAAAGCTCTTATATGATGCACTTCCCAAACAGCATACACATATTATGACAATATTTAAAAAGGCTATAAGGCCTCTATCTCCTGGTGATAAAGCGAAAGTTTGTGTCACTATTTTAGAACAGATACAAGATCATGCATCTAACAGACGCTTATTGGAAGCAGTTTTATCCACAGTCGATTCACAAGCTTTATCAATGAATGCAATCAATAATCTAGCTCAGCTTGTTCCAAAGATAGAGAAATCATATAATGCAATTACCCCTGTCTTGCAAGCCAAATTTGCACAAGTTTTCAAAGAACATTCCTCCGATGAGCTCATTTCAAAATTTATTTCAAATGAAGATGCACAATGTGGAAAGTTGTTGAAACACATATTAATAATAATGCTTTTGAAGTCCAAAAGATACTCTGAAGCTTCTAATATTGTGCATAGATCTTTGCAAAACCGATCAAAATTAAGTCCAATCACTATTGAATTGTTGGTTCTTCATTTATGTGAACTCAACGATGTTGATGAAATAAATAAGGCTAGAATAATACTCGGTTTAGCTAAAACACAAGCATATCCAATCCATGCTCGTACATTCTCAACCCTATTGACAAAAGCGGTACAATTGAATGATTATGAAACATGTTATAAGATTCAAAGAAATATAAGAGATCGTACATATGTTGATAATGGTACTTTAATCAAGTTAGCTGAATCTTTAGTTCATAAAGGTGCTTATCAAATGGTTTGGGGGATTGAAAAAGAAATTGGGCGCAAGAAATCATTTTCACCTGAGTTTATAGAAAGATTAAATATAGCTGTCGTTGAAAGTGTTGCAGTTAAAGAAGGTTTCACTAAAGCCTGGAATAAATTGAAAGAAATTCATCAAGGTCAAGAACTATTTGTTGTTGATTATCCATATTTAATTAAAAGTTTTGTATTGATAAAAGATCAAGATGAATTGAATTTTTTCATTCATAAAGAGTTGAATGTTGAAAGTGATGAATTAAAGAAATTTATTATAAATTTGATTGTTAAAAAAATGGCTGACTCTGGTGAAGTTAAAAAAATGCTATTAATACTGAAAAATTCTCCAACGTTAAGATCTTACATTAGAGAAAATGTAATTTTACAACTGATCCATGGTTCTTTGGTCTTGGAAGATTCAACAATCTTGAAAGAAGTTTATGATCTTGTTGAGGAACTTGGAATGAAATTTCATGAAAAGAAAACAGTAAACTTATTTATTTCAGCATTTACGGGTACTGAATACTCGTCATATATACCAAAAGTGTTGGATCTTGTTGCGATTGAAAACTTCAAGCTAAGATATGATATCAATAAAAAATTGAAAAAATGATATATCATCAAATAACAACCATGAACATATATAAATATATATTCTGCATCTGTATATACATAAGGGCTCATGAATGATAATATGTCCTTCTAGATTCAAATTGATTAACTTTCTGTAAAACAATTTTAGGACCTTTTCGGTGTTCGGTCAGTATTTGGTAACTGATACGCGCGGTGATCCAGTTATTTCGGTAATCTGAAAAACGTCCACTTCAACAATAATATTAATCACTTTAATAAAAGCTAACTTTCTCTACAAACTTTGCTCAATTATCGTCTATAACCTCCAGGTACGGTTAAATCATCACATTGAAACAATGGCCACAATTAATTTCGCTAAAGGACATCCAACTAACTCACTTTTTCCCAATAAAACAATTGTTGAAGCCACAAGCTCACTTCTATTGAATGATAGAGATTATGATCTTGATCCAGCTAATAGACATCCATTAACTTATGGTGCAGATGATGGTGCTCTTTGGGTTCGTGAAGAAGTTTCCAATTTTGTGAATAGAACTATTGAACCAAAATTTGAATCAAAAGCTGAATATTTTAATTTAACTGGTGGTTCATCTTATGGGTTAATGAATATTTTGGCACAATCAACTTTACCACATACTGGGTATACAAAGCAAGCTTTTTTAATTACACCAACTTATTTTTTGGTTAATGATACATTTATTGATGCTGGATTTTCTGGTAAAATGACTGGTATTGATGAAAAAAATGGTAGTATTGATTTTGAACAATTTGAATCTAAGTTAAAACAGTTTGATGATGATATTGATCATGAAAAAGATTTAAAAATAATAATAAACCCAGATGGTTCACATAATAAAAAAGTTTATAAATTTGTCATCTATTGTATTCCAACTTTTTCAAATCCAGGTGGTGAAACATATGATTTAGATACAAGATTAAAATTACTGGAATTAGCAAGAAAATATGATATTTTGATCATTACTGATGATGTTTATGACCTTTTGGATTATGAACAACCATTGGACAAATTACCAAAGCCATTACCAAGAATAACCCATTTAGATCGTGAAACTTATACTAATGAACATGGGAATACAATAAGTAATGCAACTTTCTCCAAGTTAATTGCACCTGGATTAAGATTTGGTTATCAAGAAAGTGTTAATTCTAAACTGGTTACACAATTAAGTCAAGGTGGTGCAAATGTTAGTGGTGGTACACCATCCCAATTGAATTCTATGGTTGTTGGAACAATCCTAAAAGATGGATTAATTGATGATGTGGTGAACAATTTTAGAAAGACATATTCAGAAAGAGCACATTTATTAGGTGAGCTAATTGAAACACATTTACCAAAAGATTTGAAATTTGTTGGTCTAAAAGGGGGATATTTCACTTGGGTTACTTTCCCGTCAAAATATGACGTTCAAAAGATTACAGAAGAATTGAAAACTAAAAAGAACGTTATTGTCGCTAATGGTAAAAACTTTGAAGTAATTGGAGATGAAAGAAACTGGGGATCAAAAGGTGTCAGATTAAGTATTAGTTATTTAACAGTGGATGAGATTAAAGAAGGTATTCAAAGATGGGGTGATTTAATGAAAGAATTGTATCCATGATAATATTTCCCGGAATGAGTGATAGTACATTTAATCTAATAGATACATTATAAATCACATTTTAAAGCAGTATAGTATTTTAGCTATTCTAATTATAATAGAGTCTAAACGTACCTGAAGAATCGGTTAAATGAATTACGCCAGAGAGTGAGACCGGGTAAATAAGTATCGGCCGGCCGCCTCACCGCATTTTCCTTTTATTGTTTGTAGATTTGGCCTTCATTCTAGTGGGACATTCACTCACATGAAAGAGGTTGTGAATGAGTTGATGTGCATTGTACACTATTCGTATGGTATTAATAATATGCTTAATTAAAACGGCTTAAAATCTCAATTCCTGTCAATTTTGTGTAAATTTCTTTATCTCCCTTAAAATCCTTTAAAATTTTCTGCGTAATTTTTAATTTTTCATTAATACTGCACGGCCGAGAGAGCACGGGCTCGCCTTCTGCTTTGGGAAGGATCCCCCGATCTTGCTGATTATTTGTAATTTGTTAATGCCGATGGTGCATAAGTTCATAAAATATTATTGGTATAAAACAAAACAAATTGTCACAAATTATAAAATGACTTCACATATCTAGGTATTTATTAGATTCTCAAGTGCTATATTCACATCATGAGTAGTAATAATCAAGAACAGGTACAGGAATTCCCATCCGACGAACAAATTGGAAATAAGTTATACGGTATGGACCAACTATCTCAGAGTTATAGTAGATCACATTATGAATCTGGTGATGAGGAAGCTCAAATTGGTATTAATGAAGAAAGTGATACTGATAACTTGGAAAAATCTAGTGAAGTAGCTTCAGGACAACAACATAAATCAGCTGGTATACAGAATGGTTCAACAAACTCTTCAAATCAAAATCAAGGCGGTACTCCAGGAGCTGGTGCAGGAGGTCCACCTGGTCCTAAACAAAAAGTTCATCTTTTCCATCCATCAATAAGTCATTTGAGAAAAAGAATTGGTATGGATTTTTTGAAAACATGGTTTGTCTTGGGTTGTTTAATTATTTCAATGTTCTCAATGTATTGGGGTGCTTTGTATAATCGTCAAGCTCATTTGAAAAATTTAACATCATTGGTCATTATTGAAGATACAGAAGTTGATGGTATACCCGCTTATATTGGTGAAACAATAACTGAATTGATACAAAACAAACCTTTCAATCAACAAGCAACTTTCCATATTTATCAAGGTGATGATATTTATCAAAAATTTGAAAGAGGTTCAAATATTACTCAAGAAGTTATAACTCAAGTTCATCATAGAAAATATTGGAGCGCTATTCATATTTATCCAAATGCAACTTATAATCAATATCAATCATATGCTAATGCTGAAGAAGTTCAACAAGAACATCCAGTAGTACAAGTTGTTTATGAATCTGGTCGTGATATCACAAATATGAAACCATTTGTTGTAACTCCATTAGAAAATTTAGAACTTGCATTCCAAGAAAAATTTGCTGAAGTATCATCACAATTAATTAGTAGATTATCATCAAATGAAAAGACAAATTTAATTTCCAAACCTGAACTAATTTCCACATTACCAAAATTTCAACAATTAGATTATCGTCCATATACTGATAATACTTTATTAGCACCAATGCAAGTTGGTCTGATTTATTTAATCATTGTTTCATTCTTTTTATTCAGTTTCTTTGCAGAAACACATAAAATATTATTACCACATGTTAAATTACCACAATATTTACTTTATAGATTTTTTGGTAATCAAATTAGTTATTTTGTTTTAGCTTTATTTATTTCCACAGTTAGTGCAATTTTCCAAATTGATTTTACAAAAGCATTTGGTAAAGCTGGGTTTGTTATTTATTGGTTTACAAATTATTTAACTTTATCAGCTGTTGGTGGTGCAAATGAAAATATGGCCATGTTAATTTTCACATATAATCCACCATTTGTATCATTTTGGTTAGTTTCATGGGTTATTATGAATGTTTCACCAAGTTTTAGTCCAATGGCTTTAACTAATCATTTTTATAGATTTGGTTATATGATGCCAGTTCATGCTTCAAATGAAATTTTTAAAGTTTTATTTTTAGATATTTGGAAAGGTCAATTAGGTCTTTATTATGGTATTTTAGTTATTTGGATTGTTTTGAATTCCATCTTATCACCTTTGATTTTAAAACATGTTGGTGGTGTCATGGCTAAAAGAGCTCAAGCTGCCGCTGCAGCTCAACAACAAAAATAGAAGGTTTCAAGATATACGCATTCTAATTTAATGAAAGCCTAAATTTCACTTTGAATTTCATCATATATATAACTAATAACAAACACTATTTCATGAACATAATTTAATTACATAATATACTAATTTAATATCATCTATCACTAAACTAGAATAATAATTCAATTGTAGATGTTTTTATTTTGTTTCAAAATAGGTTAATATCTGGTTGTCAAGGTGTAAATATTTTTGTTTTTATTGTCCTCAAACTTTAAACCCAAATACGAAACAAGTACGCACCAATATTATTATCATTTCGCAAGTCATTTCAAGTTTGGGGTACAAAGAAGATAGTACTCTTCAGACTTCTACCTAATGGGCTTCGGTTCGGACAAGAGCTGGTAAGATATGATACGCTTAGTTAATATTTATACTTACAAGTAGTTCTACTTTGGGTATAATAGATCCTAATCAAGCCGGTTCTTTGATAAATATGTTACTGGTAATATTTACGTTAGGTACAATTTATTTGAGGCATTTCGGTGTTGACTTTCTTTTTAATGCCAATAAATAACAATTGGAAAGCCAGTTACTCTTTATAGAAGACCAGCGCAAGCCTTGAAATCATGATGATATAACAAAAGTAGTGTTGAGTAGTAAAGTACACAGGTGTATTCACATGTATTCACAAGTTTATATAATCATTGGTAGTAAAGCCCTTACGCTCTTACTCAAACAATATACCAAGAACTTCGAACGTATTGGAGATAGATCATCTCATCATGTCTCAGTGAATCAGTGAATCTATGATTTTGACTTAAACATAGACATTTCCACTAATATCCTTGATCAAAACACTTGATTACATGCGCATATAAAGAGTATCGTTTGTAAGGCTGTTTGATTCTTAACATGGGGTGATTTTGATTCATGAATGATGAACAAACTCGATGAAATGATCTTCCTACTCTCTTTGATTCGAACCACAACTTGTGTGGTAATTGAACTTCTGTTGAGGACCCCTTCAAAATTCAAATTATTGGCATCCCTTTTTTAGCGAAATGCATGCTTATATTTACATTTGTAGAACTTTGTGAGCTCAAACTTGACTACTAGTTAGCTGAATCAAAGTTGATTCAGTCCAGCCTCAGATGTTCTTTAATCCCAGTGACAAGAATCTTATCTAGGGGAAATCATGTGCTCTACAAGCTATAGTTGATCCGTGTATGATGAGCATTGTACACTATCCAGTTGTTTAAATCCATACAGCTTTTGTACTCGAGTTTTTAAGGACTTTGATGATCTTTTTTGATAAAGTATACTCAACTTTATATTTGCTTTTTCAAATTATTAGTAAGAAATTGTATCAAATTTTGAGGGATCAATCAGAAGATAATCAATAAAATATTATACCAATGGTACAATACATTTGGTAACATGTCAATCATGAAATGTGAAATACGTTGAAACATGTACTTGTGATGAAATCTAACCAATATTCTCGGAATAGAATCAAATTGGTTGTTGCTGGTCAGATACTTACTTTTTCCATTTAATCAAAGTTGTGCCCAGAGTATACAATTCTACAAATACAAACCAAATAGGAAAGTTGTTGATGTAAAAGGAAGTTTGAGCTGGGTTTATTGCCGTATTTAATCAATCATCACAAAATTAAATCGCTAAAATTAGTTTATTATTCAAATTTAAAGTTTTGAGATGCTTGAATCAAGAGTTTTCTATTATTACCTTACATATCATAAAAAATCCAATAATAGAAATCGTTAAATGATTATAATTAGAAATTTGATGGAATTGGGTATAAAAGGATATGACATTCCTGTTTTCAATTCAATTTCATTCAGATAATTATAGTTCATCAAAAGTCATACGTTCGCTCAAAATGAAATCATCATTCATCGCCTTATCCGCTGTCGCTGCTGTCGCTCAAGCTCAATATTTCAATTCATCTTCAGTCGTTGATGTTACAACTGTTACCAAAAACACTGTTGTTACTGAATTCACCACATATTGTCCAGAACCAACTACTATTGTCACCAATGATAAGACATATACTGTCACTGAAGCTACCACTTTAACCATCACTGATTGTCCATGTACCGTTCCAACTGTTATCACTCTTCCAACTGCTTCAGTACTTCCAACTGAAGAACCAAAACCATCTGAAGGAGGTAACACTACTGTTGAAACTAAAACCAAATCAACTGTTGTCACAGAATTCACTACTTACTGTCCAGAACCAACTACCATTATTACAAATGACAAAACTTACACTGTTACAGAACCAACTACCTTGACTATTACAGATTGTCCATGTACCGTTCCAGTTGAACCAGAACAACCAGACCAACCAGAAAAACCAACATCAGAAAAACCAACATCAGTTGCTCCAACTCCAATCCCAGAACCAACTCCAGATCATCCTGCTCAACCATCCCAACCAGAACAACCTGCTCAACCATCTGAACCAGCTCAACCTTCTGAACCAGCTCAACCATCTCAACCAGCTCAACCTTCTGAACCAGCTCAACCATCTCAACCAGCTCAACCTTCTGAACCAGCCCAACCATCTCAACCATCTCAACCATCTCAACCATCTCAAGCTGCTCCATCTTCAGCTGCTCCATCTTCAGCCGTTCCACCAATCGTTACACAATCTGAAAATGCTGCTGGTAACTTAGAAGCTTCAGTTTTCGGTGGTTTATTTGCTGCTGTTGTTTACATGTTATAAGTTTGATACTTATAATATTATAATCTTTCATTTACTTCTTCCATTCTTTTTAATTGATTCCAAATATTAAACAAGATGTTTTTATGTTTCTCAAGATCTTGTTTAAAGCAAATTGATGATTGATTCCATCAATTTAAAAGCTTATTTATTTACCCAAAAGATACCACAATTCTATTAATACAGCTTCAACTTATAAGCTTGATTATTGATTTTGATTTTTTTTTCTATATGAATTCTACTAATAATATCTAATATTACAAAAGGTGATTTATACAGGTCATTTTTAATGATAAAAATTGTTTAAAGTTTGTTTCTACAACGTTTCCATGTTGATAATTTGTATAATTTTATGTCATGCTTCTTTATGTTCAATAATATTCGTATGTTATACTATATATCTTCCGAATGAATGAATACACCTAATACTAGAGCTTTAAAATTATATTGGCACACAATTAAGATGGAACATGAAGTTTTAACGTACCGTAAAATGAAAGTGTATTATCGTATTCGGTACTATACATCCAGCTACTAAATAATTCGCGCTTATGTAATCAAAATATAATTAAAGCATAAATTTAGCGTCCTGAATATAAATAAAACACATTGATTCTGAGTTAACCATACTTAAATGCCTACAAATAACAAAGATATATAATAAATATCTAGTAATTCGAAGAAATTTTGCAAAAAAATTTTAAATATTAAATTAAGTGTATCATAATAATTTTAAATTCAGTTTAAAATTGAAAAAGTCTAAAATTATGAATTTTTTAAAAGTTGAATATATGCATTTTTGACAGCATCAGATGATAAAATGGGCCAAATTTAAACTATCAAAGGTTTTATAATTACAATAAGCAAGCTATTATATACTTAAAATTAAGATTAAATTTGTATCACGTGACATAAAAAAGATAACGAGGTGATTCAACGGATAAAAAAAACATAAGTTAATCCGATGTAGTGTAACGGCTAGCACGGTCCGCTTTCACCGGGCAAACCGGGGTTCGACTCCCCGCATCGGAAATTACTTTTTTGCTCATTATATCAAATTTTCACCACTTTAAACTTCATATTATCATCACAGAAGGTTTAAGTTTAATAAAATAATTTTTTGAAGTTGGTTTTGGGGGGATTTTATCTTTATTTTCGACGTTTGTCTTTAAGTGTATTGTTGACTCCGATTATTTCCAGATTCGCTGGAGTCAAATTTAAGGAAAATGACACTTTTATTATGTTCGGTAATAAAAAAAAATATCATTTAAATATGATAGTTGATAAGTTATAAGTTAAACTTGTTTCACAATTACAATTGTTTAAGATTTATTTAATCAATCAATTATCACCTCATCAATCAAATTAGCTAACTATATAATGTCATCAATCACCACAACAGATTTGAATGGAATCTTACCATTAGTTGCTCGTGGTAAAGTTCGTGATATATATGAAGTTGATCAAAATACTTTGTTGTTCGTTGCAACTGATAGAATTTCAGCTTATGATGTTATAATGCAAAATGGTATTCCAGAAAAAGGTGCCCTATTGACTAAATTATCAGAATTCTGGTTCAATTTCTTGGAACCTTATACTAAAACTCATATTATTAAAACTGATGATATCTTTAAATCATTACCATCAGAATTATCAAAACCAGAATACAAATCACAATTAGAAAACCGTGCTTTATTAGTCCATAAATATAAGTTAGTTCCATTAGAAGTTATCGTTAGAGGTTATATCACTGGATCTGCTTGGAAAGAATATAAAAAATCAGGTACTGTTCATGGTGTTAAAATTAATGAAACTTTACAAGAATCTCAAGAATTCCCAACCCCAATTTTCACACCATCAACAAAAGCTGAACAAGGTGAACATGATGAAAACATTTCTATTGAACAAGCTGAAAAAATTGTTGGTAAAGATTTGACTGAAAAAATTGGTAAATTAGCCATTGATTTATATTCAAAAGCAAAAGAATATGCAAAGACTAAAGGTATTATAATTGCTGATACTAAGTTTGAATTTGGTTTAACTGAAGATAATGAACTTGTATTAGTTGACGAAGTTTTGACCCCTGATTCTTCAAGATTCTGGAATGCAAAAAATTACGCTTTAGGTGAATCTCAAGATTCTTATGATAAACAATTCTTAAGAGATTGGTTAACATCAAATGGGTTAAACGGTAAAGAAGGTGTTAGTATGACTGAAGAAATTGCCCAAAGATCAAGAGAAAAATACATTGAAGCTTATGAAGCTTTAACTGGTGAAAAATGGGCTTAATTTTCTTTTTAATTATGTATAATATGAATATTGATTATTCGCTTGAAATGTATAGAATAAATTTACATTAGGATTTGAAAAACATATGTATTCAATTTTTATTCATGTAAACAAACAAATAGTATCAGAATATCATAAACCAAAAACAATCCAACGTCAAAATTAAATCAAAAATATCACAACCAACAACCAACATAACAAAACCAATGAATTTCATCCACAAATTATTCATATTACTATACTTATTAACCCTTTTTCAGTTAAATTATTTCCATATCACCAATTTTAACCTTATTCTTTCCTTGTTTTCCATTTATAACTTACTTGTTTGACTTAGAACCAGTTATTATTATACTTGGTTTGAAATGGACCAACATCATTATTATCATTAAAAGCACCTTCAAATAATTTTGCATTTTTGGCAATCAAGCCGTTCGATTTTTTTGATGATGAAGGTGGTGCATATCCACTATTAGTTGGTTTGGTATATTTTTTACTTATTGGTGGATCATTATCTAGGATCTGAGTTAATGGTAATCTACTATGTGATGGTGTTTCTAATTCTCTTGGACCTTTTAAAACCTTAGCACCAGCTGGGGTTCCTGGTGATGTTACCATCGAGAAATCCGAAGGTGATGGATGACAACTTAATGTTTGTTGTGCCATTGGTGTTTTCGACTTTGGTGTAGATCCAATTTGCATTTGTTTTAATCTTGATCTTACTTCTTTTTCAACAACATATTGAAACTCATTTTGATAATTGATTCTGATTTCTTCAACTTCTTGTTCAATTAATTTTCTTTGATAGTTTAACTCTTCACTTAGACTTTGCTTTGCTCTTATTAATTCATTTTCTTTCAACATTAATTCATCTTCAAATTTCTTTAAATTTAATTCATAATTATTCAACTGCAAATCTTTCATTTGGATTTTAAAATTTAGGTGTTGTAGAAGTTCAAATGTTGGTAATCTCTGGTTTATATCAACTTGAATACAGTAACTTATAATTCTTCTTAGAGATGCTGAATAATGTTCAGGAATATCTGGATAAATTCCTTCTTGTATTTTTTTTTGTAATTGTAAATGAGTTTTGGCTTGGAATGGTGGATGTAATGCACATAATTCATAAATAACACAACCTAAAGACCAAATATCACAAAGTGGAGTATAAGGTTGATCTAACAAAATTTCTGGTGACATGTAGTAAGGCGTACCAACACATGTTGTAGCGAATTCGATCTCATGCTCTAACGATTTTGCCAAACCAAAATCACCTAATTTGAATTTCCCATCAGATAAGAATATATTGTCAGGTTTAATATCTCTATGTATGACTATTTTTGTAGTGTCTGTGATTGTTGGGAATTCCATCTCTTCATAAATGTTCTTGACGATTGGTGAATTCACTCCATAGTGACAACGATAAAGCGCCATAAGAATCTGTGTAAATATATTCCAAATGATACCTTCTGGTAAATATTCATTGGAGTTTCTATAGTTTTTAATAATATATGATAAATCACCACCATCACAATACTCCATATAGAGATAAAGCATGTGCTGTTCTGGAATATGAGCATGATGAACATACTGGACAATATTTGGATGGTTCAATTCACTCAATATTCTGAACTCTGAGATCAGTTGTGTTCTTTCTTTAGGATTCATATGCCCATATGGTATTTCTTTTCTAACCAGAAGCTATAATCAATAGTTGTTAGTTTGTACCCCATATAATATACCGCTGTTTATACATACTCTGCCATCCCTCACTCTTCTGACCTTCCGTACACAACCAAAAGAACCTCTTCCGATGAGCTCCAGTACTTCATACTCTTCATTGAGAGCAGGTGAGCCAGACATATTGTTTTGCTTTTGTTAACTTCACCAATATTGTTTAGTTTGGAATGATATGCTCTTTTTACAAAAGTGTTGATCTAGCTAAGACGCTAGAAATTCCAGGTATTTAATTAATCAGATCAAAAACAGTAGTAGAAAATTCCAAATCAGAGTCTTAACCCAGATTTCTCGAAAACGTATATACTAAAAAGTTGTGAAATGTCTGCTATTTTTTGTTTACGTTTTTCCCTTTTGAACGAAGATTCGCGAAACGTCAAGATTATGTAATAGTATGCATAAAACTGACATAAGCAGATTTTTTTCTGACTCTGATTTTTTGATAGATTAGATTGAGATACCTATGATTTGAGCTTCAATTTATAAAGAAAAGTTGCTTAGCTTTTAATTTTTTAGTGTAATAAGCTTACTGGTATAGCTAACTCTCATATTCAAATAAGTACAACAGAAGCTGTGAAAAATGGAAAACGTTACAATTGGTATTTTAGGTGGTGGCCAATTAGGCCGTATGCTTGTTGAAGCTGCTCATCGTCTCAATATTAAAACTGTCATCTTGGATGCTCCAAACTCTCCAGCTAAACAAATCAATGCTTTAGATGAGCACGTTGACGGTTCATTCTCAGATGCTGAAGGTATTGCTAAGTTAGCAGCCAAATGTGATGTTTTAACTGTGGAAATTGAACATGTTGATGCTGATGCATTAGCTAAAATTGCTAAATCTTCAAATGTTAAAGTTTATCCATTACCAGAAACTATCAAATTAATCCAAGATAAATATTTACAAAAATTACATTTAATAGATCATGGTATTCAAGTTGCTGAATCAATTGATGTTGATAACACTGAAGAAGCTTTAGAAAAAGTTGGTGAAAAATTTGATTATCCTTTTGTCTTGAAAGCTAGAACTTTAGCTTATGATGGTCGTGGTAACTTTGTCGTCAAAACTAAAAACGACATCCCAGAAGCATTAAAAACTTTAAACAACCGTTCATTATATGCTGAAAAATGGGCACCATTCACCAAAGAATTAGCCGTTATGGTTGTTCGTTCAATCGAAGGTGAAGTCTTTTCATATCCAACTGCCGAAACCATCCATAAAGATAATATCTGTCATCAAGTCTTTGCTCCAGCAAGAGTTCCAGATTCAGTTCAAGAAAAGGCAAAAATATTGGCTCAAAATGCTGTCAAATCATTCCCAGGTGCTGGTATTTTCGGTGTTGAAATGTTTTACTTACCAAATGGTGAATTATTGATCAATGAAATCGCACCAAGACCTCATAATTCTGGTCATTATACCATAGATGCTTGTGTTACCTCACAATTTGAAGCTCATATCAGAGCTGTTGCCAACTTACCATTACCAAAAAATTTCACTCAATTAACAACAACAAATACAAATGCCATCATGTTAAACGTGTTAGGTGCCAAAGAACCAAATGGTGAATTAGAAGCTTGCAGACGTACATTAGAAACTCCAGGTGCTTCAGTTTACTTATATGGTAAAACAACAAGACCTGCAAGAAAAATGGGTCACATTAATATAGTCACAAGTGATATGAAAGAAAGTGAACGCCGTTTAGCTTATATAATGGGTGAAACATCTAAATTAGAAATAACAGACGATGATTCTAAAGGAAAATCTCCTAAACCGTTAGTTAGTATAATAATGGGTTCAGATTCAGATTTACCAGTTATGTCAGTTGGTGCAAATATTTTGAAACAATTTGGTGTTCCATTTGAAGTTACTATTGTTTCAGCTCATAGAACTCCTCATCGTATGTCAAAATTTGCCATTGAAGCTGCTCAACGTGGTGTCAAAGTTATAATTGCAGGTGCTGGAGGTGCAGCTCATTTACCAGGTATGGTTGCTGCTATGACCCCATTACCAGTCATTGGTGTTCCAGTTAAAGGTTCAACTTTGGATGGTGTTGATTCATTACATTCAATTGTTCAAATGCCTAGAGGTATTCCAGTTGCTACTGTTGCAATCAATAACAGTACAAATGCTGCATTATTAGCTGTTAGAATATTAGGTACTTCATACCCACAATATTTCACTGAAATGCAAAATTATTTACTAAGACAAGAAGAAGAAGTTTTAGTTAAAGCGGACAAACTTGAAACAATTGGTTACGAAAAATATTTGGAAAAATAATGCGTATAATATTAAATTTTTCACGAGATACAAAATAGTTCAAATTATGATCAACAAAAAGTAAAAACGAATAAATAATTATTGATAGATCTAAACAATTATTTTTGATAACTAAAATGTAGTCAATCTATAACTGGACTATATTCTTGACATAACATCTTCAATATAGTTTATAATAGTTTCCATTTGATTTGAAATCAGACCAACATAAGCCCAAAATCTACCTTGTGCTTTCACGAATCTGGAACACAATCTTAACTTTTCCTTCAAACAGTTTACATTAAAAGTTTCTATGAAGATTAGGAAATCAGGTTCATTCATTTCAAGTGTAATGACTCTTTGATAATTCCCAATAACAAAATCAACTAATCTTTTTCCTGGTGCTGGTTTTAAATTTGATTTATTTTCTTGAATAGTGAAGCATTTGGTTAATACAATAGCTGAAGCTAATACTGTCAAAGCGTTAGCAATAACAACAACTGAAAAAACCGGATATTGATTCCAAACATCAGGATATTCCTCATCGTCTTCAACTTTTGCTGAAAATGTTTTACCTGGTTCTTCTTCAGCATCTAACCACCAATTTTCATTTGATTTCAATGAATTGATCTCTCCTGCTGGGGTATAATTTGATGGACCTCCAATAACTTGCATAGGATATGTTGGATTTTTGTTCTGCGGTATCTTAGCTTCACCTAATTCAAGCATTTGAACACCACTAAATGCAGATAAGAAAGTTTCAATGAAATGATGAAGTTGAGTTTCATTTGTTTGTGAACATGATTGTAAAAGTTCAGCAACAGATAACCGATAAAGTGAATTGAAAACATCATCTGGATTATTGTTTGCATTTGTTTCATGAGGTTTAACCAATAATAATGGTGAGCAAAATGTAACATTTATGGCTATTTTTGCCGCTGCTGAAATTAATAATGTGAATACTTTAGATATGTTTAAAACCAAGACACTCTTTCTGATATGTGATATTTGAAATAATTCATTTTTGGCTATTTCATCAACCAGTTGAATTCTACTATTATATGAATCAACTGATGTATTTGTTAAGTTCCCGGCTGAAACGGTATCCATGATATCTTCCATAGTCTTGATGGCAATAATGATTAAATCAGCATCTTGAAACTTTTTGAAAACCTCTTTATTTGTTTTAGCTTCATTTAGCCATTTTTCAAAATCACTCCATATATTGTATCTCAAGCTTTGAGGTGAAACCACATCATTTGTGTCAAATAAAAACAGATTTTGATTATAAGCAGTATCTGAGGCTGGAAATTGTAATTGAGGTTGAAATTTCAACAAATCTTGAGAAATTGGATGATATGGGATACCTCTATTGAGTCTAACGAAAACATTTAACTTCCAACTACCCCAAACAGTTCTTATAAGATCTTCTCTCACAACCAATTGTCTCTTTGTAGCAACACGGGCAAATGTTTCAAAATTACTTCCCAACTTCAAAGTTGGTAGGATATTATTTACTTCTAAAATTCTCATTAATCTTTCAGATCCTTCTATAGCTTGTTCAACATAACCACCCGGACCCAAAGACCCTGATAGTAGAACCATTGCTTGTAAAGAAGACTCTAGTGATAATAAATCCCAGTGTTTTTCTGCAAGGAAATACCAATGTTGAGGATCTCTTAAATTCTGATTAGGAATTTGTTTAGCACTAGCAAAACAACAAGATGATGAGAACATAGCATGTAACAATGATGCATCTTTTCTAACATTCAAATGAGATACGAGTCTATGTTTTGGCTGAACAAATGGACGACTTGGATGAATATATCTATAATACAGATCTATCAAAATACAAGTTGTTTTCCAATCTGGTAAATCAAAAAGCTCTAATTCTTGATCTGAAATGTAAATATAGTGATTGAGTGAAACTGAGCTTGATATAGAAGTTCCTGGTGTAGCATTTGTATCTCTAGATGAATAAGGTCTTTTTCTTGAAAGCGAATCATGTGCTTGATAATCGTTACTTGATGGATATATTTGATCTTGATAATGAACAGGCTGTGATACTGATCCATTTGGATGTTCTGATTGTGATTTGTATGAATTAATTTGCTGCTGCTGCTGCTGTTGATGTGGATTCATTTGTAGCTGTTGTGGTTGAAGTGGCGGCTGTGGTGGATATTGGTTAACTTGGGGTTGATAAAGAGGCTGATTCACTGGCATATATACAGGTTGATGATGTTGATGATGTTGATGATGTTGATGTTGTTGATGATGTTGTTGATGCTGCTGATTGGAATCATAATGAGCTGGGGGTTGACTTGTACTTGGAAATGGATATCCCTGTTGATTTAATTCTTGTGAAAAACCTCTATGTATCAAGGGAAATGGTGAATCAGCTGGTTCATGTAAAGAACGAACCTTGTCTTGAAGAGAATTTGATGATCCAGATGATCTGTGTAATCCAGGTTGAATTGGTGGTGAAACATTGGTTCCATCATTATTGAAGTTGTAGAATGGTGAAGCTATTCCAGATACAATATTGTTTGGAGTATCTAGATCACTTCCAACGCGCTGATGAATGGACCCACCGGGACTTTGAAGAGGTATTAGACCATTGTTGGCTTGTGGAATATTTGTTGATGAGCTATGACGAGACACTAATGAAGGTTTACCTGAAGGAGTTGTATGACTTGATGTAGTTGATGTTGGATCTTTTGGCTTCTTCCGTCTTCCTCCTCTTAAGCTTCGTACAAATACACACTCCAAATTGAGCAACTTGCAATTTGAACAACGTTGATGTGTAACTTCACCAGACTTTCCATCTGGATGTGAAATTTGTATTTCACCATCACATTTGATCTTTTTCTCTCTGCATGCTAAGCAAGCGTGTCTTGCGACGGGTCTTTTTGATGGAAATGTTGTTGTTTTATCAGTGCTTGTATCAGACATGTTTTGTTGGGTCTTAATACCTTGAACTATCTAGGATTATAAAAAAAAACACGCACACACCAGTAGAGGTTAATTTTATGTAGTGGATCTTATATTAATTGAGTTAATACCATAAACTGAATGTGATAGACCAATTATATATTATAAATACACTTTGATTCAAAAGTTGTAATAATTTTCTTTTTATGAATAATGGTTTTCAATTGAGTTATTTGATTAGAAATTCCAGAGGTTTGAAGACTGAACGAGATATTTGATAACTGAAACTTTAAAGCGACCCACCAGTCAATAAATCAGTTGTTTATATGCAATTATGGTTATGTATTGGCTGAATTGGTGTTGACAATAGTGCTAATTACTCATAAAATTATTCACACGGGATTCCAATTGTATATAAATGAGAGTGGGAATCGAGGACATTTGAAAAACAGGCGGCGACTTTCTGCAGGTGACCTTTGGACTCTAGACAGTGGACAACGTCCGTCGTCTACATCAAGAACGGGCTTTGCAGCTTTTAATTGGACAAAAGTTTAACTCCTGGATTTAATCGGTTATAAAGTTTGCAGAGGTATAACAGATTAACCGAATAGATCAGAGGATCAGAGGACAGATATATGCGTATATACACTTTTATGAAGAGAAAATAACAAATTGACAATTCAAAAGGCCATGTGATTTCGAACTGCGAGCATAGACTACATAGAAAGTAGAAAGGATGAAATTTAATCTATCTTCATATATTTATATCTTGATCGAATTATTTGTCTCAAGTTTCGGAGTCACAATTTTGAAGGGGGACAAAACAAAAATAGACGATTAAGTCCAGTGTCTAGCTAATTATTGAACTATGATTTTCTGGTCTATCGCAATTGGATTATTACCTTTAAGAGTCATTACGCCATTGGCACATTGCTACTAGACTGAGACGAGAGACGAGAGACGAGAGTAGAAATACTACCATGGTCAATTAACGGTAGTTAGCCCCGGGAACCTCAAAATCTTTTCGTATATATATATGTCTTCATCCATCTAAGGACTACTAGGTACAAAACAATATTGCACAAGTACAGTACACATTGTGAAGATTACTGACATATAATATACGACGTACTTAGTGTACCCTGATGACTCCTTTAACTATGATTCATAACATATAATTGGCCTAACCATGACTTTTAAGTTATAAATTATAATTGATGGGAAAATTTCTATAAAGTGTTCTCTGTCAGGAGCTGTTTCTATGGCTTTCCAGTGCCTATTAGACTTTGAACCTTGGAAGTTGGTGTGTGTATCTGCGAGCATCGAATTTACGCGATATTGTCGGCCGTTTTGAAAAATTTGCCCAGTTAATGTTCCTAGCTGTTCCTAGGCAGCTTACAAGTTACAGGCTACATTATTCCTAATTCATGGTCGACGCAAATTGCAACTTGTCATATATTGAATCAATTGGGTTACCTTATAAACGCGTTTAAAACCGTTCGATCGAGCTTCATTAATGTTCAGGTATATATCATAATTATAATATTGTAATTTGTCACGCGTTTTTAAATGATACATCAATATCAATTCAATTTAGACATTCCATATTGATGGTCAGATAGATCGTATAAGTTGCTTACAATTACACAAGATGATCATTCCCCATTTCCATATGTAGCTCCTTGACTTATATTTCGATTGATTTGTGTCATAAAAAGGTGTACTTTTGATATAAATTTGTCAATTTCTTAGATCAAATAATTCAAAAGATGATGATCATGATTCATGAGATCCGAGACTAAGTCCTTGAAGGTTGACCCAAAAATCGAGATCCGCAGATTGACGACTCTCCGTTAATGACCGGACATATAGAGACATATAACCTGCGATTTTTTACTTTGAAGTTATAATTTGATTGTTGCAGTTGTAACGTAACTAACGTTGTAACTTTTAAAGGACCAAAGCTTCATATAAAAACTCATGGTGACTGTTTTAATAGCTTCATTAGTGATCAAATTGAAATTCTACAGTACATATAGTAAAATCTCACAGATCCGTATCTTACCAGCTAGTTATAGCATGGCTTTAAAGTTTTGACGTATTCGACATGCTCATAATTCGGTTATATCTATTGGTAACAGCTGGTGTTTAAAGTTATATATATACAGAGCTCGAATTAAATATAATTTGACGACGTACTTGTACCTGAATCATCTTCGTATCAATTGTTCTAACTAACTCAAGCCTCTATATAGCTTGTTTTTATATTCATTAACCATGAGCTGATCATGTCCCCGATCATTAATAGTAATATTATTTTAAATTAATTTGACAGCATCTGTACTTAGATGGTGTCTAATGGGACAGTTTACCGCATTCTCATTATAATACAAAATTATGGATGTGGTTCTGATAAAGTATATTGATATTATAATTTTTATGACTCTGAGGTTGGAAATTAGTGATGCATCGATCGCTCCTTCAATTAAATTGTTTGGTAACCCAGCTTGGTCAAATGAATCCCATGCTGACAGCAGTAAATAGTGAGAACAAGACGCACCATGGGTAAAACTCACAATATATAAGCTGATCAACTTTCAAGTCAGAATCATATGACTATTATTTCGTACATATGGTAACGAACTTATTGGTGTGAAATGCTAACTTCAAAAGTTCAAAATGATCTAATTCGGCCTTATACGCGCATAAATTACAGATTCGTGAGACATTTGATCTTTTGGACATTTATACAAAAACAGAAAAGTTAGTACGCGTATAAGAGTAAATTTAAGTTCGATTAATAAAAAATCTTGCTCATTTGAGTCTTGATTCAAGTCAAGACTAGTAGAGATAATTGAAGAATGAATTATTCAAGAAAGCTTAAAGGTCCATCATTGATCTGCCCTGAATTGACGTCAAGTTTGAGTTGATCAGACGGCAAACCTTCTTTATATAAACGGCTCCTGTCTTAATCCCAGCTTAAATATCATAGACAGCTGGAGGCTGGAGGTACTATCTGTAAGTATATAAGCTAATATTTATCAACGATCACCACATTCTTTCCAGACCAAAACTCCATTAGTATATCGATTCCCATATTAATCTTTTATAGTATGTTATAGTCTAGCGTAAATATACATGTTTTAGTAGCTGGTAAAGCTACGGGTTATAAATTATAATTTATGTACTATCCTCGATTCTGATCACGTCGGTTCATTTGCAAATGTTTAGTGATCATGTCGACGAATATATCTCAGTTATAGACTAGTTACATTATTATTATGAACATGCCGCATACACAGAGGCTCATGTTGAGTACTATGAACCATTAAAACTGCATCCAGATTATAATATAGCTAATACTATATATCATAATAATATTGTATTGAAATGGTATTATATTGAGGAATTAAAAAGACGATCAATTTGTAGATCATTAATGTAGAGGCATTACGGTATAAGTGGGATATACTACACACTGTACGTGATATATGTAAACACGTTAATTACAAGATTAAACTTTTTGAGACAGAACATTACATACTTATTTTGATAGATTAGATAACAGTCTTATATACGTAAAAGTTGAGCAGTACCTTAAATATTACACTTACAAAATCTGTTCTTTGAGGTTTTGAATATTTGGTAATTGGTAGCTGGCGAAAGAGATACGTTTTGAAAAATATATAAGGAGACTTTACCACTGGAGATTTATAGTGAGAAATAAGATGAGATAATTAGCCAATCGATACAATTTATTCGTGATCTACGTTTAATAATATGGACAATCAATTTCACATTATTTGCATATAATATTTTCCTATAACGGATTACTCCAAAAGTGTGTAACGAATCTTTTGAATATAAGGTTCATATAAAGATGAAAATATTTAGCTATACTAACTTAGGTTTAGGATCTAATACTAAACAAATTAATTAAATGAATCCCCGCCAAACGATTTATCATTCAAAGATTATTTAAAAATTAAGAAATGTATGCTTCCTTATAAAAGACATCAAAAACGTCAAGATTCACATCAATTAATCTTTTAAAATCATACATCAAATCATCAGCAATACCCTCACACTTACCATTAAAAAGCTTGGTAGTATCATCATATGGATATTCCATTTCATAGCCAACACTTTTGAAGACAAGAAACATGACTCTATCACGGAAGGATTCAGAATCAGAACATTTTGAAATACATTCACTCAAAAATTTATTATCGTTGAAGTTTTTATGAAGAAATTCGGATTTTGTTGTAGCTCTATCATATTTATCATCTCCATTAGAATCATCAAATATTGAAGAAAGCCTATAATCTTCTTCAATTTTTTGGGATACAAGCATCTTGACAATATCAGTGATTTGTTTTTGATCATCCACTTGCACACTGTCTTTGGTATTATTATCTATTTTGTCTTTGAAATGATCATATAGAGTTTCAGTTAAAGAAACAGACCCTGGATAAAGAACCTGCATTGTTTCTCTTGCTCTAAAATGCTTAGTTTTACCTAGTTGTAATAAAGGACATTTCATGAAGAAATAACGACTAAGGAAATTTTGCATGGATGCAGCTTGTAAGAGGATTTTTAATCTGTTCAGCAAAACATCCAGCTGTCCATTCATCATATCTAACGATCTAACAGTATATCTGGGAGCACGAATAGAACGTATTTTTCTTATTATCAACTTTAAAATACATTCAATTATCTGTTGCCTATAATCTTGAGCATCAAAACTTATCAACGGAAATATTTTCATAGTATCCCGCTTCAAAGAGATCAAAAGACAACGCATAGCTTTAATTTCACTTGATGAATTATTTAAAGTGAATAAAAAATGACTATCTTTGTTCCAGTAAAATGCAAAATAGGTAAAAAGGTTTAGATCTGTGTCTGAAGATCCACCATAACTCGATGGAAGAAAATGTTTAGCAATAACATCAGCTTCACAGTATTGAAGGGAGCAGATTCTTTTCCAGGCAGCCCTCATCAACCTGAGTAAGAAATACATATCAAACTTCTTATCTATCCAAGTTTCAAACTGCCATCTTTCAGACATAAACTGTGTAAAAATTTTAATCAACTCTGTTTCAGATGAATTTGAAGGATTTAAAAAGAAGTGTTTGTATGATCTGCTCAATAGATTAAAAACTATGAAGGTCAAACCATCTAATGGTTGTTTCATGAGCTGATCAGCTCTCAGATGCTTGAACTGACGCTTTGCGGATGCTTCATCTATTGCTAAGAATATAGGTTTTGAATAAGGGAGCTCTAAAAAAGTATTGCAGAAATAGCTGTTATTAAGAATTTCAGTTAAAAAACACACTGCGAACCACTTAAACTTTTCTGGTGTTTCGAATTCTTGACCTTCAAAATTCAAAAGCATCTTCTTTATTTCATATTTTTTTTCCTCTGACCAATCCAAAATCGATTCAAATACACTTTTATAGAAGCCCCGTCTTAATCTACCTGACTTCATTGATCTAGGAATCGAATGGTCACCAGATCCTTTGACTTTATCGTCATAAATTTTGTTTAATTTTTCATATTGATGTTCAATCCAGCTATGAGGTGTGAAACCAAAAGGAACAACAATTTTTGATCCTATAAAGAGATATATATTTAACTCTAACTTGTATTCTTCGTAGATATAACTTCTGCTTTGATCAAGATTGTTATTGTTTATCCAGCTGAAACTTTGTGAATTATAGATATCTCGATATCTATTGAAAGTGATTTTCAGTTGTGACAGTTGGTTTAATGCATCAGCTCTATGAGTTTCCAGCAGTTTTGTTGTTTCTTTTGTTTCAGATGACAAGTTATTATGAATCAGATCACTGGAGTTAGATATATGTTTTTGGATAGCTAGAGATGACAGTAAGTCATCCAGTACCTTCAACTGCACCATAAACAGTCTTTTTGAATGATCATCTTTGAATAGATACAATAAATTGGTAAAGTTCTTGAAATCCTTAATGAAATCTAATCTCAAATTGTCTGAGCGGCTTGGTATAATTTTGCAAAATATTATTCTTTTAAAGCTCACCAAAAATATCTCAGCTGCATGGACTACCTTCTGTAAAATATAACTGCTGAATTTGTCATCATAGTAATGAAGCTTTTCAAAATCTTTAAGTCCATAACCTGAATAAACTTCTTTAGCCAGTTCACCGAGTCCAAGATGCAAAATGTTTTCATCTGTATCTAGATTATAGTTTATCTCTGGTTTCGTATAACATGCGTTACTCCAAAAAATCAGCAAAGCAGCAATTGTAGACCCTAATGAACTACAACCAGAATCGTCATAGCTTGGGATTTCAAGGGAGTTTAACAACCATTTTAAAAATTCACGGAATTTTGAATCTGAGATTCGATCCAATATAGGCCTCCAACCTTTTTTAACGAGTTTCTTATGTCCAAATTTTCTATCCACTTCAATAATTAATGGGTGATGCTTTAGAAACGCAACCGCATGTTTTCTTCTGAAAGCTCCTTTGATTATATTGGCATACTTGACCAGCAAAGGATCAACTTCTATTGAGTTACTAGAGCCGGAATAAGATTGATCACGTTCACTTGATGTTTCAGAACCATCCGAGCTCACAACTTCAATATCATCAGCTTTAACTTTATGAATACCATGGATCAGCTTATCCCTAGCAAATTTACCTGCAGCTTCACGCTTTTTTGAAATATTATCATTTCGAATTCTTTCAGCATTCAGTTGTTTCTCTTCAATTTCTTTTCTTTTTTGCTCAGCATGTTCTTCTTTCATACGTTTCAGCTGTTCAACCCTTTCAGCAGCCAGTATATTTGACAGCCTAGCTTCGGTTCTGATCAGTTTAACTTTGTGGGTATATATTGATTTTGCAGAGTCGGCTGTAATTGATGATTCATTCAGACTTCTTTCCAGTTTAGTTCTTTTCAAAGGGGTCAGTCTTTTCAGCACAGTCTCTGGAACCATGGAAGACAGAGATTCATTACCACCATAGCTCAGACTATTGATATTATGTTCACTTAAACTGGAAGCCGACCTTGACCTAAGTGACGGTGAATTGGAGTTTGTTGTGTATCCATCATTTGGAGCCTTATCATCAGTCATTTCAATCACAAGATATAAGCAAGTAATTCAAACTTAGCAACTATTAGCCTTTAGAGAATAATAGCAAATATAAGGCGATAATATTTATAATTTGTAGCAGTGATATTCCTCAATTCCATTAAAAAAGACTTTATTAACCCTTGTTTTTGCAACTGTGGATTAAAGATATTTTGTCATTTTTTATGTTTGTCACAAAATCCTTATCGGATATTTGCTTTGCGCAACAATCTGTATAAACACCGATTCCAGAAGTACGTACTAATTTTTAAATCATTTAGTCATTTGAAGAAGTTGTGTCTGATCATAATGATAACAGTGTCAATGGCTGGCTTTAGCAATAAAAATAAGACTATAAAGTGGCGTTATATTAGAAAGCTGGTTGTAACTTAACTTGTTACGGATCATTTGAAAAATACTTCAAAAAAAATGGAGTAATTCTAGACTTCCCAAATGGGAAATCAAATCGCTTTACTCATATTATACAATTGAATATTGAATTATATAACAAAAATGTACATTCATTATATTTGTCTCTATATTAATCATTAAATTTTAATTATAAATACTGCGCAGAAGAAAAACAAACGAGCAACAGAAAAAGCACAAGCATTAGAAAAGCTGCAGGGTTGATATGATTACAATTTTGTAATATGATCAACAAAAAATTGTCTTTATTTACTTCAAAATTCTATGATCTACTTTTCTTATTGAAAAGTCTTGACCAGCTATGTTTAGGAGGTTTTGGGTCATAATCATTTAATTCAGGTTCAATTCCACAAGGACCTTTAACATATTTTGAACTTCCTTGACCATGACCATGATTATTTGTATGTGAATGTCTGTTCTTATCAATACTTTGTCTTAATGGACTATTCATTTGTGAAGTTGATGAAGATGATGTATTGGTTGGTTTTGGAATGAAATTTGTATTTAATTCTCTAGATCTTGTTCCTGATGATGATGAGGATTGGATATATAAATTTGGAGATTGTTGAATTGGAGATATTGGTGATGGAAGGGAATTTATACTTGATGATTCTGAATTATTATTTGATGCTGAATGTATTGATGATTGTGCACTTGAATTATTCGATTGGGTTGTGTTATTATGAATTTTTATATGATATTTATTCAAAAAATTTGAAATTGTAGATATTGGTGTATTATTTGATTTGGATTTAAATGATTCTTCAGATGAATTTGAACTTTTAGAAGTATCAAGTTTACCAAGATTTGAATCTTTAGATTTTTTCTTCTTTGGAAAAGTATTGATTTCTAAATTTGATCTTGTTGATATATTTGATTTATTCGAACCTATTGATTTAATTGATTCATGAGTTTTCACCTTTTCAGGTTTACTACCGGTTGATACGGAAGTTGGATTTGATGAAGAATTTAAAGCAGATGGAGCTGCAGGTTGACTAATACTTGATGATCTTGTTGAACTTGAATTTGATATTTTCAATTCATCCATTTTAGTTATAATTTTCTTTGAATTATTTTTATTAATTAAATTTTCTTGATCAGTTAAGAAATTATAATAAATATTTTCTCTTAATAATTGTAAAACAGCATTTTTAGCAGGTAATAAAGTTAATGGTGAATGATATAAAATCTTATTATTTTCATATTCTTTCAATAGATTAGAATAAACAGTATCTGGTAGATTGATTTGATATGGTGAATTATTAATAACATAATCTTGTATTATATATTCGAATTTTTCTTGTAATTCAATTTTATTTTGTTCTAATATTTCTTGTTGTTCTAAGGCATCAACAACTTCTTTATCATTTGCGCTTGCTAAATTTGAATCTGAAGAATTATTTGAATGATGACATTGACAATCATTATTTTTTTCACAAATGTATGAAGGTTTAAACAATGAATCCCAAACTTCAGTGTTTCTCTTTGAAGCTGAACGACTTGATGCAAATGAGTTTCTCTTATTCTTTAATCCATTTGGTGGTGATGGTGATGACGATGATGGGTTAGAATGTTTAAGATCATCCATATCTTGATTTACAAATGACTTGTTATCAAATTCATCACCACTTTTCAAAATCTTTGGTAATGATAATTCTTGAACCAATTTATCCAAATCATTATTACTCAACACATTTGAAGGTTTTCTTTGTACAGGAGAGACTGAATCATGGTTAGCGGTTAATGTTTGATGTTGATGAGGTGCTGGACTGACAGAACCTTCTTCCACAATGGAAGGATGACGATTGGATCTTCTTGAATTCATTGTTCGTATTGTGGCAACTGATTGTTTTCTTGAATTGCTAAACATGTTGAAAGTTGGTTCTTCTTCTTTACATTTCAAAATTGATGATTGACGTTTAAAAGTTTTATTCCATATTTTTTCATAATGATAAATCTCTATAAGAAACTTCAAATTCTCTTGAGAATATGAAGCGTTGATGAAGTCTTGAAACTTGGCATAAGAATAGTATTGGTTGGGCAGCTGTTGTTCATTATTTGTATCTTGTTGATCTTTGCTATTCACCGACGTTATATTCAATTCATCCTCCACATGTTCATTCAATTTTGAATAATAATGTTCACAACACTGATTAATTAAATTCTCCAAGCTTGGAATGTTTTTGCCGGAGGTAGTCATTATGATTATTGTGACACTTTTGTTTCTAGTTATGACTCTTTGTTATTGGTAATTGTTGTTTTGGTATACGTATAATTGGGGCTTTGAAAAAACCGTTATTATCTTGATGTAAACAAAATCAAATGTGAGACACAGAAATGATGGGAATGAAATGAAATGAAAAAAGATGTAAAGCTCAACCACTCTATGAGTACTTTCTCCTGTTTAATATGAAGCTGGTGATTATATTATATATTGTTGATTTAAGCTTTTCTAGCAAAATAAATATCGAGAATGTCAAATGACTTTATCTGCTTTCGAGTCTCAGATTGTGGGCCTAACACTGGAAAGTAATTTTGATACTCTCGTGAATCTTTTAGTTTAGTTTTAAATCCCTAATTGTTTGAGAACAGTGCCTTTGCTTGATTGAAATATAAGTGGAAAGAATAACAATTATAGTATACACATTCATATATATAATTTACAAAGTCAAGTTTCTGTCTTTTAGCGTATCAAGAATTCTCAGTAGTAGAATCTTTTGCACAAAAAAAAAGAAATTCACAGAGCTTCTCGAAAACAATTTGCAGAGGTAGCAGCTTCCCACTTAAGATGTGTTTTTTCATTAGAAAAAACTTTTAGTTTCGTCCATTTGAAGTAGCTATTTCTAGTTATTGTCGTCTGTTAATTTGCAACGTTCTCACCTCATCTGGTGTAGTAACGTGTTCACTGTTCACAGCTCATCTTGCGCTTTCATGTTCACCTTTGAGATACACTTGCTAAATGCCCGATCGAAAATTGAAAGCTGAAAGAACCCATCAAAGTTGATCAGTAATTAAGCCAATGCACAAGGGCTAAAAATACCCCTACAAAACTTCAAACAAGGCTACCTATAAAGGTACAATAAAGCATTTGAACACACTGAGCAGGTTGTAAAAGCTGAACATACGCGTAACTTGTACCAAGTTTTCAGACCTTCCTTAAAACTTCCTTGCAGACGATCTTCAAAAAAATTCAGTTTCTAGAAACTCTAAGGAACATTAGATCTCAAACCAAAATACAGCACTAAGCGTACAACTTTAAGCTAGTGGTACACTATCTAAACAACGCTTCAACTTCAACTTCAGTCGATTGTACATGCTTGTCAGATTTATTACGAGTCTTCTAAATTACACGCTTAAATAAATTATTAAACACAAACAGTTCAACTCTCATAATTGCGATGGCTGCCTCGGGAGTCGCCAGTATAGTAGTATTTTTTTTAACTTTGCTACCAAGCTCCAACAAATATTGATTGACGATTCAACAAATTTATTACGACTACCATTTACAGTATATTGTATTTCAAAGCTGTGACCAATAGATCAATAGATATCAGTACAGATAATACAATAGAATGTTGTAGAAACAAAGTTCTCGTTAATCTGTGGAATAATTTCATAACAGCTTAGATTGAATGTATATTGGATCTATTACAAAATATTTCAACATGAGTTAACAGATTAAAAGCTTTAACAAGAAGGCCGGTCTCCCCCAGACGTGTATGAGTACTTTTTAATCATCTTTCAGCCGGGCTTGATCTAGAGGCCGGTCACAGTAAATTTTAGATGAACTCTTGTACAACCAGCAAGCTCAAATCAGTGATATAGTTAAGTGGTACGAGGCAAGAGTACCATCATGATACAGTAATCGAGTACAAGTTACTTTGGTATACTAGTTGACTTCAGGCGTTCAAAATATCTGTTGTCTAAGAAAATCATGGAACAATAACTTATATAGACAGCTTATTGAGTCTCGACTCACTTGAGGGGATATAAGTATATTCATAAAGGAAAAGGTTCCAAAATTCCATCGTGCTTTTTTCTTCTAATAAAACCAGATGTAGTTCAATGTTCATCCACCGTAGTCCATTCATTGGTACAACTAGTTACAACACACAAGGTTCAAGTAACCGGGGTACATGTTATTATATGGGTTTAATTTCCAGGATGGGATTATCAGATTACCTTCCTTTCCAGAACACCCCTGAAATTTGTTTAGGTAGAGAGGTAGAGTCTTCAGTCTAGACATCGGGAAGCTAAAGCTGCTAAGGCGTAGTGGCGTTGATGATATAATTTTTTGAAATAACCTGCACCGAGTTACTAACGATATGACTATAGATACTCATCTGTTGACTTTTGACACAGTTAATATTTGATCAAGCTATTAACAATTTAAATCTGACGTTATGAACTTGTATATAGTTGTCACAAGAGATGTTCACAAGAGTTGATGCTCAATCACACTGCATAGATTCGATCATCTCATTTAACGTAAAGCGCTTAAAATCAACATCATGGAATTAACATAACTTCTGCAACGGCTTGTTAAATTCTGAAATTAAACAAAGTACATAGATCTTGGTAATCTATGTTTTAAATAGTTCTAAATCTGGGGAAATGAAATGTCATATTATAGTAGTAATACTAAATAGTTATACATCAGAAACTGAAGACTAAACTTGACCTTCATTGTATGTGATTTCATAGGTTGGATCACCAGACTGGACCATCAACATTTCATAGTTATGTATGTATCTCTTTATGGGCCAATTTTCAAATCGGTTATGAGTTCCTTAAGGAAACCATATCAATAGCTCTGAATGTTTGGTGAGTTATTCCAAGTAACATATTTAATCCCATGATAAAGAACCATTCTATATTGAATGTAATTCAAAAGTTATATATAAAGCTGGATAATCAATAATTTCCATGTCTTTTATATATACATATCTTCTTTTGAAATTGAGAATTGTTTTGATTGTATTGTATTGTGTTTGAAAAAAACTCATCTAGTTATACCTAATACAGAGAATTTTTGTTCTAAAGTTTGTAAATTTGGTGATTTTCCACCATCAAAATTGAAAGAATCAGATTCTTTAATATCTTTGGGACTAAAATATCCATTAATTTCAGGATGATTTTCATAATGTTTTTGATTTTGTTTTAATTTTAATGTATTTTTCAATTCATTAATTTTAATTCCCCATTTTTTATAATGATTACGTTTTTTATTTTCTAATGATGATAAATCTTGTGAACTAACCCAACCACCTTTTTTCAAACTTGATAAAGTTTTATCAAATTCTTCTTGTTCTCTTTTTTGAAATAATTGGAAAAATTTAATCTTATCTTCTGTTGTCTTGGGTAATTTATCTTCATTTGGAATATCAACACTAACATCAAATCTTTCATCAATTGTTATAGTTGGTGAACATTCTAAAGTTTGATTTTCTAATTGATCTTGTTCAATTAATTGTTTTTCTCGTACTGGTGTAACTGTATTGATATCAAATTTTGATATAGTTTGAGTAGTTGGAGTTTGAATTTCAAATTGTGAAGAATTTAATTCAGTTTTTGGTGTCATCATACCAGTTGGTGTTGTAACTTTATTTGAACTGGTTCTAGATCTTTGTAATGAAGAAGGAGTTAAAACTTGTTCTAATGATTGAGTTCTAGAATGGAATGAACTATTATTATCATCATAAACAATTGCACTATTACCATTATTTTGATTATTATTTTGATTATTAACTGCAATTTCATCAATATCTGGTAATGGTGGTAATAAACCTTGATTTTCAGGTATATTCATAACTAAATTCCCATCACCATCTTCATTACCACTTGATGAATTTCCATCATTTTGATCAACATAAACATGAAGTCCACTTTTGGACAGACTCATGATTCATAGGAAGTTATGATTCTAGTTCTTTTATATATATGAAACCTTATTAGATTATCACCCTTTTTTTTTCTTTGAATATTAATTTATGAAACAATTAAATGTATGATATGTAATATTAAACAATTCAAATGCCTTTGATATAATAACCTTCAAATCCTTAGAATCACCTGTTTGAACAATCCAGATCTTAATTGGATCCGTACCTGCTTCTATATCTCTTGTAGATCTGATGATATCACCTTATGTTCTTTTAATTAATATATTTAATACCCAGTGCCTTAAGCCTGATAATGTGTGAAATCTTTATAGTCTAGAATCTAAATCTGGAATTTAAGGGGCAACTGAACCGTTGAATACCTTGACGTATAATATTATTTAAGTTATCACCTAGTGAGTAGTTAAAAGTTAAATGTAATTATAATTAAGGGAGGCAATGAGTATGTATGCAAGTAATTGAAATAAGAGCAAAATCACTTGAATCTTTTTATAAATCTCGATTCTCGAATCTTTGGTAAAAAAAAAATCAATTGAAGCTTTAATGCAGTAAAACTTTACACAATTTCCCAACTGAAACAAATTTCAATATCTGTGCAATTTTTTTTTCTTCTTTTTCGCTTAATTAAAAAAATATCAGATTCGAAAAACGTTCGCGATTTATTTTTTAATTTCTGGTTCTTTTTTCCTGGCTGGATCAATTCAGTCCCGATACGGTAGACTTCCGCATTGGGTAATAACAGTCTATTATACCTACATTAATGTATATGTTCAAGTTTATTAGATATATGAATTAATTAAACTATATAATAGAAATGAATTGACAATCATGTATATAGGTTAGCCAATAGTTCGTTAATCATGGTGGTATATTCAAAAAATTCATTCTTTAAATCTTGATTCGTTGTATTTTCAATATTAAATTTTAATTCATCTTTATAACCTGTAAGTATATTTCTTAATTTATCTAAATTAAAATATTTCATATGAATCATATCATTTTTCAATTTATCATCTTCAATTAATAACCATGATTTAAATATACTAATTTGTTGTAAAATATCTAACCCATTTTCAATCTTATCAATATATAATTCATCAAATGAATATACTGTATCATTTGATTCTGAAGCTTTTATATCTAATTTAGAAACATTTTGATCATATTTAGTTTCTATTTTCAAAATAACATTAAGAGATTTATAATTCTTATTAATTAATTTATTTATTAATCTTATTCTTTGATCTGAATTAAATGGTAAAAAAATTATTAATTTAACTAAAATTTTCAATATTTGATAAATAACATCACGATCATTTTTGAATTTATTTAAATTTTTGAAAACATGATTTAAGAAATAATTTGAATCAATTATTAAACTTGATAAATCAACATTATTTGAATCATTTATTGATTCAATTAAATAATTTGAAATTTTAATAAAAGTTTTAAACCCCCAATCACCATTTTTAATTAATATTAATAATAATTCAAATCCTTCATTTGTTAAAAATAATTCACGACCTGATTTATTCGATACTAAATTTGATAAAATTTGTATACCAGTTTCAATAAAATTTTCTTGAGTTGAACCATCTTCAGGTTCTTGATTTGTGAAAAATGATAATTGAATCAACATAACTTCAATATAAAACCCATGTTTTGAAATAAACCGTATTGGATCCCATGAACTTAATTTATAAAGATAATCATTGATTAATTCTCGATAATATGTAATTTCATCAATTTTACGTACCTGACGTATAGTATTGATTAAAAATTGTATAAAATCATCTTGTTTTATAAGATCATTCTTTAAATTTGTATCCTCATAATTTGTTAGTTCATTAAATATAGTTAATATTGTTATTTGAACATCTTGGATATCTTGTAATTGTTGTTGTTGTTGTTGATCCAAAGTTGTTACAGTAGAGGAAATTTCTGATAAATAATTTGATAAAAAATTTATTATTTGATGTTGTGATAAATATTTCAATAATTCAGATTGATCATCTTCATATTCTGAGTCTATAAGATCATTAAATACTTTTATGAATTGATTTATTATATCATGATTTGGATGTGATATTAATTCTTGAAATGAATCTTGATTCAATCTAATGAAATCATTATATAAAGGTAATTCTGCAAGTGTTATATTGGATATTTGTTTGATTAATTCATTCAAATGAACTTCTGAGTCTAAGAATCTGTAATATATTGAGTTAGTAATTGAATTCTCAATATCATCTATGTTTATAGATACTCACTTTAATGGGTCATTAGCATATTTTATACGGACCGATGAGTTTTCCTTTATTGCAAGTTTCAACTGTTTTGAAAGATTCTCCAGCCATTCCAAATCATACTGTTCTGGTTTCAAATCCTCTACTTGAGCATTCTTAATATATTCCAATATTTTTTCATCTTGTTGTTGTTCATGGATGTTTTGTTCATCAACTTTCCTACGCTTATACTGGGTACTTGTTAGCATATTAATACTTCTCACTTGTTCTAGCCCGTCCAGTCTACTCACGTCGGACATGGTTTTGGATTCTGTCTCTCTTGTGGGACCCTGTTTATTTATATACCCTTTGACAGCCTTGACACTATTCAACCAATTTAACTAACAAAACACCAATCAATTCTAAAATAAAAGCGGTAAAGTTTTAATAAATTGTACTTTTTACTTCCCATTTCTTGTTTAGTGTAAAAATTTAAACGCTGATTCTAGATTATTCGCAAACACGCACAAAATGGCAGACGCGCCTGGATTTTTTTTTTTTTTTTTTAAATTCGTATATAAGCTCATCTGATTTCTGCAAGTATTAATAGGCGGTGACTCGTGAGACTATGCTAGATTTAAACAGATTCTAAAGCAGATTCACCCATGAAACACATAACCGATCTCAGTGCAATACCGACAACCGTTCATCACTATCCTTCAAGCTTGAAAGAAGAAGATGCTGGCAATTCACCATTATTGATCTTCATTCCGGGAAACCCTGGTGTCATTGAATATTATAAAGAGTATTTCGAATCTTTACAAAAGAATTGGCCATCACTTGAGATCTTGGGTATATCTCAAGCAGGTCATGATATACCTACTTCATCAACAAACCTAGAACAATTCCAAAAAGTATTTACATTAGAAGATCAAATTGAACATAAAGTTCAAATCATTGAAAATTTTTTAAATTCAAAACATGATCGTAAACTTAATACAGATCTTTCAAATGATAATCAACAACTTGTCCATGCAGGAACAATCAAAGGACGACATGTACAGGATGTTTTCATTATGGGACACTCTGTGGGTTCATACATGATGGAAAGAATTGTGGTACGATTATTAGACAAGGTGAATTTTAAATTTATTGGATTTCTTACACCAACTATAATTGATATACATAAATCTGATAAAGGTAACAAATTATTCCCAATTGTTAAACTTATTCCATCATTTAATAGTCTAGTTTCAACTTTTAGTCATATATTGAAATGGATTCCTGAAAGGATAAGGGGGTTTTTACTTGGTCAAATTTTAAACAATCCACCAAAACATGCCTTCAATGCCACTTCTGGATTTATTTCTAAACCTCAACAGATTAAACAATCCTTAGGTTTAGCAACTGAGGAAATGTATGTTATTCAAGATGATTGGGAATATTTCCTCAATTTTTCAAAATCAACTAGAACTATACCTAAATGGTTTTATTTTAGTAATGTGGATCATTGGGTTAATAATGAAACTCAAAAACAAATAACTGAAAAGCTTCTAGATGAATCAAATGTTAAAGTTGAAAATAGTGATCATATCATCCATAGTTTTTGTATTCAACAGAGTGAAGAATTTGCAGATATTACTATTAATGCTTTAAAAGAGTTGTACAAATAAATCATTATATTATATATTTCATTATATTATTCATAAATTAGCTTATTAGATCATTACATAGATTATATTAATACATATGGTTTCATGATTTCATAATTCAAACTCAAATTTTTGAGTTTGAGGACTTTCATCTAAATCATCACTTGAATGTAAATTTCTTTCAATATATGAAACATGACCATGATTATCAACTAAAATAACAGTTTGAGTTCTAGTACCATACCATTGACCTGCCAATACATTATTTCTATTATAATCACGAACTTTTAAAGGTGGTATAAAGATTGAATTCTTAATGTTTTCAAAATTTCCTTGGAAATCATTAGTTATATTCTCCATTGTATTATATGATAATAAATTGAACAGTGATTCAACAAGATCTTCTTTATTTATGGTACTGGTTGAATTATTATAATTTTCAGTATATTCCCTAAGTAATTGTTCACCAATTCTAACTTTTTCCCATGGTTCATCAAATGAAGAATTTGATAATCCATGATATTCATCTTTTGTAGTAAAGATTTTAAAATCTGAATTATTCTTGTTTGATATAATATCAAATGAATTTGAACTTAAATCACCAAATAATAAATTAAACCCACCAATCTTGGATAATAATTCACCATCATCATATTTGGCACTTAATTCATTTAAGAATTGACTTCTTGTAGTGGAATTTGATACAACATAATCTTGTGGCAAAACACCTCTTGAAACAGGGTTAATAGCTTCTTTGATACCTTCTCTATAATTCACCAAGATGGCAAACTTATCATTCTCAGTGTTTAATGCTATCCAAGTACCATGATCCTTACGAGCCAAATCTAAAGGTGATAAGATCTTGACATTGTTATATTCATGGAACGAAGCTAATTGTGTGGCTCTTTGATAGTATTCATCTCTATTGGAAAGAAGAATGAACCGGTAGTCCTTGTTGGCGTTTGTTGTTAAAAGGATACACATGATCTAGGACAAAAGCATCTGATCAATTACCAATAAAGTCCCTTCTTGAAACTGACTATTTGTGGATTGTTGATGTTAATTGATAAGCTGGCATATTAAGTACAAAGAGCTAAAAAGGAAATCCAATTTCGTAAATAAACCTGATCAGCTCCGCAAAAAGGAAAAATCGGGGACTACAATAAGCACAAAGGAAGATTTGATTTCCATTTGATTTCATTAAAGTAATTCATAATAACTCAAAGCAATTGGTATCAGTTGAAAATACTCTTCAATTTATGAAAGAACCCTTTACCATTCTTATTCTTTTCCAACGATTTCCTATTCCTTTCAACTGCTTTATCCAATTTCTCTTTAGTTAACCCCGTAGTATTTATAGGTTCAGCAGGTTTAGAATTATCATCACCACTTTGCATAGGTTGTACTCTTGATCTTGATCTCTGTAATGAAAGAGCAGTTGTAGATCTGACAAGTCCAGTTTCAGTCTCTACTTGATATTCTTCTGGGAAAAATGCATTTTCTTCATGTCCTGAAGGATTAACAACATCATGACGAGGGATATGATCCTTGGTTATACTTTTCTCTAATTCTTGTAATGATTCTTCTTTATCTCTATGATCTTCATTATTATTGGATTCCTTATAAGGACTTTGTTCATAAGTATTTGCCTCTTTTGCATCTTCATATTGTTCCGAATTTGAAAGTTGCTCATCTATATCTGGTAAATCAAGTGTATCTAATGGTGTAGCCATGTTAAAAAACTTCTTTCTTTGAAATGATTACACTTTACAAATGATTAATCATTAAATATGCTCTATTATTATATATAAATTATAAACAAATCGTCAAAGAAAAAGGATCTATTATTTATATAAAAGCAACTGATCCAATATATCCAAACATACCATGAATCATGATTAATAAATAACCCTCAAAATTCGCGGGCCGCGTTTATTATGTTGAAATTAGTGTATAACCTGTAATATTTTCAAATCTTTCATCATTAGCTTTTGCAATGACCATTAATAATTCATTATAAAGTTCCAATTTATTACATTTCAAATCATTTAAAGTATCATTATCTAAAAACCAAACAATACTTTGATTTTTAGCTTTCAAAACAGATTTATATCTATCTTTCCTTTCAACTTCATCTTTAATTTTACCAATTATAGTTCTTGGTAATAAAGTTTCATAAATATTTGCATTTTGATTAATATGATATGTAACTGTTATTATACCAGTTTCAACAAGTATAATAAATGATTCTTTTGGATCAATTTGTAATTCTTTATCGACATTAATAACTTCTTTTTTAAATAAACCTTCTAAAGGTTTCCAAAATGATTCTTCTTTACCCGAAACACCTTGTAATGCAAATGTTAATAATGGAATTGGTTCTTTTAAATTTGAACTTGATGATAATAAGATTGGATTTGATGTTTCATCATCATCACCATGTAATTTTTGATTAGTTTCTATAATATTTGATTCATTTAAATTAAATTTTGAAACTTCTTTAATAAAATTTGTATTTCTTGGGGTATTAATTGGTAAAACATTTAATTTTTTAGGTGGTTGTAAATAAGAATTATTTTTGGAATTTTGAATAGTTTCTGCATTTGTTGTTTCAAATTTTTTATATTTTTGATATTGTTTAAATTTTGTTAAAAATTCATTTTCACACCATTCTAATGATGCATTTAAATCTTTGAAAACTTGTAATTTTGTAATCATATATTCTTCTTCATGATTAAATAATCCAACATTTTTCAAAGAAGTTAAAATTTTATCTTTATCACCAATTGAAATGATTAAATAAGCATTTTGTTCAATAATAAAATTTTTAATTCTATTTAAACCTTCAGCTGCACTAAAATCAATATTTAAAACATTTTTAAAATCTAAAATTAAATATCTAATTGGATTTTGATGTAAATTTTCAATTTCAAATAATTCACGAACAGTTTTTTCAATTTTACCAATTGTACCAAAAAACAAGAAACTTTGTAATTTTAAAACATAAATTTGTTTACCAATTTGTCTTAAAAATTGTTTTTGTAAAGGATGTCTAACAACAGTTGATCTTGCAACTTCTCCTGTAAATTGATTATAAATAATTGGGATTTTGGTATTTTCATAAAGGAAATGGAAACTTGCAATTATAATCCCCACTATAATACCAATAACAAAATCATAAACACCCATAGTTAATACAATGATTAAAATTGTTAAATATTCAACTCTTGAAACTCTTGATATAGTATCCCATAATGATTCTTTTAATAATTCATAACCTAATAGGAAAATTAAAGATCCAACAACACAAACAGGTATAAATCCAATAACAACAGGTCCTGCAATTAAGATTAAGAAAGTTGCACCAGCTAATAATAAACCAGCAACTCTTGAATCAGCACCAGCACGAATAAATAATAAACTATTTGTATAAACTAAATAATTTTGAATACTACCAATACAACCACTAATTAAATTTGATAATCCATGAGCAATTAATTCACGATCAACATCAATATTATCTTGTTTTGTAGAAACTGCTAAAGCTGGAACATTAATTGGAACATGTAAGATCCCAAAAAATGTTAATGCAAGCATTGATGGAATTTGTTTTAAAATGATAAACCAATCAACTAATTTAAAATTATATAATTTATAAAATTCCCACCATGCTTCATGTTTAGTTGGATCTGAATTGGATGAAGAACCACCAGATGAAAACATATAACCATTTTCTCTTGAACTTTTCAAATCCCATGATGGAATCAAAATGATTAAAATATGTGTTATAACGAAAACTGAAATGAAAAAAGATGGTAATATTAATGAATTATGATTAAAATGTTGTAAGAGAACAAGCACAACGGTTAATAAAATTGGTATGAAAATTTTAATAAAATTTCCCCATTGGAAAATTAATTTTAAATATTCTAAAGAATATTCAAATGAACCTAATCTTGAACTAATTTCAATTCCAGTTATAATAAGAAAAAATCCAACACCACCAATACAACCAATCAAAATATGACGAGGGAAAAACCCAACAATTTGACCTAATTTAAATTTCCCCAATGAAAGGAAAATTAATCCAGTTATAATAGAACTAATAGCATATGTTGTAATTGTAGTGGAAATGATTTCCATGGGATGATCTTCACCTAATTCATGCATGATATTCAGGGCCATTCCATGGAAAAATGGAGTAACTTCAATCATTTCACTTCCAATCCCAGCACCAAATGCAGAACCACCTAATGAATAAACTAATTGTGATATAATACATGATATATAAAACATTGAAAGACCTGCTGATCCCAAGTTACTAAAGACTTTTTCACCAATGGGGAAAATAATCATACCATATGATAAACCATCCAAGATATTTAATAAAAGACCAAGGATAACTGCAGGTATATAACTAATTAATTTCATTGGTTTAAAATCTTGAATTGATATATTTGCATCAAGGGAATGTTTCCCACTTGATCTATTATTTGGACCAGAAGGTGGTTTTGATTGAGATTCTAAGTCATAATCATAATAATATGGAGTGATTGAATTTTGAGGATTAATTAATGAAGAAGTTTCATTAATATTTATATTATTTGGTCTTGCAAAAGAATCATCGACAAGACTATCATCAAATACTTGTTCATCTAAATCATCAACATTAGCAAATAAATCATCATCATTTGCAATAGTTTCAGTTTGTTGATGTAAAAAAGTATTATTATTTATAATTGAAGATTCATTTGGTTGTAATTGTTGTTGTTGCCTTATTTTATTAAAACTTCCTACAAAACTTCTTCCCAAGTATTGATTATTATCATGATTTTTAGTGTTACCATATGATGATGAAAGACCTAATGAGATGGAAAGAGCACCAGATAATGAATGAGTTCTATGTTTATTATTGTCTTGTTGATGAAGAATGTTTGGAGATGATTGGTTACTCATTGTATGGAAAAGATAATTAAGCAGCCACTAAAGCAACAACTAGCCACTAACCACCCTTCTAATTTGTTTATGAGCCAGAAGATACCAGGAATAAAGGGAGTTATACCAGCAATAGCACAAGAATAACAATTAAAATAGATGATCAAAGTGAAATAAAATGAATAAAATTCAATATTGATTACGAGAATAAATTTCTGCATTGTCATGAAAGCATCAAAAGCATCAACAAATGAAAAGAATTCGCGGCGATTCATTGATAAGAGAGACACGGGTCAAAATGACAGTCATTGGTGAATTTTTTAAAGTGTTAGATTAGAAGGTGAATGGTTTGTTTTTGAGCGATGAGAGAGTGTTTATTGTAATCTACGGGGTTTGTTATACCTTGGTAGTGTGTATCATCAGTGATTGAACTTAGCTTATACAATATAAAAGTATATAGTACGCGTAATTAACTTATCGATTGAACATCGCGTAACCCTAAAAGATGCCAGTATAACCGATCCATCAGGATTACACTATAACACTAGTACGAAGAATGGGATATCAGATTAAGAGTATGTATTAATTAGCCACAGTGAGGATAATGATACTTGGCTGTCTATCTGTGTGTGTGGTCTAGTAGGGCATAATTCTATTGAATCTTGATCATAAAATCAAAATCAAAATCAAAATCAAAATCAAAATCAAATTTGCAATAATTATTTTCACCAAAATTTCCTAATTAGATCAAAATATAAATATTTCGCAAATTTACAAAAATTTACAACAATTGGCATAAAATTCTTGCAAATTTACCAAATATAGTAAATCACATTCCATTCGCGAACAAAATCGGTGTTTTTTAACCATTTTAAGAATTTCAATCCTTGAAAATTCCCATAATTTATGACTTTTCAAAGATGGTAATTGAGAGCTAGATCAAATTAATCTATATAAAGAGAAGATCCCATTGGAATATTGACTTTATTTAATTCTATCAATTATCAAGTATCAATTCACAATGTCACTTCCTATTGTCCCAATTGCAATTGGTGTTGTTTTAATCATCATAACTAGTGTGTTTTTCTTAATTTCATCTAAAAGAGCTCCAGTATTAAATAAAGATGAATTTAAAAAATTCCCATTAATTCAAAAAACTATTCTTTCACATAATTCTGGTATTTATAGATTTGCCTTACCAAATCCTGATGATATCTTAGGTTTACCAATTGGTCAACATATTTCAATAAAAGCTGAAATTAATGGTAAAGAAATTGTTAGATCTTATACTCCAACTTCAAATGATGCTGAAAAGGGTTATTTTGATCTTTTAATTAAATCTTATCCAACTGGTAACATTTCAAAATATATTGCTGAATTATCAATTGGTGATAGTATTGATGTTAGAGGTCCAAAAGGGTTTTTTGAATATGTTCCAAATCAAGTTACTCATTTTGGTATGGTTGCAGGTGGTACAGGTATTACACCAATGTATCAAATTATAAATGCAATTATTAATAATCCAGCTGATAAAACTCAAGTTCAATTAATCTATGGTAATCAAACTGAAGCTGATATTTTATTGAAAAAGGAATTAGATGATATTGTGGCAAAACATCCACAAATTAAAGTTCATTATATGTTGGATAGACCTTCTGATAATTGGACTGGTGGTGTTGGATTTGTTACTCCAGAAATTTTGGAACAATATACTCCAAAAGTTACTCCAAAGACTCAATTATTATTATGTGGTCCTCCTCCAATGGTTAATTCTATTAAAAAAGCTGCTGTTAATTTAGGTTATACTAAAGCTAAACCTGTTTCTAAATCTGGTGATCAAATTTTTGTCTTTTAGATACTATAAATAAAATTACGTCTTTTTTTTGATTCAATTTGTACATTATAATCTATATTTAATATCTATAAACATATGAGGTTATCTATTCAGAAACTTTTAATTGAGAAATTCTTTCATTAAGTATTGGTACATTACCAATTGGACTTTCTAATAATTTTTGATGAATTGATTGTAATGCCTTAATAGCATTTTTTTCATCAATAACTGCACTAATATTAATTTCATTTGCACCTTGAGAAATCATTTCAATATTAATATTTTGTTCAGCTAATGTTGAAAACATGGTTGATGCAACACCAATAAATTGTTTCATATGTTTACCAACTAATGAAACAATTGCCATTTTTTTAGTAACATCAACTGTACCTAATTTTCTTAATTCATTAACTGCTTCTTTTAAATCTCTTGATGCATTTTCATCATCTGAATGTTGTAATGCCATGGAAACATGTACTTCTGAAGTGGAAATTAAATCAACAACTAATTTATAACGATCTAAAGTTGAAAAAATATGTGCTAAAAATCCATGTGATAAAGTTTTTTTATTTGAATGAACATTTAATACTATAATATCATGTTTTGTAGTAATTGCAGTAGCTTTTCTTGCCTTAGTGAAAACACTTGATGGAACTTTTTGAACACTAATTGGTGGATGTGGTGGAGTTTCTTCACCTTTTCTACTAACATCATCTGGATAAATAATTGTACCTTCACCAATTGGATTTTCAACATTTTTAATTCTAATTGGAATTTTAGCTTTAATAACTTGTTCCATTGTAAAAGGATGAATAACTTCTGAACCATAATAAGTTAATTCTGCAGCTTCTTCTGGAGTAACAGATTGTAATAATCTTGCATTTGGAACTTTACGTGGATCTGCTGTGAAAATACCATCAACTTCTTTCCAAACTTGTAATTCATCTGCATTTATCCCCACAGCGATTAATGCAGCACATAAATCAGTATAACCTCTACCAACACCATTTAATAATCCACCAGGGACTATACCAAAATAACCAGTTAAAACAGGGACTATATTTAAATCTTGAATTTCTTGAACTTTTTCACTTAATAATCTTGTTAATTCTGAATAAAATGAATTATCAAATCCAGATCTTGAAATATCTAACCCAGGGGCAATAACTGTTGATAAATCAATATATTGAGCTTTAATACCATGATCATTAAATAATGCAGCCATAAATAAACAACTTAATTTTTCACCTGCACTCATTATTGAATCTAAAGTTTTTGGAGAAATTTCTCCAATAATTTGTGAAGCATGTAATAATTTTAATACTTGATCACATTCAAAATTTGTATCTTTAATTAATTTTTCTAATAAGTTGCAATCTTTAATCTTGGATTCAGCATTTTCAACATGATCTTTTCTAACAATTTCCAAGATAGATTCATAATCACCATCAATTGATGCAAGATCAGCAGCTCTTAATAATCTTGATGTTGTACCTTCACTTTTAGTTTTTGAAGAACGAGCTGAACAAACCACAGCAACTCTATTTGTTTGAGAATAAACTTTAACTATATCATCTGCAATTTTTTCAGGAAATTTACCAACACTTGTACCACCAAATTTTTGAACAACCCAACCACCATTGGTGAATGAAGAGGATAACGATACTGTAGACATTATTATAATACTATGATCTTATTATTATTATATTATTATATTATGGGAATTGAAATGTTGATTAATGTGGTTGATAATAATGAATATAATGAATATATCTATTGGATCCTCTGAATAATTTCTCTTTTAAAATGAGACCTTTAAATTTATTTTATATAACCTCTAATGTTTTTGACTCATTTAAATTTCGAGACTTTTTTCATCTATAGAATAAAAAAAATGAAAACACCGCTTACGCACTGAAAAAAAATTAAAATCGGAGAAAAATAAAAAAATCAATTTTTGGTTGTGGCAGAATTTTTAAGGTAACAATTTCACGTGACTTTTGACAGCCCTCGGAATTGGGGAAAAGTCATGTGATTTGGGATGGTCGGATCTCAGAAGTGTTTAATTTTAACCGTGTTTTGATTTGATTAGTGTATGTTTGTATTGATCTTGATCTAGGTTTGTTAGTGGTTAGTGGTTATTGGTTGTTAGTTGCATTATGAAGGAACGCTATGGGATAGTGATTGACTCAGGATCATCTGGGTCTAGAATTCAAATCTATAGATGGGAAGATTCCAAGGAACTCAATTCAAATAAATCAACAGATGATTTAAAACTTAAATCGATTCCCCAAATATATCAAGAAGAATCTTGGACTTATAAAACTACTCCTGGTGTCTCAACATTTGGTGATAAACCTTCTAAAGTATGGGATGATCATTATGAACCTTTGATTGAATATGCTGAAAAAATTATACCGCGTGAAAATTGGAAAGATACTCCAATATTTATATTGGCAACTGCTGGTGTTAGATTATTACCAACAAAGAAGAAGGAAAAATTAATGAAAACTATTTGTTATGAAGTTGGGAAAGAAAGTAAATTTAAATTAGATAATTGTGCTGATCAAATTCAAATCATAGATGGTGAAACTGAAGGGATCTATGGTTGGATTGGTTTAAATTATTTAATGGGTCAATTAGATAATTATGATTCCAAAAATTCAAATCATCCATCATATGGATTTATGGATATGGGTGGTGCATCAACTCAAATTTCATTTGTCCCTAATAAAAAAACTGAAATTGAAAAACATAGAGATGATATATCAACAGTTTATTTAAGAAATGTTAATGGTCAAACTCAACAATGGGATGTTTTCGTAAGTACTTGGTTAGGGTTTGGTGCAAATGAAGCAAGAAAACGTTATTTAAATCAATTAATCAATCTATTACCAGAACGTAATAATCCTTCAACAGATGATGATTTTAATACTTTAAAATTAACTGATCCATGTTTACCTAAAAATGCTAAATATGAATATCCATATCAAGGTTTCACTTATAATGTCTTTGGTTCAGGTAATTATGAACAATGTCTCAAGACAACTTATCCATTATTATTGAAAAATTTACCATGTACAGATGAACCATGCCTTTTCAATGGTGTTCATGCCCCAGAAATTGATTTCTTTAAAGATAAATTTGTTGGTGTATCAGAATATTGGTATTCAGCAAATGATGTTTTCCATACAGGTGGTGAATATAATTTTTTAAAATTTAGTGAAAAAGTTAAACTTTTCTGTGAAAGTGATTGGTCTGATATTCAAAAAAATAGTGCAAATGGTGATTATAATAATTTACCTGATGATTTATTAAAAGATGCATGTTTTAAAGCAAATTGGGTATTAAATGTTTTACATGAGGGTTTTAATTTACCAAGAATTGATATTGAAGCTAAAATGCCTGATAAAGTTGTTGAAGATTTTGATAATCATATTCCTTTCCAAAGCGCTGGCGCTATAAAAGGTTCAGAATTATCTTGGACTTTGGGGAAAATTATTTTATATGCTTCAAGTCAAATTAAATCTAATGATGATTTAAAAGTTGGTATTAAACCAAGTGATAATGAAGTTAAATTAGAAAATAAAAAATTTATACCCGGTGGAATTGGTTCCAAATCATCATCATCAGAAAGAGATTATGAAACTTTACATGCTTTACCAATTTTTTTCATATTTCTAATTGCAGCAACAGGTGTTTATTTCCTATTATATAAAAAATCATCATTGAAAAATTTTGGAAATTTAATTACATCAAACATTTCCAAAATAAAATCCAAAATTAATAATTATCGTTATACAAGAATATCAACACAAGAAATTAGTGTCTTGGAAGAAGGTAGATCAGAAGCACAAAGTAATGGTACTTCAAGTAGACCACAAAGTCCATCAATTGGTGATAATTCATTTGCAGGATTAAGAACAAGAAGTTTAATTAATTTAAATCAAGGATCACAAGGTCAACAAATTTCAAGTAATGAAAATTCATTTAGACCAAAAAAAAAATTTTCAAGCACCTCCATCATTTTTAGATCTTTCAAATTTTAAAAGAGATGATTTGAAAAGAAGTGTTAGTGCTTCAGTTTTAGGATCAGAATAATCATGAATCTACACTTATTACAATATATATAGATTATTGTTTCAATATTTATCTCATTTATTAAATAAATTAATAAAGTATATATTATTGTAGTATGTATTTTATTCAAAAATACAATTTATTAACGTTCCTTTCCAAAATCAAAAACTTTTAAAGCATCCTTTGTTTTTTTTTTTGTCTTTTTATTGTATATATGTAATATGTCATTCATAGAAAAAAAAGCAAATGTTTGAACAATTAGTAGTAAAGTAGCAAGATCACTTACCTTTAACAATCTAGCCCATGGGATGGATGTGAACAATCAACAGGTAAAAAAACCCATTTAAACCATGCCGCAATAGTGGTAAATAAAAGCCGTCACCCAAACATAAAGAAAACCCATATAAATTTAACCATTCTTTGGAATTTCTTCCATTTTAATCTTACCTTGTTCAATCCAATTTGGATCAATTAATTCTTCTTTATTTTCATATAAGAATTTATAACTTGTCTTAATAGTACCATCACTAACCCCCAGTTTTTCAGCAATTTTAGCAGGTGCTAAATCTGCTTTAAAGATCAAAACAACCATATAAATAACTGCAGCTGCAATTGTGATTGGTGATCTACCAGCTAAAACACCAACATCTTTACAACGTTTAGCAATATGTTCTGCTGCATTAGACAATTGAATTGATAAACCCAAATGAGAACAAAATCTTCTGATAAGATCTTCTGCACTTGTTTGAGATGATTGAATATTTTCTTGAGCCATATAAGTAGTTGTAGTTTGATTTTTTTGTTCTAAAATTTTCTTAATAATGACGAAAACTCTACCAATTTCCTTTTTTGGAACACGAGTTAAAGTACAAATTTCTTTAAAAGTTCTATCAACTTGAGCTTTTCTACAACCAACCACAATAACAGCAGCCATAATACTTTCTTGAGACTTACCTTTTAAAGCTTTTTCATCATGAGATAATTTATAAGCTTGTTTAGCACCATCTTGAACAATTCTTGGTAATTGAGCAGCATCACACATCATAGAAATCTTAGCATAAGCAGATTGTAAAGCATTATCTTTCTTATCAACAATACTTTTACTTTGAGCTTTATTTAAATCTCTACCAGCTCTTGAATCACCTTGACCATACCCAATCATGGTTGATAATTGGTTACCATCCAATAATGGATTACCAGCTTCACCAACACGACTTGGGTCATCACCATTTTGATCATCATTACTAAAAGTACGCCATTCTGATCTTGTATCAACAATTTTATTTGAAAGAACTAATCCACATAAAGCACAAACAACATCACCTTCAGCAAAACGTTCAGCTAATTCAGGTGGGAACACTTTACATTCAGGACATGATAAGATGATATTTAAGTCTGGTCCTTCTCTTTTAGTTGCAATAGCAGCCATTTTTTGTTCTTCAAACGTATACTTTTATTAAATTTGCCTCTTTTGTACACAAGGAAGTTGAAAGAAAAGAGAAACAATGAAAAAAGAAGAGTGTAATGAATCTAAGTCCAGGATAAACCAATATCTAGACCTATGTAAACCAGTGATTCAAAACAAACAACAATTAGATGAACGTGGAATAAGTTCTTTGGTGATGAAGAAGAAAGAAGTACTATATTGTATCAACGAGTGATTTATTTTAGTATTTGTCATTTCAATTTATGGAACATCAACGAATTTTCGCGAAGACTTTGAGAAGTCGGAATTTGTAGCCAATATCATGTGACTTTCAACACCTCGGATTTCAATGTCAAAAATGGTTAGTCAGCACTGGTCGATGAGCTTAAGATAAATTTTTTCTATTTGATCTATACTATAATGCATATTGAACTTAGGTATAAAACAAGTAAAATTATACACATAGATACAAAATGAGAGTTAAGAGTATGTTTAATGAAGATATTGTTAAAAAGAGAGTCATGTACTAACGTTTTTTCTGTTTAGAACCAGTTAGTAAAAGAGGTACCACTCGTATGAGAGAAGGTATTAAAAAGAAAGCAGCTGCTCATAATAGAAAACAAAATAAATTAGCTAAAAAAGATGTTACATGGAAAAGTAAACAGAAAAAAGATCCTGGTATTCCAGCTTCATTCCCTTATAAAGATAGAATTGTCTCAGAAATTGAAGAATCTAAAAGAGCTCATGCTGAGGAAAAATTACGTAGAAAAGCTGAAAGAAAAGCTCAATTAGCTGCAGCTGGTGAAAATCCAGATTTAGTTGATGATGAAGAAGATGATGAAGAAGAATCAAACCCATTAGGTGCTCTTTTGGAAAGTGCTCAACAAGCTGCTAAAGAATATAATGGTGAAGATTCAGATGAAGATCTTGATGATGAAGATGAAAGTGATTTAGAAATTGTTGAATATGATTTAAGTGAAGATGAAGATGAAGATAGTGAATTAGATAAATCAAGAAAAGCATATGATAAGATTTTCAAATCTGTGGTTGAAGCTTCAGATGTTGTCTTGTATGTTTTAGATGCAAGAGATCCAGAAGGTACAAGATCTAAAAAAGTTGAACAAGCAGTTTTACAAAGTCAAGGTAAAAGATTAATATTATTATTAAATAAAGTCGATTTGATTCCAAATGATGTTTTAAACAAATGGTTAGATTTCTTAAAATCAAGTTTCCCAACTATTCCAATTAGAGCTGCTCCAGGTGCAACAAATTCTAACTCTTACAATAAGACATTATCACAAACTACAACTGCTAATAATTTATTAACTGCATTAAAATCATATGCAGCAAAATCTAACTTGAAAAGATCAATCATTACAGGTGTTATTGGTTATCCAAATGTTGGTAAATCATCAATTATTAATGCATTAACTTCACGCCATGGTGGTTCATCAAAAGCTTGTCCAACAGGTAATCAAGCAGGTGTTACAACATCACTTAGAGAAGTTAAAATAGATGGTAAATTGAAAATTTTAGATTCTCCAGGTATAGTATTCCCAGCTGAATCCAAGAAAAAATCAAGAATTGAACAAGAAGCTCACTTAGCATTATTAAGTGCATTACCACCTAAAAACATTACAGATCCATATCCAGCTATTGTTTTATTATTGAAAAAATTATCAAAATCACAAGAAATGATTGATCATTTCAAAACATTTTATCAATTACCACCATTACCAAATTCAGATGTTAATGAATTTGCAAAACAAGTTTTAATTCATGTTGCACGTAAAAGAGGTAGATTAGGTAAAGGTGGTATTCCAAATTTAAGTAGTGCCGGGTTAAGTATCTTAAATGATTGGAGAGATGGTAAATTAATTGGTTGGACATTACCAAAATCTTCTAAAGAAACAGCTAATGATCATTTACCAAAAACTGCAGCTGCTGGTAATAAACCAAGTGAATCAGTTGAACAAACCACTATTGTTTCTCAATGGTCTAAAGAATTTGATCTTGATGGATTATTTGCATCTATTGATAATCAAAATGATGATGCTATGGAAGAATAATCCATGAGTTCATGATCATATGTACATTATATAAATCATCCACTACAAATATAATATTCTTAATGTGGATATAAACTTAAAATAAGATTGTAGTATATATAAAGAACGAACTTCTACAATTCTATGAAACTTTTAGAAAATATTCATCAGTGTATATTTCAAAGTTATCGTCATGGGATATAAATCAACCATGCACAGGATAAACTCGAACAAACGTGGATAGTCATACATATGATCAAGCCCTGTTAGATTGTTTAATTAGCATACAGCTTAATCATTCAAAAGCCAACCAATGTATATACTCAATCAAGTAAACTGGTTTGCACTATCAATGTGCAGACCCGAAATAATGACAACCCACCCATGGATACCAAAAATGACTTTTATAAAAACATCCTTATATGTTGTTTCAAAAATGAAGATGACATACAATAATGCAATCTGAGTAAAGTGAAAGAAGTATGAATTTCAAGGGGGTTTGTTTTTTTATACTTTTTTAAATGCGCGATTCCATACTATGAAAATAATCAGATCTCATACAAATGATTAGAAGATCAAGTCCATTTGAACCAATTAGTGATCAAGAGTAAGAAAAAGCTGATGGTGGAAGTTGGTGATCGATTGTCGTATAGTGGTGAACTTTGCACTGTGAGGTTTATTGGAGAGATCCCAGCCTGGCCTGGGGAAGTGGCGTTTGGTGTTGAATGGGATAGTCTTAGTAAAGGGAAACATGATGGTTCTTTCAAAAATGTTCGATATTTCCATAGTGAGTATTTGTGTGGTTTTGATATGATAGAAATGGTATACTAACTATTGGAAGCTTATGGTGATGAAAAGACTGGCTCGTTTGTTAAAAGTTCGAAGAAACATGATGGAACAAGAAGTTTTTATGAAGCATTGGTGAATACTTATGGAACTTCAACAGAAGCTAAAGAAATTAAGATTGGTTCTAAAGTTGTGGAACAATTTGGATTTGAAAAATTACAAAGATTGCAATCAGATTTCAGCTATTTGAAAAACATTTCATTGAGTAGGAAAGAGATAAATAGAATTAATAAAGAAGAGATTATCTTGATTAAAGAACAATTACCAAATCTTGAAGAATTAGATTTATCATTCAATTTATTCAATTCATTAGAATCAATAACGACTATAATTAGTCCACTAGGAATTAGCAAGTTCAAATTAGTTGGTAATGAATTATCAAAAGTTGGCGATGCCCAGATTTGTCAAAATATTAAACGTCTAGATATTTCACTCACAAAACCCTCACAAGATGTATTATCAGTTATACCCAATTATTTCCCAAATGTTGATAAATTATTATTATCTGATAATAAATTGGACAAGGTGGATAATTGGATATCAAAACTGCACACATTAGAAAAACTAGATCTATCACTTAATAATCTCCAAAACTTACCTTCAATCATTTCAAAAACTCCAATCAAATCATTAAACATTTCAGATAATCAATTATTCAAATTTGATAATAATATCATTTATGAAAACATTCAAATACTTGATATACGGCGTAATGATATTAATGATTTTGATGAACTTGATACACTTTCCATCATTTTCCCCAATGTAATTGATATTAGAATAAATGGGAATCCAGTATTTATTGATCAAACACCAGAAGAAATGGAAATGAATATAATATCAAGATTCCCTAATATAAAATCAGTTAATGGTACTGAATTTTCCGTTGAAGAAAGAACTAATGCTGAATTATATTTCATTTCACAGGCATCAAGAGATCCAAAATTGATTACTAATTCAAGAGTTAAACAATTAGCAGCCAAATATGAAATTAAATTGGAAACACATGTCAATCCTCATATTGATAATATACAAAATCAATTGATTCAACTGAGTTTACAAACTGATGACAAAACAATCAAAATGAACACTTTACAAACTAATGAGATTTTAAAATTGAAAGGTCAAATAAGTCGATTATTTAATCTATCATACATTGATATTCAATTATCTTATAAGATATCACAATTTGAAACTTCAATTAATAATGATTTATCATTAATTTCATCACATAATTTCGAAAATGGTCAAATAATTTACATAAAAACATCAAAATATTGATTTTGCTTGTTTTTTAAGAAAACAAAAAGTTTTAATTCATTCATCATTAAATGCACAAAAAATTATTATATAAAATCATCTCTATAAAATGTACTCTTAATCAGCATGGAAATTCCATAAACCATCACCTAAATAATGGAATAATTCAATACCAATACCTTTATTTTTAGATTTAATATCTTCTGTACTCATAATTAATTTACCAATAGCTAAAGCATGTTCTTTACCCTCAGCATAAATAGCAACAATTTCACCTTCTGGTAAACCAGGAGCTTCAGGTAAATCAGCACCAGGTGAAGTCAAACCTGGACACATGATATTAGCACCTGACAAGACGAATTTAATAGCACCTCTATCAACTTTAACACTTGGAAAAGCAGAAGGATATTTATGAATGATTTTTAAAGATGGGATTAATTCATCAAATTGTTGGAAAAAAATAACTTCATCATCTGAAATATATAATTGAATTTTATCTTCACATTTTAATAGTTCAACTTGTGATTTCTTTGGTATTAGATCATCAATGATTGGTTCTAAAACATCAAATTGTGAAACAAATTTACTTTTTAAACCTCTTTGAACTGATGATTTAATATTTGTTCTTGTATGAACATCTTCTTTTGTAAATCTGAAAGAAATTGTTAGCTGCAAATTCATTGGTCGAATAACATAGTGATATAGTAGTCCAATACTCACTTCTTGAACATCTTAATAGTGTCTTGTTGTGTTGTATAGATTGGTTAAAGTGATCGTTCTACACCTTGATATTTGATGTCAGGTCCGAAATAATTTTTGCGCACCCAGCACAAAATTTACCCGTATGTTTTCAAAGCTGAATTGTATCAAACTACGAAGTAGAACCAGATTGTTAGCGCAACAATCATAAGATACAATTGACGTCCTACAATTAGAGATTCATACAATTAATCCTCTACAAATGTTCAATAATCCATATCAATCGTACTTTCAATTTCAATTAAAATTTCCGTGTCCTCACTGGAAATAAACTTGAAAAAAAAAATTACAAATTTGATGAAATCAAAGACATTGAAATATCAAAGAAAAGTTTCCAAAAATTCCCTAAGAGTCAGACCAAAAGGTCTATTGACAAACAGGAGCGGTCGTGGTTAAAGTTTTCAACCAGCAAAAACACAATCTCGGACGAATCCTCACTGATATGCGTAATTCCCTTGCATAAGGATAAAGTTTTTAAAACACTTAGAAGAACAAAGTTCTTGAGGGCGATTCGATTGTATTTATACTATTTTTTTTTTTCGCGGAGATCACTGGGAAACTTTTAGACCGGGATGGGATTTACACGGAGATATGTAAGTAAGTAGGTATTATTTTATTTGACACAATTCTATTATTTACATCTTTTCTATAAACTTTTGAATTCGTCATCATCGTCACTGAGAAGACTGATACTTGTGAACCCAGGACCACCAGGTCTTTCATTATCCAGAACGCTATCTTCACCTTCAGATTCATCATCAAGTTCAATTGGAATAGGTTCTTTTCTAATATTAGTATCAACATATTCAATTTCATCTTCTCCAACTATACCATCATTATCTGTTATAACATCTGTAAATCTAATATCTTTATTTGAATTGAATTGATTTATTAACTTGTTTAAACTTCTACCTTTTGGTGAACGTATTATACCAACTAAATTTGAAAACCTTTGACTAACTCTACTATGACCAATACCAAATGTTTTGGAACCTCTTCTGGCATCTAAAGTTGGATTTAAATTCAAGTCATCAACTTCTACTGAAGAATAATATTCACTGAAAAACAATCTTTTCTGTGATTCAGTTAAAAAACCTTCATTTTTCATGAATTCATTTTTTGCAATTGTATCATTTTGTGATAAATAATATTGAATATTTGTTGATCTTTGCTTCCTTTTGGGTATCACTTCATTGTTTTTTTTGATTAAATTTTGTGAACCAAATTCATCATCAAGATCAACAATTTGATCATTACTTAAAACTGATAAGTCAACAACTTTATTATGCTTAATCAATTTTGATTTTTTACCTTCTTTCAACAACTTGGTAATATCCAGTTTTGATGGTGTTTCAATTGGAACTTCAGCTTGTTTATTGGATTTCTTCTTAGCAGATCCTTTAGTAGCTTTACGTTTACCTCCTTTGTTATTTTCCTGATCTGATAAAGAATCTTCAACAAATGACGGATCATTATCATATTGTTTCTCCATGACCTTTTCAGCTTCTTTGTAAGGTTGAATAGAAAGACTTCCATTATATTCTACTTGATCACTTTCATATGCTTTGAAGCTTAAAAGAGAATCCAGAACATCACCTTGTACTTCTTGTTTTGATCTTTTGTTAGCACTTGACGTATTATCAGATAGCCTTTTCAGTGGAGTTGATGTCTTCACGCCAGAGGTAGTTTCACCATGTGTCTTTTGGTCATGGGATGGATCTTTTATTTCTGAGACTTCATCATCACTATCAATTATTTCATCATCAAGTTCTGAATTTTGACCATTATCTTTTGGAAATTGTTCCTTTGGTGAACTTGCCAAAAAATCAGCTTTTTCGTACTCTGGAGTTAATTGCTTTGCAAATAAATCATCATCATCACTTGCATCAATTATATCTTCAAGAATATTTTTAGTAGGATATGGTTTTAGATTTTGAACAGCAATATCAGTAGAGTTTTTTATTTTGGAAACCTTAGAGTTTGTGTTACCATCCTTAAGTATCTCAATTTCAGATTCAGAATCTTCGGATTCAGAATAATGTCTTCTAATATTTTCATCTTCAGCATTCACATCAGGTCTTAAAAAACTACCGCTTTTCCTCTTTGAAGCATTTGTAATGGTATTTGTATTTTTACTTGTGTTGAATGAAACATTTTTGGAAGTATTGGATGATTTAGTTGTTGAAATATTGGAAACCCTTGAATTGTTCTTGGATTTTGTTGCGTGGGAGCTGATATCTCCCTCACAATCCGAATCCAATGATATACTCGCCTCACGGCTTGTATCTGGCGTTGGTTCTCCTACTTTTTTAACAAGTTTGGAAGATTTGACAAATCCAGTTTCAACTTTATCAGGCATGAAAAATCTTTTTGGTCGTTTAGCTTCTGCTTCTTTCTTCTTTTGAGCAGCTTTACCAAGACCTGGCAATTTACCTTGTTTGGCTGATTTAGAGTTAGCAGATGATTTCTTACCTTTAACATTTTTACCAAGCATCGCCTGTGTTGCATACTTGATAACTTCATCTTCATCTTCACCTTTTGCAATCGCCAAATTCTCTTCAGGGACTTCAATCAATTTTTTGAGGCAACGAGGTTGAATCTCTTTTGGTATAATTCTATCAGACTTATGTGTATCCAAACAATCTTGTGCAATTTGCTTCTGAACAAAAGCATATCCTTCCATAGCTTGATCAAATTTCAGCTCCTCATTTGAAGCAAGAAGCAAAATGACTTTACCATTGTTTTTTCTACCAGTTCTACCCATTCTTTGAATGTTCTTAATTGGACTACTTGTGGAATCATAGCATATAATCAGATCAACTTCACCAATATCTAAACCTTCTTCACCAATAGATGTAGCCACCAAGACATTGAAGTCACCATTTTTAAACTTCTTTATCAACTCCTTCTGTGTCTTTTGATTCATTCCTTGTAATTGTGCTTCTTCAGAAGTAGCCGTTCTACTAGCTTTTCTTTCTGCAGCTGAAAGTTCTTTATCTCTTTGCTTCTTTTCCAAAGCTTCTCTTTCACGTTCCTCTCTCTCTTGCTTTTTCTGTTTCCCTCTACCTTTTGGTGCATTCTTTCTTGTATATTCTTCTTCATCGAAACCCTCTTTGGCTTTTGATTGACCAATAAATATATGAGCTTTACATTCATCTCCAGCAACAGCATCAATACATTTGACTATTTCTAAAGCTGATTCTCTTAATTCAGTGAAAACGATAACCCGAGACTTCTTATTATGCTGAAAGAAGCCCATAAGTTCATCAATCATATGTTCTAACTTGGGATGTGAAACATAACTTGGATCAGCTAATGTTGAGTCGCATATTCTTTCAATCTTTTTAAGAGCATCATGATAGAAAAATCCTGCGGATGTTTTGTTTGTTGATTTACCCATGCTATACTTGGTTCTGAATTCTTTACATTTGTTCTGGAAATATGAATAAAATGTTCTAACACCGTAAATTTTCAACCTTCTCAGCATTTGACCAACATACCCAATAACTTGTAAAATGAAGTAATATTTCCATTTAATACCTTCATTCAAAGTCGGGTTCTTGATAATAGCTTGTGATTTTTGCATGACTTGAAATGCATTAATTTTTCCAGGATCTGTAACCTCATAGATGTGTGCTTCATTTGCCTGTTTCAGAACTGGATCAATAGCTTCACTTAACAGTTCAATGATATCCTCCATTTCACTATTGAGACCAACGTTTATCCTTACAGTTTCTTTTCTTTTCATATACTTGACAATATCAATACTTTCTTCTGTTCTTATTTCAATTTGAGATATATGCAAATTGTTAACAACTTCTTGAACACCTTCAATATCAGCTGCTGGGGTAGCAGTCAATGCTAGAACTCTATAAGATGTATTGAATCTCTCAACGAATTGAACCACATTGGTATATGCATAATTACCCCTAGCTCTATGAGCTTCATCAATTACCAAACATACAATTTCTTTGGGGTTCAAAATTCCAGTCTTCAAATCATTTTCAACAACCTGAGGTGTAGTGAAAAATACTCTTTTGCTGTTCCAAATTTCTGGTCTATTTTTTCTTGTCTTATCTAATAAAATAGCAGTATCACCACTGGGTATATCTGTAACTCCTAAGCAAGCCTGAATTTGTTGAGCAACCAATGGTCTTGTTGGCGCCATGAATATAATTTTACCTTCTTTGAACCACCTATAGTAGTTAAGCATAACAGTACTAGCAATGAACGTCTTACCCATACCAGTTGGGATCGCACATAAAAGGTTTTTATAAAATGCCTTAACAATAATGTCATATTGGTAATCTCTCATTTCCAGATTTGATGGATAAATAAATGTGTTCATGTCAATTGGATTGGTTTTGTGATGTGTTGGACCATATGTTACTTCTCTTCTGATCTCTTCATACTCTGCTGGGTCACGATGTATGATATCCCCAGTTAAAGTTCTTTGAGCAGGTTCATCACGCCGTATAATTGTCTCTTGTACTTGTCTGTTAACAGCGCCTCTGTTCAAGACTTCGTCTAGTTCATCTTCGAAGTCATCATCAAATGAATCTTCCGACATACTGCAAATTTGGTGCAATTGGCAGCAACCACTTATGTTTGAAGTAGCTGATTGATTTGCCTCTTTATGTTCTTTATTTACATTTCGCTAGTACGCGCTATTATTGCAAAAAATCACATCGCGTAAAAAAGCTCCGCGAACCTGATCTACTATAGTAATTGTACTGAACTACAATTTTGATTTGACTTGAATCATAAAAACGTAATTTTGAATTAATTTGAATATAAACAAAAACCTTAAATTAAATTCTAGCAGAATTGAAAAAGGCAATGACATCTCTTTTGGAATATCTTGGTTCAGTGTCTTTATAATACTTCTCAGTAATATTTTGTAACCTAATAGTAATAGACACAAATTGAGCTTGTAATGATGACCAGATTTTATCGATTAATTGTCTTTGAATATCTGATGAGTTACCAGAAAAATGGTTAGAAACAACTTCTCTAAGATGTGTGATTATCTTGGATATTTCAGTTTGTGTATAACCAGATAGAAGCTTATTTAAAGTTGTTCTATTATATGCATTTCTCTTCGATGGATCAACTGCTTTTGAGGATGTATCTTTCAACAAATTTTCGACGTCAGTGACAAAATCAGCTATTTTACCAAAATTATCATGAACCAAAGCATTCACATAATCGTCTTTAGAGACGACAAACATTTCCTTGAATGAATTCAAAGGTTGTTCTAAACATGGAAGTTTATAGGTTGATAATGATTCAATCAACCAGTTTGAGTTTTGAACTAAATTAATGCTATATGTCAATTTTTCAGTGTACTCTGAATCATCATGTAACTTGAATTTAGAAAATTTCTGGCCATCTTGGTCAGTTGCAAGATTCTTCAAAATGGTATTGGCCAACTTTTCATAAGATTGATCCAATAGAGATCTCATTTCCAGTGTGTTGGTGTCAAATACATCAGCAGCCAGTTCATTCAAAGATAATTCACTTTCATCCACAAATGACGTAAAATTAGTAACAACCACTGAAATTTCAGAAACTTTTCTGTGTGCTAATGTAGATTTTTCTATAATCTTAGCTTGATTTTCAATAAATTTCAACCAATCTAATTTCAATCTGTCACCAAGTTTTTTCAAATTAGAGAATAAAAATTCTTGACTGGTACTTCCAAATTTAACTTTTAACAATTCTAAATAAGATACAACAAATGGTGTATGTCTTTGATTTTCTCTTAACAACAGAATTACCGATTTATTAAACTCATCAAAACTTGGTTGGAAAATAGAATGCATAGAATTGAAAATATCCTTTGAATTGTTTCTGTCATAATCAACATCATCTAGCTTTTTGCTTAAAATGTTTGTACGTTCTTGTATTGGAAACTTCTCGATATATGATTGAAGTGTCTGCTCAACATTCGTTAAATGGAAAATTCTTGACAATAAATCTTGTTGAGAACCAATAGTGTTGTGAACTTTCTCAAAAGTGTGTAAAATACTCGAGTTAATTGAGTTAGTGACATCTGGAACGGTATTTGTAACAGGATCAGCAATACCAAATCTTTCTCTTAATCTTTCTTGAGTATCAACTGTGCGTTTTGCAGGCTTATGAGACTTATGTGACCTTGAATAAACATTTGGACTCACCAGAGAAAATCTTTCACGTTGTTGTAAAAATTCGATTAATTCACTATTTAAAGTGTTAAAAATACTTTGATATAATGGGTTTGTTGAATTTTCATAAGCAGTAACAATCTCATAAAACATTTCAGATGATACCTCTTTGGTGAATAAAGTCAAACCAGTGTATACCATTAAGTTTGAAAATTGCTCCAAAATATTTTGATTGTTTGGATTTTTACCAACCTTTCTGACATAATATTGGAATCTATAACTCAATTCTTGCTTTACTTTTTGGAAAAACTGGTGTAATACGTTTTCGTATTTGGCACGTCTGTCTTTCAAAGCTTTCATATTACCAAGATCTTCTTCAAATTTATCAGAACCCCTGATCGCAACAATTGCAGATTGTAAATCAGACAAAATACTTTCAATGGTTGGAAGGTCCTGATCAATATCACCTGTCAACAAAAACCCTAATGACTTTTCATCTACTGAGACAGTATTTAATAAATCTTGCAAATCATTCCACAAATTCTTTTTGTTACTAGTTTCAACCTGTAAACCTTTACTTTCTGTCTCGACATGTTGAATGTCCCGAACAAAACCACTCAATTCAACAGCAAAGAAATTTAGCAGAGGTGATAATTTATCACATTCTTCATCGATTTTGGATGAATATTTTCCTAAAGTTGAAGACTTTGATTTTAAATCAATTAAATTTTTAGTAGTTTGATATTCAGTATTTTCCAACTCATTTATTAACTTTTGCGTCAAAGTTTCTGAATCGTCAAGTGTTTCCCAGTTAATTTCATCGAATATATCATCTAAAGAAGATGATTCGGAATCATCAAGACCAGGAATTGTAGCACTAATTGCGGAATCAACGGTGTTGCTTCTATCTCTTCTTTTTGATCTAGGAATTTCCAAATGGGGTGTTTCTGGAACCTCATTCAAGTCATCATAATCTTCATCATCTGAGCGATTGGTAATAGTTGCTGGGGTATTCAATACAGCAATATGCTCTTGAGAATCATCTTGGGTATCAAACGAATTTTCATAAGATTGATCAGGTTGAATTTCCTTCTCTGGGAATGGTTCAGGACCCGAATCAACTTCTTGTTCTAATTTTTTAGGCAAAATGTCAGCTTCCAGATGTTGTTGACTAATTGCAGAAGTTTTGGCTTTTTGTGGTGAAGGCTGATGTTCTTCATAAGCATCCTGGTAAAGACCGGTAATATCATCATCCTCATCGCTGTCTTCATCATCTTGGTCTTGTTCAAATTCCAACATTGATCTTCTATGGGCAACAATTTCAACGTCTTTGATGGATTTTTGATTACTCGAGGCGGATGAAGGAGCTAGTGAGCTACCAGCATCATCATTTGTAACGCCTCCCAATTTCATTGAATCTAATTGTTGTGTTATTTCATTCTCAATTGACAATTCTTCATTTGAATTATATTCTTGTTTCACGTCATCTTTAGACTGTAATGGTGCAGTAGTAGCCAGAGGAGCAACGTGTTGTTGCTGTTGAGAGTTAGACCTTGAAAATGATGGTTCTTTATTGATAAGGCCTCTTGATTGTTGAACTTGGTTTCTGTTTTGAAGATCACGAGATGAGATAGTTGACGCAGAACTTGAAGCTGGTGCAACATTTGGCTCAGATAATTTTCTAGCATAAGGATGTCCATGTTCAGATGGACGTCTACTTGATTGTTCAGATGGTCTTCTTGAAGCTGTGAATTGTGGTTGTTGTGGTGGAGGTGTATTTTTAGCTGATTGTTGTGATGGTCTTCTAGGTGGTATTCCTTGGTTTTGTACACCAGTTGGAGCAGCTTTATTTGGGACGTATTGGTTTTTCTTTTCATTAAATGATGGATATTCTCTTTTTGGTGGAGAAAGTGATTTGTACTCAGATTGTGGATTTGGTCTATTTGGCGATTGTGGTGAAGGAATTGACTTTGTTGAAGTTGAAGCAACACTTGGTACCGGTGTTTTCTGAGGCAGTTGATGATTCACAGATCTTTGAGTCTGTGGTTGAGATCCAGAAGAAACCATAGGGGCCTTTTGATGTACTGGGGCTTGTGCTTTAGATTGATTTGGTGGAACAACACCAGCAACTTGAGCAGCACTTGGAACAGGAGAAGGAACTGCCGATGAAGGTTTCGATTTTGGGACTGAAACAGTTGATGCCTTTCTTGAGTCTGTTAGCCATCTTTTATCAATGAATGATTTATATTGTTCTTCATCTAATCCAAAAATACCAAAATCCCAGTTTATCAAAATTGGTAAAAACCCATTGGTGAACTTTCTATAAATCCTTACTAAACTTGTAACAAAAACCTGTCTTTCTTTTGTGCTATTTGTTTCCCAATAATAATCTTTCCCTAATCTCACCAAAAAACCGGTATCACTAGTCGGTTCTCTGACTAATCTTGATAATTCATTAATGTTCCAAGTTCTACCAATTTGGAATGAGCCATTTGGATTTTCCCTACCCTTATGAAGTCTAACTGTACCATTCTTCTGAACTGCTAATGCTAATATACGATTCTTCTTATTTGAAGCTTGTGAATTTGGTGGTGGTTTAGATGATGGAAACGCTGAATCCTCAATCAAACGAACATGGGTGATATAACTTTCACTTAATGCACCATCCGCTTCATACTTTGAAAAACAATACTTGATCAACCTATTCTTATCACTTTCGTATTGTTGAGCCAAAGCAACTGAATTTGATGAAGATGTTGATTTGACACTTGTAATGGTATTTGTCTTCTTATTCAAGCCATTGTTACCACCGCCTCCTTGTGATGATATAGAGCTTTGGTGTTGACCTTGTGAACTTCTTTGAGGAGCCGCTGTGGGTGCGTTCTTGTTTCTAGATGATTTCCTTAGATGCGTGGAAGCTTGACCCGATGATGAAGTCTCATCTCTTGAACTCTCACGACTATGTGTTAATTTCTTGAATGGAGAAGTTATGGCCATCTTGAACTTTTATTGATATATATTGGGTTAAGCGGAGATGGATTCAAAATACAATTGTTGTCTTCACTCCTATAAATCTCAATTGACTTCCTGATAAATATGCTTAATAGAATTGATGTACTATTTGATTCCGAATTCTCCCTGTATTCACTGTTTACTATTCTATAGGCATCAACATAATTGTTGATTTGATTTTGTTAGGAGAAAGAAGGTTTGTGCCCTGGTCGCGATCGAGATTTGGAAAGAATCGCGCGAAATCACTGAACATTTCAAACGGTAAGTCTAGAACAAGTGTTATTATGAAGCACTGATCAAGGGTTGAATTCTTAGGGCCTGTTCTCGGGTCCATGCAGGAATGGGGCCCACAAGCCCAACTAGGAAATTGATTCGCTTTTTTTTCCTAGTTGGGATTAATGATTCGCACTTTTTTCCTATTTTAACGTGGAAACCATTTCAAAATTTTGTGCGAGAACAGGCCCTTAAACTTTAGTTTGTTTTATGATTAACTATTTCTAGCATATTTTAGCTTATGCTTTATTTACTTTTTGAATCATGATTTGATTCACAATTTTAAGTTGTAAAGTAGTTTTATCATTTAATTTCAAGATTCCCGTCATAATCGCTCAATAAGGAAAGTGACAGATTTTGGCGCTTTACTCAGGTACTTTTCTTTTGCGAAATTTCGTTACTTTTAAAATCGCCAAAAACCTTAAAACGATTCTTTTTTCGCCTTTTCGCTAAATTAATTGGTCTGAGCCGCTGGGCAATTCGCGAAATAATCCGAACCACCGGAAAAAACCCTACACAACTGTTTTAACGATGTCACTGGGCATAAAATTTCCTTCATGTTCTTCATCTTGGTGGAATAAAAATTTACACAAAAGCATTTTAATGATATCATGATACATCCGCTACCCTTCACGATTTCATCATATATTCCCTACTTTACCTTTAGCACCTTCATAATTTCCTGTTCTAGACGATTTTTATCAATCAGTTGAAGCTACGTGTAAAACTTTGTAATTTTTAAACATAAACAAGAGGTGCCTTTGTACAGCGCTTCACAACAGAACTGAGAACACCATCAATTGATGTTTTCAGATAATCATCAGATCTGGTAACCAAATGATACAATTCAACTGGCAAGATCTAGCTATAAATTTTCAACCACTCTGGGAATTTTCCGTGTTTAATTTTATCGCCAATGTAAATTATTTAGTGAATTTTGTTAAGTTTGCCAAAAGCACCGTTTTTACTTTAAAGTTTTGCGCGCTTCAAACCTGAGCTGGTAGGAGACGCAATTCGCAGCAGATTCGCAAAAGAAATGCAGCGTAATCTGCCATCTCTTGATGTTTTTGCAAGTAAAATTTGGCCTGTTTAAAGTTAAATCAAATGATGCGTTTCTTTTATGTGATAAAGTTATGTGTAAACATGTGTGCGCCAAAAGTTTGGTGATATTAGCTTTTTGAAAAAGTTCAACAAATTCAGGAATCTTGGAAAAAATATAAAAGAAGACTCAATTCCACTTTTAACTTACATCTTTTGACGTTTGGTTTTTATCATTATCAATCAAATCATTTTAGATTTAATTAATTATACAATCACATATATTCACAATGACTGTCTCAGAACCAATTGTTATCAACATTAACGCTGCTTTATTCGATGTCGATGGTACCATCATTGATTCATCACCATCTATCGCTGAATTCTGGAGAGAATTCGGTAAAGACAAACCATACTTTGATGCTGAACATGTTATTCACGTTTCCCATGGTTGGAGAACTTTTGATGCTATTGCTAAATTCGCTCCAGATTTCGCTATCCCAGAATTAGTTAAAGAATTAGAAGGTTCAGTCCCAGATAAATTTGGTCAAAAAGCTGTTGAAATTCCAGGTTCTCCAAACGTTGTTAGACAAATCTTAGCTTTGAAAACTCCAGACAACAAACAAAAAGTTGCTGTTGCCACTTCAGGTACCTACGATATGGCTGTCAAATGGTTCAAATTAATGAACTTAGAAAGACCAGAAGTTTTCATCACTGCTGAATCAGTCTCAAAAGGTAAACCACATCCAGAACCTTACTTACAAGGTAGAGAAAGATTAGGTTACAAAGATGCTGACAAAAAAGTTGTTGTCTTTGAAGATGCCCCAGCTGGTGTTAAAGCTGGTAAAGATGCTGACTGTTTAGTTATTGGTATTGCTTCAAACTTCGATGCTGAAAAAGTTAAAGGTTTTGGTGCTGATATCGTTGTTCCAGATTTAACTAAAGTTGAAGTTAAAGGTTACGATGCTGAAACTGATACTTTCAAATTACAAATCAACGAATACACTCACGCTTCAGAAGCTGCTTTAAAACTTGCTAGCCAAGCTTAATTTGATTGATTTATCTTTTACTTCGTCATTTCATAACTTATTATAAAATTTAGAAAAAAAATTGAATGGTGATTAATTATCATTACTACTTTGAAGGCTGGGCCAGGTTAAAGGTGATCTTAATAGAGATCAAACAATTATTATTTGCATTACAGGGTTCATAGCTCTTCATTTGTTAATTGATTTTTACACTTATACAACACATATAATCGCTTTGTTTTCATAGAATATAGATCGTAATACCATTAGTTTTAATTTATTATAAAATTTAGTTGTAGTCAAATCTTTTTCACTAAACAAATTTTTCAACTATCGGATTCGGATGTGAACTTGGAACTTTGAAGCAGACGTAGTTGAAAATCTAAAATTCCAAATAGATCTGGTGATGTCTTGCGAAAAATCATGCATGCAAATATATACGAAATACAAGATCAATCAAAAGCGTCAAACGTCCAGAAATGACAAGCTTCCAGAATCAATTAATTAATGCTCCTCCAGTTGATCGGATAGCTGAAGAAAATTACTTCACTAGCAATGATCGTATATGATATATGTGTAATGGATAGAATATAGAATATAGAATAGTTATTGAATCACCAGATATACGCTCTGCTTAAAAGAGGAGTATGGATATGGTTCTTTTAAACGAGTGATGTAGCTCATTGAAGACCTAACATACTTACAAGTTACAGCCAAAGGAAGGTAGATGACGATTGATATTTCCTGTGACTATTATTCAATGCTCATACAAACCGTTTGCTTTGCTAGAATTGACGCTTAAATGCATCTTCATGTTTCGGAAAAACTTGTGCCCTCGTCATATGGTTTCGGAAAAACATTTGAAATTTCGCCAAATATTTAGCTACTTAACAAAGTACCTACAAATTTTGGAGTAGACATTCAATTTTTTTAGTATTTCATGATATTCATTTCAAATTATGAGCTGAGAGACAGTTTTGTTGCAATTCTTATGAATCCAAAATCCCAACACATTTAGTGATTTCAACCGCATCTTTGCGACCAACTCCATTAGTTGATTCAACAGTTTCAGATTCATATAATAAATTCCATTTACCAACATAGTTTCTCCCATTTGGATTGATATTATTGGTATTGTATTCATTCTTATAAATAGGAGGTGCCTTGACATATTTAGTATACTCAGGTGCACCTGGATAAATTATATTATCTGCAAATAAAGTGGATCCCTTTGTGATATAACCTAATGTTTCAGCAACACGCAAGTCAGGTAGATAACTGAATTTCCAATGATCAATAAATAACAAATTTATTCTGTCAACACCAAAGTTACTAGATAAAGTATCTAGTTTATCACCAGCTTTACCTAGAACTTGAACAATTCTATGTTGCAAACCTGATAATTTAACAATTTCTTTACTCAATTCATACATTGTTTCATTGGCTTCAAATGTATAGATTTTAGAAGTTGATGATCCAATTTCGTCCAATTGTTTTGCCATGAGAATACTTGAATATCCAGTATGAGTACCAAATTCAACAATAACTTCTGGTTCAGTTTCTTTAATGTGATCGGTTAATAATTTCCCCTTGTGTGCACCAATGTTAATGATCCTATGTGATGTACCATAGTCATCGATAGCATCTAGGATGGCTTGTGGATTACCTTGAAGGTCTGATTGATTTCTGATCTTTTTGAATAGACCTATTTCATTGGATAACTGTTTATATGGAAATTAGCTTTGACCCTTATTGACCGTTGGAATCATTGTTCATACTTACCCCTGAATCGTGCTCTGATAGTATTTTATCTATAATTGAAGACATATTGAATTTATTCACCTGTGTTACTGTTGAATGAATTGTGAGAAGTATAGAGGTGTTTGTTTGAGCAACCAAGATATCTCTCCAGTTTTATACCTGTTCTTGTTTTGAAGATCAGACCAGATCCTATTGTGTGGGTTGTAACTTGTCAAACCGGAAATTGCGCCAGACACCCGTTTAATTATATAAGGAGTTTGAAAACCTCTAAAGCGATGGAATTAACAGAAATTACCGGTAACTTGTAAGTATTTGATCATGAAAACCTTCATTATCATATATTGTTTGCATATATATATGGGTGTTAAAGCGTTTGATGTACATTTTATTGGGATTTATATTCTGTATTGTTCCCACAATTGGCGCAGGGGGTGCCTAAACAATACAATACGACTATATGCCATATATGTTACGGTTATATTTAGAAATTCAATTTATACTATGCATTTTATTGGAAATTTATATATTGGTTAATGATCTAAATAGACAATTGTTCAATAGAATAAGCAGGAACTTTCTTGACTGTCTTGAAGTGTTTCAACTCGATTTGATCAACAACAGCAACTAAATTAGATGCACTATCCAAAGCATCAATTTTTCTGCTTAAAACATCTTGTAATTTCACAATCAACTCATCACTCCATGTGAAGATACCACTTGAATCAATTAATAATGAAATTAATCCATAACCAAAATCTAAGCTTAATATACGTTCAACAATATGATTACTTTCAAGGTCTTTAAAGTTTAATTTATCTTTTGGAAATTCTAATAATCTTGTAATGATATCTTTGAAAATTTCATCATTTTCAGTGATGTTTAGTTCTTTATTTAACTCTTTGATTGAAACATTAGCAGTAACAATAGCTTGTCTTAAGAGTCTTGGTTTTGATCTTAATAAATCTAATAAGCCATCAATTGTTGGTAATAGTGGATGAGTTAAAAGGTATGTAAGTGCTCTTTCTGGTAATTTATCTGAGCGGAATTCAAATATATGTGAAACAATGGCATTGATGAAACTTGATGATACAACCTTGTCCTTTTCAGTATAGTAATCATTTTCAGCTCCTAAGAAAGTTAATAAAGCATCATCAAAGTTTTTGGATTTTGTGATTGAAGAGATATCAATTTCTTCGTCCTTTATATCAAGAATAGATGGAACAACTTTATATGAGGCTTGTGCTGATTTTTCACTTTTGGTTGAAGATCTCTTACCTAAAGAGTCTCTTAATGTATTACTATCTAATGTTATTGAAATACCAGATAAATCATTATCTTTCAATAAAACACCAAATAATGAGTTGTGATAGGATTTTGGCTGTGCTTGTGTAGTGAAAAGTATTTCAACTTTTGATTTTGGAGATGTAATATGATTTAAAACAATATTAAAGTTGGTGTTGATGAAATAAACATCTTGGTCAGAAGTGATAATAAGTCTATCAATTGCTGGAGATGCTAAAGTAATATTTTTACCTTTAAATGGAATTGATAATTCATCCAAGTCAACTGATTTGGTTTCTATAAAATGTGGTAATCTCAATAATGTGATAATGTTTTCATGTTGCTGGTATAAAGTACCGTTACTATATGTAAATCTCAAATTGGAAAATTTTGTTTTGGATTCTAATATCTTTGAGTTAACCTCGTTACCTTCAATAGAAATAAGTCTATAATTTATGTTGTTCTTTTTGGCGTTGAACTCAACTGTAAGTATAACTTCATCATTTATAAAATTTGAGTAAATTGCAGTATAAAGACCTTTATTTTCCCAATATTTAGTGAGTTTATCTTTATTATCTTGGAAAGAAATGATAGAGTTTTCTGTAACAACGTAGAGACGGTCGACTGAATATTTCAAATCTATTATCTTTGATTCTAATTCAATTTCTTGTAATACTTTTGAATCATTTTCTAATTTTTCAACAACTAGAACACTATGTGATTTTTTGGTCTTGTTGAAAACACCAGCGTAATAAACTTCATTGTTTTCATCTAAAGCTGTAACAACTGAGCTTGGTGGTAATGAATGAGACCATGCCAATTTCGGACTAGGTTTTAGGATATATTTTGATATTGAAGCACCAGAGATACCCACATTCAAAGTATCAGCATCACTGTTCTTGGTGATAGTACATCTTTCCTTGACACCAGAGACTCTTGGTAGCTTGGTTAAAGTGAATGGCTCCGATAAAGACATTTTCAATAGTATGACTAACTATGCTTGGTTGACCTGCTTTAATTCAAGTTATAGAAGTACTTTTATTCTACTTTTGAATCTATCTAATGAATTTTTTTTTTTCGTCTAGCACTTTTTTGCCCGCTACCAAATGACAGTTCATCGGTTCGGGCAGAAAGAAAATGAAGAATTAGAATCTCCAAAATAAGAAATAGTACAAAGTGTTCAGTTTTGAACAATGTTAGTTTCAGTACGCTTCATATATTCGTTTCAAGCAATATACCAATATGAGCTCAAGACCGCTTAATGAGAGACTTCAGAAGCTTCAACAACTTAAGAAAAGAAAACATGAAAGTGAAAAGAAAAACAGAGATGAACTATTCAAAGAGCATAGGGAACAATCTCTAGAGAAAGGTAAACTTAACTCAATAAAGCAGAAACAGGAGAAAGCAATGGAGGAGTTGGAAAAGATAGAGACCAAAGAGTCAGGTGAAGATTGGGAAAGAAAGAAAGGATGGGATTATAGTATTGAAGACCATGAGAAATGGGATAAAAAACAACAGTTAAAGAATGGAAATATTAGAAATGGTGGGTTTTCAAATTATTCACAACTTGCTGAACAATCATATACAAAAGAAATTAATAATCTGGACATAAATAAAGAAGAATATCTTAAACAGAAAGAGAAACTCAAACAAAAAAGTATAAAATCAGATGAAGATGATGAAGATAGTAACTCCGATACCATTGATCAAGTTGATTTTACAAATAAGCCATCAAAGGAAGCCATCGACAGATTAGTGGGCAACTTGAAAGAATCTGATACACGTAAACTAAGGAGAAGAAAAGACTACGGGACAACAGATACATATAGTAAGTATAAATTATATTTTCTTTTTGTTTTTTTTGACACACGATATACTAACAAGATTACAACAGTTAACGATAAGAACAAACAGTTCAATGAGAAACTTAATCGTCATTATGACAAACATACGCCAAGCTAATAGATGATGAATTAATGCTTAACTTTAAATCTATCAAATTGTAAAGATAGTTAGTTTGTACTATGTAAGAAAGATAAAACCAATTCGCGAATTCATAAAAGTTACCCTCCGATGTGCTGTGGACGGGCGAAAAATATCAAAACATAAGATGAATGAACACAATCATATATGAGTTAATTATTTTTTGAGTCAATCATCTGATCATCAATTCTATTCTTGAATCAAATCTATTACGGGATAATAGTATAATTTAAGTAGGAAGTACAACGTTTCAAGGGTTTTCTTGCTAGTTGTTATTGTATCCAAGATGTCTGAACTAGATGAAGAAATGAGAAATAGATCATCTGAAAGTGAAGGAGAAGGAGATGATCTAAGACCAGGAAAAGAAGTTTACGATTCATCAGAAGAGGACGAAGAAGACGATGAAGAAGAAATCCAAAAAATCAGAGATGGATTCATCGTTGATGATGATGAAGATGATGTTACTGAAAGAAAGAAGAAGAAACATAAACGTCGTCGTGAGCGTGCTGAACGTCAAAAACAAGCAGCTGAGGAAGATTTTTTAGATGAAGATGATTTAGACCTTATGATGGAAAACTCAGGTGTAAGAAGCAACAAAAGTAAATCAAAATTCAAACGTCTGAAAAGAGCTCCAACTGAAGAACCTGAGCCAAAGAGAGGTGATTTGAATGCATTCTTCTCAGAAGATGAAGATAACGCTGAAGGTGACGACGGTGAAGATGAAGATGGCGGTTCACGTTCTAGGGTTAATCAGAGAAGTATGGTCGATGAATTGGATGATTTCATTGAAGAAGATGAATTTTCAGAACTGGATGAAGAAGCTCGTGCTGAAGCCCGTGAAAGACGTAAACAAGAAAGATTAAAACCAACCGAAATATCAGGTATTGATTCTGAAAAAGTGGATGAACTTTATGACATTTTTGGGGATGGTGAAGAATATGCATGGGCTCTTGAAGGTGAAGAAGAAGACGCTGAAAATGAAGAATCTGGTAGACCACAATTGAAAGATATTTATGAACCTGAAGAATTGAAAGCCAAACTTTTGACTGATAGTGATCGTGTTATTAGAGATACTGATGTTCCAGAACGTTATCAGGAATTAAGAAGAAACATCAAAGAATACGATCTTAATGACGATGACTTTGACTATGAAGTTGAATGGATGTTGTACCAATTAACCGTTGAAAAGAATCTGGATCAAGATCCAGCATTCGACAGAGAAGCTTTCAAAGGCGCTATTAGAGATGCTTTGACTTTCATCACCAAAGAGAACTTAGAAGTACCATTTATATTTTCACATCGTCGTGATCATCTTTTGAAGACCACTATTATCGGTGAAGGTGATGATGTAAATACTGAAGTTCAAACATTACTTGAAGAACAAGATTTGTGGAGAATTGTGTTTTTAGATATTGAGTTCCATTCAGTGATGGAGAAGAAAAACCAAGTTCGTAAACTCATGTCTGAACTTTCAATTGATGATGATTTGATCACTTCACATTTCTATGGTGCAACTGAAATTACAGATTTACAAGATATTTTTGAAAACATCAATTTCAATTATGCATCACAACTCAAAGATATCAACACTAAAAAGGTTCATAGAACAACACTTTATGAAAGGGTTAAAGCAGATAGATTGTATGAAGTTGTTCAAGCTATTGGTATTTCTGCTGATCAAGCTGCTGAAAACATTGTTCAAGGTACAAGACTTTATGCTACTAATGATACTGATATTTCACCATATAACTTGGCTGAACAAATCTGTGAGGATGAAAATTCACTTTATGCTAAACCATCACAAGCCTTAGAAGTCTCCAAACATTATTTTGCCGAACAATTATTCGTGGATGTTAGATTAAGAAAATATTTGAGAAACACATTTAGAGATTATGCCAAATTAAGTATATCATTAACTGAACAAGGTAGACTCAAAATTGATAAGAACAGTCCATATGCTGATTTCAAATATGCCATCAATCGTGCAATTGATACATTATACGCTCAACCAGATTTGTTTTTAAGAATGTTAGAGGCTGAATCACAACATCTTATTGAGATTAAGCTAGAAATCATTTCAGCTGATAGTTTCTTCGAAGATATGGCATCCAGAGTGTTATCTGATGGTCAATCTGATATTGCTTTTGAATGGAATGAATTTCGTCGTTCAGCATTCGATATTGCCATCAAAAAGTTATTACCTTTAGTCACATTAAATATCAAGGAAAACATCCGCCGTGAATGTGAACGTTTATTGGTTACACAAGTTCGTGATGCAGTTTTGTCTAAAGTCGATCAAGCTCCATTTCAACCACCGGGTACTGAGTTCGGTACAGTTGCAAAGGTGTTAGCTATAAGTCCTGGTAATGGTAGATTTGGTAGTGATGCTGTCATTTGTTCTTTAATTGATGAACATGGTGCATTTGTTGAGGATAGAAAATTAGATGGTAATCCTTTGCGTCATAGGGATAGATTACAAGAAGGTGAAATTGCGTTTGAAGTTGAATTGGAAGCTGTTATTAGAGACTGGAAACCAGATGTTATTGGTATCAATGGTTACAATGTTCAAAGTCATAAGTTGTTTTTAGCTATTCAAAAAATCATTCAAGAGCAACAATTGACATTGGAAGGTGATGATTCACAATTGATTGAATTGGTTTGGGTAAACGATGAAGTTGCTTTGAGATATCAATCATCAAACAAGGCATATGAAGAATTCCCAGATAAACCAGCTGTTGTTAAATATACTATTGCTTTGGCTCGTTATATGCAATCACCTCTATTGGAATATTTAAGTTTGGGTGCTGATATTGCATCTCTTTCATTCCACCCACATCAAAATTTACTTAGTGAAGAAAGACTCAATGAAGCTATAATGTCTGCATTAGTTGATATTGTTAATATGACTGGTGTTGATATCAACAAATGTGTTTCCAACTCTTATTTAGCTGCTGCATTACCATATGTTGCTGGTTTAGGTGAACGTAAAGCTTTCGGTTTATTGAGAGCTATTCAACAACATCCATTATTCAGTCGTCAAGCTTTGATTACAAATGAAAACATTAGAATTGGGTCAACAATTTTCTTAAACTGTGCCAGTTTCTTAAGAATACCTCAAAATGTTACCAGAAGAAATGCAGTTAGAGCAAATGAAGAAGCTGAAGCTGTTACATTATTAGATGATACAAGAATACACCCAGAAGATTATACGTTGGCTGATAAAATGGCTGCTGATGCTTTGGATCTTGGTGAAGATGAAATTAATGAGCTGAAAGATGCCCCAGCAGGTGACACCATTATAGATAGACTTATTGAACAAGGTACAGAATTGTTACAAAGTTTGATTTTGGAAGATTATTCTAAGCAATTAGAAACAACATATCATAAGAAAAAGAGAGCTACTTTACAAATGATTTTAGAAGAATTACAAGGTCCGTTTGCTGAAATTAGAAAATCTTATCATATTTTACAACCTGGTGAAGTTTTCGAATCACTAACTGGTGATTCTCCAGATAGTTTCCATATTGGTGTTGTCTTACCTATAAGTATCAAGAGAGTGAATAACTACGAAGTCAGTGGGCTCACTTCAAATCAAATTTATTGTACAGCCAACAGTGATAGGGCTCTTGAAAGAGGTGATACTAGATCTTTACCTGATATTTATACTTTTGGTCAAGCGGTACCAGCAAAACTATTGAATATTGATTATGAAAAATTTGCTGCTGAAGTCAGTCTTTTAAAACGTGATATACAGAATCCTACCTCTAAATTCATAAGAAAAGAAATTACACAATGGAATTTTGATCAAGAAAGATATGATGAAGATATTGAAAAGAAAAAAGAAGAAACAAGTAAAAAAGCAAATAGAATTATCAAACATCCAAACTTTCAAAATTTCAGTGCTGTTCAAGCCCAAAATTATTTAGCTCCAAAAGAACGTGGTTCTGTTGTTATTAGACCATCATCCAAAGGTAACGATCATATTGCTGTTACATGGAAAGTTGATAATAATTTATTCCAACATGTTGATGTTGTAGAACATGATAAAGAATCAGATTTCTCACTGGGTAGAAGATTAGTTATTGGTAATACAGAATTTTCCGATCTTGATGAAATTATTGAAACATATGTTGGTGAAATTGTTAAGAAAGTTAATGAAATGACAAATCATGATAAATTCCGTAAAGGTACAAAAGATGAAGTTACACAATGGTTAGATAACTATGCTAAAGCTAATCCAAAGAGAGCATCATATGCATTTGCTTTAGATCATAAAAGACCTGGTTGGTTCTTACTGCTATTTAAAACAAGTGCAAACAGTAAGATGTACATATGGAATGTCAAAGCTATTCCAAATGGTTTTGAATTACACGGATATCCTTATCCAGATATGACATTATTATGTAATGGTTTTAAAACTTTGATCAAGAGTAAATTAACTCAAAAACAAACTGCTCCACAAAGAGGCGGTTATACACAAAATTATACACCAGGTGGTTACGGTGGTTACAATAACTATGGAGGTCAACAATCTTATGGTCAACCATCTTATGGAGCACCAGGGTATTAGTGTTTAAAATTTAATGTTTTGTATAGTAAAAGAATTGTAAAATTATAGTGAATCATTTCGAATTATGTAGTTCTGAATATTTCTACGGTATGGATAATCTTCATTAAATAAACCAAACATAAAAAGTGTGTATATATATTATTATTAAAAAAGTATTAGAATTTTCTATGCAAATGCGTTAATGGTATTGATGTTTAACATCTTAAGCCATATCTTCAATGTTTTCCCCTTTATAAAGACTATCTTGATGTTCTCTAGCAGCTTCTTTAGCATCTTGTTCAGCTTCATCCTCTATGAATTCATCAATATCAAAATCGAATTGAGAAGGATCATTATCTATCTCAACGTTTTTATTTCTTCTATTACGTATACTAGTATTTGGATTATCAAATTTTGGTCTAAATTTTAATGGAATATCATTTTTAGAAACATTTGAATATTCTTTGAATTTTTTAAATCTTGAATCCTTAGCTTTTTGTTTTGCTTCTAAAGCAGCTCTTTCTTCTGGTGATAAATAACCTTGATTATAATCAGCTGCATCATCATCTTTTTTGGAGTTATCAACTCTATTCACTTTTTCATATTTATATGAAGCGACACCTGAGATTAATGGTAAAGCAGCAATGAAAAATATGACAACAGCAAAGATTATTAAGTATGCAAAGAGATCCATATTGAATTAGACTAATGAATATAAAACCTTCCAGAAAACTTGTTTAATGATTATGAGATCAAATATATAAATTATACCAAAACAATGAATTTGAGTGTATTCTCAATATTTTTTCACGATGTTACCGAGAATATTTCGCAAAATTGGCGAAATTTATATTCGTTCCGAATTCGGTTCAATAATTCCGCAAAATTGCGCAATTGATGACGGTTTAAATTATTGACAAATAAAAGTGAAAGGATAAGTAATATTGAAATAATCTAAATTTATTAAAAGCTACAACTACAAACCAAATCAATATCAAGATGTTTCGCATTTCTAGAGGTTTACCATTGAAAGCTATTCAAAGGGCAAGCACAAGATCATTCATTTCAACTTCATATAGATCACCATTGATTAAAGCCACATTCAAACCAACTTCAAATCTAATATCTAAAAGATTCACATCAAGTGACACAGATGCTTTGAATGAAGGTATCACAGACCTTGATATTAACACATATCATAGAATTAGTGAAGATTATTTAGAAACATTGACTGATTCTTTAGAAGCATTAAGTGAAGAAAACCCAAAAATTGATGCTGAATATTCAGTAAGTTATATATATAACCTTTATTGGTGCAAGAAAACATTATTCCAAATAACTAACGAAAAATTCATTAGCATGGTGTGCTATCTTTAGTTTTACCACCAAATGGTACATATGTTATCAATAAACAACCACCAAATAAACAAATATGGTTAAGTAGTCCAGTATCTGGACCAGATAGGTATGTTAAATAAATTATTTTAATTTTCCAACATTCAATTCACTAACAATTCAAATAGATTTGATTATGTTGAACCACATTGGGTTTCATTAAGAACAAAACATAAATTAGGTCTACTCTTAAAAGAAGAAGTTGCTTTAGCTTTAGATCAACCAATTGAAGAAATTGATCTTGGTGGGTTAGATGAAGAGTGAATCTAGTCTACATTCAAAATTTGTAAATAACAGAAATATAATGATCATTTAATTTATTTATTCAAATTGCTCTTTTGTATGATTTTATACATTGGGGTTTCTATTGTTGTCTTCATTTTCCTTTGGGTTTGAATCGTCTCTATTTTTATGGTCTTCTTTCTCTTTACTACTTCTATGTCTATGACTTCTGCTCCTATAATCTCTTTTATCTTTATCATCATGTCTATGTTCTCTAGACTTACTTCTATGTCTTCTTGGTCTTTCTCTGCTCGGGCTTCGACTTCTATGACTGTGTCTATGTTTATCACTATGGCTATGATGATGATCACGTCTACTTCTTGATTTACTTTTAGATCCTTCATCTTTTTTATCTTTTTCCATCAATAATAAAGGATCTTGAAATTCATCATCTTTTTCATCAGTCTTCTGTGAATTAATATCTTGTTCATTTTCTAATTCTGCAAAATCATTTTGAAGTTCTTCTTTTAATAAATTTTCATATTCCTCGTCTCTATCACGTTCCTCAAAGAAAGTATGATTAACCCTTATTATTCTTCCTAATACTTTAGCACCATTTAAATTATCCACGGCAAGGATAGTTGATCTTTGATCTTCATATTTTAAATATCCAAATCCTCGACTTTTTCCAGTTTCTTTATCTCTTATTAATTTTAAATGTACTGGGATACCATATTGTGAAAAAATAATTAATATATCACCTTCTGTAAGTTCAAAAGGTAAGGATCCAAAGACTAAAGTAGTGTTAGTATAACTCAAATTAAAATCATCACAGATTGTACTTACAAACATATGCAGTATCTTTAAATTCATTATGCCATGAAGCTTCAATTGAAATACCAGCTTCTAATTCTTTTTGATTCAATTTTTCAATATTCCGTACTTGACTTTTGATATTTTGTTAGTATACAATATCTCACACCCAGAATACAGCCATCACACTCACTTCATTTGCCTCAACACTTCTATTTGATTCCAATAATTAAATGCTATCAATTCACCAAATATTTACATACAAATGAAAAGTTCAAGTACTAATTTATTCCATATATAAAACGAATTCGCGGATGGTAAATTCTGACATTTTGCACAGTGTACTTCAACTTTCCACTTATCCAAAGTTTCCTTTAAAACATCAAAACTCCACAATTCAACAAAACACCCTTTTCAAGTTCTTTATAAATGTTCATTTAGGTGGTTTTAGTTTTTAGGGCTCACCAGGTATACATTAAAACAAAGGTTTATAGCATTGTCTGTGATCATTGCAAGAAACAAAGTGATCAATTAAACAGCCACATATAACCCCAGATCTTATTGAACAAATTATTACTCCCTAACAATATGACATCTCAAGCAATCAAAAACGCAACAAAATTCCTTAAACAATACACACCATGTGATATCAGTGATGGTTTAGTTAAACATGGTTTAAAAAATGGTGGATTTTTCCCCAATTTAAAACAATATTCTTTTAATCCAACTACAAAAAATTCAATAGCTGGTCCTGCATATACTGTATTATATGCACCATCAGAAGATCCAAGACCAGCAGTTAAAGGTGGCTATATAGATACAGTACCAGAAGGTTCAGTTGTTGTTATTGGTGTAACAAAAGAATTACAAACCAGGTATGCACCTTATGTCACTGTTAATAATGCTCTTTATGGTGGATTAATGAGTACAAGAGCTAAATATTTACAAGCAAATGGTACTGTTGTATTTGGTAGGATTAGAGATGTTAATGAACATCGTGATTTAGAATATCCAGTATTAGCTTATGGTTTGGGTACTACTGCATCTCAGGGGACTGTTAAAGTTGTGGGGATTAATGTTCCCCTGGAAATAAATATTGGTAATGATGATAAATATGAAGTTATAAAACCTCAAGATTTAATAATTGCTGATGAAAATGGTGTTGTTAGAATTCCTGATGATGTGGATTTAGATAGTCTTTTTGATTATGCTCCTAAAAGAGTTAAAGCTGATCAATTAGTTTCAGAGGATATTAAAGCTGGTAAACTTGCAGTTCCTTCACAAAAAGAACATAGATCAAAGATATAAATTTACAATATGCAAGATTGATGTGATATTATCAATTATAAATATTAAAAAAGCAAATGATCATTATATAATAAAAAAAGAATAAAGATATGGTTCTATGACATGATATATAAATATAAATGATTTCCTATTCCAAAATCATTTACTTTGTTTCTTCTTTGTAGCTTCAGCAACAATTTCTTCAAAAATTTGAGCTTCTTCTTGTTCAGATTTTGTTCTTGTTGTATTTATGAAAACTTTACCCAATAGTATTAAACTTTCAGCTCTCTTAATTTGAGTTTTCTTATTTTGAGTTTGATCTTTTAATACTTTATCACAAACATCTCTTAATGTAGATTGAATTTCATATTTTGAACCATGCCATGCAGCATTAAGAACTTTACCCATCAGTAATTTTTCTAATTCAGCAATTTCTTCATCTGTTGGTTTTGGAATAATTTCACCAGTTTTTTCATCAATTAATTCTTCTGATGAGGCTTTTAATTCTTGTAATTTTCCTAATTCTTGCATTGTTTGTTGAGCATCTAATGCTGTAGAAATTGTTCTAAAAGTATCCATAACTATATTACCTTTTGCCTTTACAGATGAAAAAAAACCAGGTATACCTAAAAATTGTTGAGAATTTAAAAAAATTTCACCTTTTGTTAAATAAACTTTCCCAATTGTATGTAAGATATCAAGACCAAAAGATTCCATTTTTAACATATTTGCTTCAATTTCAAATTTTGATTTGAATGCTTGTTTACAATCTTCATCATATTCAGATTCTGTTAGGACCGAAAGTCTTTCAATTAACTTTTTAGATAATTCTTCAATTGATTCTGCTTTTTTACGTTGTACTTCTTCTTCATGTTCTTCTAATTTTGATTTTTCCTTTTTTGGTTCAGTTTCTTTACCTTGTTGTTCAGATTCAGCTTCTGCTTCTGCATTTTCAGCATGTTGTAAAAGTCTTAATGTTACTTTTTCATTGAAATTTGACCTCGTTTTATTGGTATTGTTTGAATCTTTTGTATTGGTAGTATCATCAACATTTGGTTTTGTATTAGTATTTGAATCTTTCTTTGGTTTATCATCTTCATTCTTTACTTCCTCTTTTGATTCTTCTTTAAGTTTTTCTTCTTTAGCTTCAGCTTCTTTTTCTTCTTCATTCAATTCAGCACTTTTAGTTATATCTTTCAAAAGACTTAATTCACCAATATAAGAAACAAAAGCTTCACCACCAAAAATCATAGCAAAATATTCACCAGCATCTTCAAAACCTTCATTTGGAACAGCAGATTCTTTACCATGTTTATCATATTTAGCTCTTAGTTCTTCATTACTTAACACTTGGTATGCTTGAGAAATAGCTTGAAATTTTTCAGTTGCATTTGGATCATTTGGATTCTTATCTGGATGGTCTTTAACAGATCTTTTACGATATGCTTTTTTGATATCAGCCTGTGTAGCATCTGGTTTTATTTGTAAGATGTCATAATATTCTGTGTCAACAACCATCTTTGGTCTCCTGTCTATAATCTAGCTAAATAAACTTGATCTGAGTATAATATCAACTAGACTTTATTGTTTTATGTCTTTTGACTTTATAATAATTTCCAATTTGTGTTGTCAAAAACAAAATAAAAATAAAAAAACTATGTGGATTATGTCATCGGCGCGCAGTGGATTATGTAAGGATTTTTATTCATTTATAAAGATTTTAATGAAATTGATGGGAATTTGAAAGAAATTAAAGTAAAGAGTTGGTTATTTGGGGTATGAAGTACTTCAGTGTGTCTAGTGGTTGAAATATGTTGATTTTGATGAGTTTACCTTTGAAAATCCTGTTAAATCATCATAATTCTATGTGGAGATCATGTTCATATGTGATTGAATTCACAGTAATTTATTCAAAATCATTTTAAGAGCATTTAATTTTGAACGTTGGAAGATGTCGATTTGATTTGATTTTGATTGTTTTATTGTCTATTGTTCCATTGTTTCGTTACATATAAAGGTGTTCCAGGTTTATTAAGTTGTCATACTCAATCAATTATACTCATCAATTATACTCATCAATTATACTCATCAATGTCATTCAGTGATCAATTATTAAACAAATATCAAAACTTATTCACCAAAGCAACAACTCATCAATTCACTACAGAGTTATGTCAAGGAACATTACCAGATAATAAATTATTATTATATTTAATCCAAGATTTAAAATTTTTCCAAGTTGGTATTAGATTAACATGTAAATTAGCTTCATTATGTGATGATGATGAATCACAAATTAAATTAGCAAAACAAATTGGATTTTTTGCAAATAATGAAAATGATTATTTTCAAATTTGTATTAAAGATTTATCATCAAAAGTGGCATTAGATCAATCTATCTTATTACCACAAGTGGAAACTTATGTTGCATATCTTAAAAATTTATTAAAATCAAATAATTATTCATATGGTCAATTAGTTACTGCACATTATTTAATGGAAGAAGTTTATTTAAAATGGGCAAATGATGCAATTGAAAACAATACTATCCCAAGTGATATTGAATGGAAACATAAAGAATGGATTGATTTACATAGTGGTGAAGGATTCTCCAATTGGGTTAAATTCTTGAAAGATGAAGTTGATAGAGTTGGTGATGAAACTTGTGAACAAATTTTTGTTGATATGTGTAAATTAGAATTTGAATTTTTTGATGCATGTTATAAACATTTGGAATAATGCACTGATTATATAGACTTAACAATCATATACCAAATATATACAATATAAATCAAAAAATTGTATAAATTGTACTCGTCTCAAAGTTTATATGTGTTTTCATTTCCGAGGTGGTCCAAGCACGTGAATATCAACCCTCGAATCTCCCCTTTTGAAATCAATTTTAAAATTTATAAGCTCTTTTATAGATCTTTCAAGTAAAACAATATTTTATAATATTTTATTTATTTTGATCAAGGTTGATTTTGTACTTGCTGGTTAATCTCTTTGTTGGTATTGTTTATTCACTCACAAATAAGGATTACAAATAATGGTTCCAAGAAAACTAGTTTCAATTATTCTAGATCCAGATTCAGATGATGAACCAATTTATTGTACTTATGATATAAATGGTAAATTTATTAAAATACGTGATTTAGATCAAATATTAGGGAACAATAATACAACTAATGATACCAAAAAATCAAATACTGCTTCATTACCAAAGATTCAAAAATCTATTGAAAATTTCTTTAATTTAGATTTACCATATATTTCTTATCATGATGTTAATCCATTTGAATTAATGGATGATGATTGTAATGAATTAAAAACAAGATTTTTTTTACCAAATGATACTATATTAGAAAGAGATCGGATTATTGGGAATGAAATTGGTTTGAAAACTCCTAAAGAAAGAGTGGAAAGACCTGTTGATCATCATTATTTACCTGGTAAACCTAATTTAATTTATGAAAATTATCCATTTTTCAAACCAAATTTAGACAAGAGTATTGAATTAACAAATGAAGAATTTTATAAGAAATTTATAACTAAATTTAATAAAACTTTGAGCAAAAAATTGAAAAATTTCAAAACAACTCAAACAGGGGATTCAAATTTTATTGATTTTGAAAATTATATTTATGATTTACCAACTTTTCAAACTCCAGTTGATTATCCAAATTATTTTACAATTTATGAATCTGAATTTTTTGATGTTTTCAATGATCGTATAATAAATCCAATATTAAAAATTTATCAAATGTTCTTATTGAATTCTTCAACAAAATTGAAAAAATACTTGGAGGAAACTGATGAAGAATATTCACCAATTTTAAATAATGAACATAATGTTTCATTAAAACCAATTGGTTCAGTTGGAGTCTCATCATTCCCATTTGGTCTTGTTGATCCAGATACTAAATTTTTAAATTCAATGTTTGTTCATGTTGAATTAGTTAATTTAAGTTTAGGTATTGGAGAAGGATATGAATTATATTTCCAATCTCAAAAACAAAATTTTCAAAATGAATTTCAAACAAAGATATTTGGATCAAATTCCACCAAAATTAATAATTTTTTAAAATATTTCCATAAATGTTGTTCAATATGTTTAAATTCTCAAACAAATAGATTTATTATAACAGATTATTATTGGATCGGGGTATTTCAAATTGAAGATATTGAAGATGGTGAAATTCAAGACGTTAAGAAATTAATTTCAAAAGTTAATGTCTTGCATTTTAGTTATTCAAATTTTGAATCTGAAGATCAGGGTATTAATGGATTAAGTATAAGATCTATAATTGCTTCATGGTTTAATATATCATCAAATGAATTTAAATCTAATAATACCAAGATGAATTTAATAAATTCCCGGATTATAAAAGAATGGGAATTATTTCAAAAGTCAAAATCAATGATTAATAATAATACCAATTCACAATCAAATAAAAGATTAAAAATTTCACCATTTATTTATACAACACCATCAGAAATTAAATTTTTAAAAAAAAAAGTTGATTTAGAGAAATCATTGGTTGAATTCATTGCAATTGGTTATGAATGGTCATGTCAAACCCTATGTATTGATTTAAAGAAGTTATTCCATGATAAACAAAATTATTATCAAATTTTTAATGAACACAAGTTATCAAATTCAAATCAAAAAGTTTTATTATCAATTTATGATGAACAATATAATGTTAATAAATTTAAATTCTTAGATTATTATAAAGATGATAAAAAATTAATTATAAATAAATCAAATGGTAATATGGATACATTATTTGGATTACCTTTAAAAACCGATCGTGGTATGGATGAAAGTTTTACTCTATGGCATGGGAATATTGATATATATAATAAATTAAAATTTTTACAAGGTGATATAATTGCCCGTGTTTTAGATTTTGGTTATTTAGAAGATAAATCATATAATGATTTGGGAAAATTACATTTTAAAATTGATGGATATTATATAATTTATGAACCAAATTCCATGAATTTTAAAAATTTAATTGAATTAGATATAAATAATGAAGATCATTATCTAAAAGCAAAAGAAACAATCACCAAGATTCATGAATATGGTGTTACATTCCAACCAAAGACTAAGATATCATTAGATGTCTTAAGATTTTATAATAATAAAGTATTTTTAATAAATTTAGAAGAAACTTCATGGACATCAAACCAAACATCAAATTCATTTAAATCACAAAAACAAAAAGATTTAAATGATTTAGATATAGAATTTAAAAAGAAAACATCACATAAGAAACGTGGTTCAAGTTTTAGTAATGGACATAATATACCAAGAAGAAAATCATCATCACATCATCATAATCATAATTCAAGAAGTTCATTAAATCAATTATTACAACATTTAAGACAAGAGGTACAATTAAATCCTGGTACGCTATTGGATGAAGATGATATTGAAGGTGAAGTTGTTTTCAGTGAGGATGAGTAGAGTATAGAATTGTTATTTATATATATATAAGTAATGATAAATAAAGTTATATACTTTAAATTGTGTAGTTTATAGTAGTTTATTATGTTTATTATAGTAAATCCTCTCTGGTTTGGGGCACATATACTGTGTTTTTTGCACTATAGTATATGATTTTCTAAGAACTAGTAAGTAAGGAGTAATCTATTATGAGCATTAATATAATAACCATTAGTATGTGTATATAATCAAGAGTATTATAATCAACTGTGTAATTGAAGCTTATGGTTGTACGACGCGTCAATAATAATTTCCATGGAACTAAAATGATTTCGCGTATTTTAGCGTATTTAAGTCAAACGACATTTAACTAAAACAATAGTACAACTAGAATTAAGTATGAGTAGAAGTAAAGAATATATGTTGATATTGATATTATGAGTAATGAGAGTGTAATGTAACTTATGGAGAAGAAGCAATATATCTATATAATTAAATCTATTCTTTATTACTTCTAGTTCTAGTTCTACTGTCTTCTTTCCATCTCTTCCACGATAATAAATTTAGATTGCGAATCGCGTAATAACACAATGGAAGTGGAACAAAAACACAGTGACAAGACAAGACTAATACTAGACAATAATACTACTATACTAATATTATACTATTACTATTATATTATTATAACACATTCAATCACATTCAATCAATATCAATCACCACTTCACCTCACTAGTCTTCCACTTCATTATTCTTTCATTTTCTTTTCTTCTTTGTTCAATCTCAACTTTAAAAAAAAAATTAAAAAAAAAATAAAAAAATTTAAAAAAAATAAGCGTCAATAAAAAAAAATTTAGACCCAAAAGTTAAACCAACAACAACACCATCAACAAGAACTAGAAGAAGAAGAACTATAGGATATTATAGAGTATATTAGTTATAATATTCAACACTCATAGATATTCCCAGAGATATCCACAAGATTACACTACACAAAAAGATAAACACACTATTTCAACTTATACTACTACAAGAAGGCCCCACATAAAAAAACATAATAAAGCCATAAGTCAACAATATCATGACTTCAACTCATAATCCAAATAATCATTTATCAAGAAGAGCTTCAATCTCCACTGCTCCATATCAAATACCTCAACGTCATAACTCAATAAGTCATTCTCCATTATCTCCTCCAAATCATTCAAATATTCATATTCCACAACATCATAATCGTCAATTAAATCATGGACAAAGTACTGGAAATAATCAATATTTATCAAATTCTGTACCAACTTTAAGTAGAGAATTTGTTGTTAGAAGAATAAGTGAAGGTGAATCCGGTAGATTAAAAGAAGAATTAAAATGTGAAGCTTGTGGGAAAGGTTATAAACATATTTCATCATTAGCAAAACATCTTTGGGAACATACTCCAGAATGGAATGTTACCAAGAAATTATTAATTTCTAAACATCAACAAGTTCAATTATTAGAAGCTGCAAGTATATTAGTTTCAATGAATGAATTAGATGAAATGAATGAAATGGATCCAATTCAAGAAGAAAAAGAAAGCTCTATTAAATTCAATCCAAAATATACAGAAAATGATGAAGGTGAAGATGATGATGATGAAGATGATTCAAGATTTGAAAATTCTCCTTCCCCATATTTGAAAAATCATAGATATAATTCAATATCACAATTCCCACCAAGTGAATCTAATGGGAATTTAAATTCTCCAATTAATAAAAAAATAAATGGTGGATTTTTGGATGTTCCAAAATCAACAACAATTAGAGAGACAAAGAAAAGTATTAGTGAACCTTTAGAAAAAGTTGATGAAAAGGAAAAAGATGGGGAGAAAGAAGATGAGAAAGATGTTGATGATGGAGTTTTTGGAATGGATTGAATAATTTAGCGATAGCTAAATTAAATAAAAATTCAAAGCACATAATACCAATACCAACCAAAAAGCATCTCTATTCAATTCTTATCCATTTAATTCATTTAATTCTTTAAAAGTTTTGTTTTTTTTCACATTTTTTTTAATTCGTATCATTAATATCATTAATCATAATATACCATTAATAATGGTTATATCAAGTATAAAAAGCTAATGATTTTATATAACTCATGTTATTTAGTGGTTTTCCCTGTTTTGTTTTTAAGTTTTTAGATTTATTTATATAAAATGTACAATATGTATGTATAAAAAGGTTGTAGTTATAATATGTATGTATTTGAAATAAAATCATATAAAATCATATAAAGTGTGTCATAAATAAATAATAAATAATAGATAACCAGTATCAAAATAAAACACTAGAGCAAGTTCTGATACTTAATTCCCTCTTGTTTAGCAATAATTTGTAAAGCTAATCTTTTAGACATATACCTAACCATAGCTAAATTCCCACCATGAAACCAAAAATTTTCAAAACCTGAACGTCTCCAAATACTCTTAAATTCACCTTCTTTATCAAACCCCCAAACAGGATTTAATTGTGAACCAATTTCTTCACCAACAATTTTTTTAGCAGTTTCTTTCATATTTGTATAACCCGTTGCTAAGACCACGATATCTAATCCATCAATTTTAGAACCATCTTTTAATATAACTCCATTCTCGGTAAATTCTTGGATTTCTCCATGGGAAACTTTAACTTTATTTTCAATGATTAAAGTTGAACAACCAACATCAATATAATAACCTGAACCACGACGATAATACAATCCAAATAAACCAGTACCACCCATCCCAGCATTTGTTTCAAAACCTTGTTTTTTCAAACCTGTTAATAATTTCCCATCCAATTTTGAAGATTTTCTATATTGTTGTCTCATTATTGCATTTGTTAACCAAATTGGATTACCATGAAGCAAAACATCAGCAGTATCAATTTGTGGTCCCTCGGCATCGAAAACACCTTCACAATTAGTACGAACACCATCATCTGATGAAATAACACAAGTTGAAGATCTTTGTAACATTGTAACTTCTTTGATACCTTGTTCATAAAAATCTTGACATATATCATGAGATGAATTACATGCACCAACAACTAGGGCTTTTTTACCTTGGTAATTTGCACCTGATGTATGTTGAGATGAATGAACAATTTCTCCTTTAAATTTTGATTCTCCTGGGAAATGTGGAATGTTTGGTTCACCTGAATGTCCTGTACAAAAAATTAAATGATTTGGGAAAATTTTTTTAACATCATTTGTTGAATTATTTACAACTGAAACTTCCCATTTTTTTGTATCTGAGTTAAACCCAGCTTTTGTAACTGATGTATTTAACCAAATATTTAATTCAAGCATTTTGGCATAACATTCCAAGAAATTTGCAAATTGATCTTTTGATGGATATATTGGGAAAGTATCTGAATGAATATAAGGTAATCTATGATAATAAAAAGGATCATGTAATGATAAAAATTTATAACGTTTTCTCCAATTATCACCAATATTTAAATTAGATTCCACAATTAGGACATTATAACCAAATGATTTTAATCTTGCAGCTATGGTGATTGAAGATTGACCACCACCGACAAGCAAGGCTAGGGGTTGATGATCTCCTTGATAATTTGTTTCATCAGATCTTTGTTCTAACCACGTTTTTCTTTGAATATTTTCACCATGTTTTGTACCAGTTGGTCTATTACGGCCAATTTGTTCAGGTATACCATCAAATTCATCCAACAAGGTGAAAACACTTAGGATTTTCAAACCAATTGGAGCATCATCATTTGATTCCACACTAACTAATTTAATTGAACCACGACCAATACCAAAATTTGATTTATATTTTAAATATAATTGAATCCATTGAATTGGTGGTGTGTGTTCATCACCCTCGTGTACAGTGGTTAATGAAATACCAGTTGGATATCTATAATCAGCTTGTTTATCAAATTGAAATTCACCAATCTTATCAATATTTTTTGGAACATTGGCTTTAATTTCATTTGGATTTATAAAAGTTCTAAGGTCATCAGTTAAAGATAAATGATCTTTCCAACCAGTATGTGGTAAAAGGAATTTATCCAATTGATTTGGATCTTTAGCAATCTGGGATAATGTTTGATTAAATTCAACTAACCAACCTTGAGCTAATGAATTAACATCATGATGTTTTAAATTTTGTGGATCTGGTTTGAAAGGACCATAGATGTGTTCTTGTGGGATATCTTTATCATAAGCAGTTTCCAAATAATCTGGAGTGATTTCTTCGACACCAGGAAAGACGGACATCTTGGTATACTGATTTGACTATTGATACTGATAATTGACAATGATTTCAAGTAATTACAAGTGATTTCAATCTTTATTTATATCCATTTCAATTCATTTCAATTCCATCAATCCATAACCCACATCCACTTTGATCATTTAAATCACCACTTTTCATCTTTTCTCTTTTTAATAAACTCCTTTTCATTTCACTTGTTAATTAACCGCTGAGTATTCACTTTCACTTTCCCTTTTCTGATTTTCAACTGATCATTTTTGTTTTCATAAATTTTAATGGGAAAAAAGCGCTGGGGTAAAAACATCTCCACATTACGTAATCAGTATAAGCTTAATCATTTGTACTTGTGGGATACACAAGGAATAAAGTGGGATATCATTACAATAGGATTCCGATAATCTATATTAACAATCTATACAAGTGAGTTGTTTAACAGTTGTCATTCACACGTTCAACTTAGCTAAAGCTAAGTTTCACTAAAATCCAAATGAACTATTTGTATAAGCCATTGGTTTCATTGGTGGATGTTCAACTGCTTTAAATTGTTTAAATTCTAATTCCCCCTTTTTATCAACATTAATTAAAGCACCTAAATTACCAGTAGAATCACAATAATTTGGTGCACTGAAAATAGTTATTAATTTACCATCATGTTCAATTTCATATCCATCCATTCTAACTTCATGACTACGTATTATACCCTTTAAATTATTCAACTCTAAAAATGCTTTTGTAATATCTGGTCCAAATTGAATACCAATACCTCTTTTACTCATACCATATCCATCTTCTTTTTGTGGATCTGTCCATAATAATTCCATTTCCATACCTTCTTTAGGGTTTGGTTTCTTGGTGACTTTGTTTCTTATATCTTCAAGGGTAATATCAGGTTTTGAGAACAACCCACCATGCATAATTAAATAATCATTATTTAACATTGTAATTAATGGTAAATTTTCAAAAGTTTTACTGAAAATTTTAAAAATTTTTTCACCATATTTATATTTACATTCATCTTCAAATCCATAAACTTTATTCATATCATTTGTTTCATGATTCCCTCTATTTAAATAAATTTTATTTGGGAAAACTAGTTTAATAAAATATAATAAAATTATAACTTCACATGACCAACTACCTCTATCAACAAAATCTCCATTAAATAAATATCCATGAAAATCTGAAACATAACCATTTTGTGAGAAAAAATTAATTAAATCAAAAAATTGTCCATGTGTATCACCCACAATGGTAAACTTATCAACATTTATAAAATTTTTATCTTTATGATCCATTGATATCTCCATAAATGCAGATTCATTATTCAAAATTTCATTGATTTTAATTAATAATGCATAAACATATTTTTTAGGTAATATACCACCTTTCTTAAAAAAATCAATCAATTCCAAAATAAATTCTTGGTCAATATCAAATTTAATTTCCTCTTCATCATTAAATTTAATTAATGGACCTTTATAACCATCATCAATTTGAAAATTTCTTATATCAATTTTGAAAAAATCTTCATCATCAACTTGAATAGCTTTTTCAAATGCTAATTTCCTAATCAATTTATTTAATTCTTGTAATAAAGCCTTAGAATTCTTATCATCAGGTTTTAATTTTAAAATTATATTTAAATCTTCTGTTGATTCTTTATGTTTTAATAATCTTGATTTAGCAACTGCACGACGATAATAAGCTTTGAGGTAACTTGGATCTAATTCAATTGCTCTAGTAGCATCTAAAATTGCTGAACCATATAATTCAATTTGAATTTCAACATGGGCTCTATTTGCATAAAAAATTGGATCTTCTGGATCAATTTCAATTGCTTTTGTATAATTATCTATAGCATCTTGATAATTTTTGGATTTTAATGCTTGGTTTCCCAAGTTTTTATAATCTGCTGCGGATTTTTCAGACATCTTTTGATCTGATTGAATTATGAATATATGATTTATGAATATAAATAAAATCAACCAAATTCAACTTGATTAAGTGCTTTTTGAGTTTTGAGATCAGCTATCAATATTTTTTTTTAATACACGTTAAAATTTTGAAAAAGATGAGAAAAATTCGCGAATGCTCTTTATGAAAAAAACAAATAAATAAAAAGCATCAAAAGAACCAAAATACTCATCAATCAAAAGGTCAAAAGATCTAAATCACAATGGATCTTCAATTGGATAGAAATAGGATAACAATCCTCCTCAACACAAACACGTTACTCCTCCATAAATTCACACAAACAAGAGATCAAACATTATTAAAAAGACTACATGCAAATTTAACTTGTATTGGAGAATTATCAGAAAAACATAATAATAATAATGGGAATTTAAATAAACCAATATTCCCAACAATATTAAGTCCACCAAATGATTCTCCTGAATTAATGGAAATGTATGTCAAATTACAACAATTGTTTCCAGAAGGTGTACAAATATTACAAAGAAGAACTTTATTATTAAGACAAGAACAATTGAAAAGACAATTTCAACAACAACAACAACAACAACAACAGCAGCAACAACAACAAGGTTCAATATCTGGTGGTGTTCCAAGTGGTGTGCCAAATGGTGTTGGAATACCTGGTGGTGTACCTGGTGGAGTTCCTGGAAGTAATATAACAACACCAAATATTCAACAACAACAAGTACAAAATCCACAATTTAATCAAGGAAATCAAGGTAATCAATCTTTCTGGTAAAGAGTTTAGTATCTTTGTTTGTGCTAACTATGTTTGTTCTGTTGCTTTAATTTATGTAATTTTAACTTGATATTTTGGAGTTTATGATTTTATGTCTAGAGAAAAAGAAATTGTAATATATGTTTAATTTATAACCAATGTAATCAATGTAATCCATATATTAATAAATAAATAACTTATAACATCAGCTGGTTTTTCTCTCTATAGCTGATGACTATTCTATCCCGAACTTACAGGAGGTATAATACAAATTTCATCACCTTCATTAAATTCAACACCTAATTCTTTATCAATATACTCATAATCAACAGTTATACCACAATTTTCTTTAACATATTCAGAAAATTCTTTGGTGTATTGGATTTCCAAGTATTCATAAAGTTGTAGTAATGACGTTATTTGAATTGATTCTATTGATTTATTTGTGAAATCTTTTGATGGTCCAAAATATTCAATTGTTACCATGGTTTTTGATGAAATTTTTGGTTTGTGTGTTGGGGGGTGGTTGTGAGATTTAGTGTATGATGTATGATGGTATGATGATATCGATCAAGGGCTCTTGATCTGGTTTAATTCGTTGTGATTTTAATGGTTTTGATGTTGAAAAGTTCATCGGAGAATTATTACCGGGCTTATCATCTTGATTATGTAAAAGTATAAGTACAAATGTACGAATTATAATAAAAACTTTAGTTTTATGTCTATTAATTATAATAAATAGTGTTGTATACACAAGAAATTGAAAGTTGTTTCTATATACAATAGCTCATTGATTTCAATGCATGTCATTATACTTATATTCACTTGTAAGTTCATCATCAATGAATGACCTCAGCTTATTTCTATTTTTGATATTGGATCAACTGGAGTATCAACTGTTTCTTTGACATCCATACTTGATGGTTTATACTATACAACTTCATAAACGAGACTCAAATAACTCTCCAAATAGCCTTCTCAAAGAATCATTATTGAGCCTATGTATTTAATTCTTCATTCATCTCATTTTCTGATCTTTCTAAAAATTTAACATATTCAATGAAAAATGACGAACTTTTAATTTCCTTATTCTTCGAATCTAATAACCTCTTCACCATTGGTAACCATAAATCAAATAATTCATCTTCATTCTTCATTAAAGCATTAATTGCAGCTCTTCTTCCAGCTGAAATCTCTGCATGTTTAGTAAAAGTTTTAATACTTGTACCAATACCAGTACTAATTAAAACTTTATTCATATAACATTCCACTTCAACTTGAACTTCGTTATTTTCATGTTTTTTTGCCATTATTACTGTGTACTTTATTGATGTATCTCTAATTATTCCTTTGAATAGATTGAATAATTTCATTTTGGCTGTGATTTCATTCAACCCTGATCTAGCAACTTTTAATCTATATTGGAAAAATTCTTTTAATTTTGAATCATCTTCAAGTTTTTTTTGATAAAATGATTTTAAAAATTTATGATACTTTATAGAAAATGCAGTACGTTTCCCAGTCTTGGTTCGTTTTAATTTGTTTATACTTATTGGAAACCAAAATTCATTTAAAATCTTGTCTTTCTTTTCAAGAAGTACACTCATTGCAACTTTAAATTCAGCTTCTTCAATAGTATCACCATTAGCAATACCAAATAATTCATCATTTATAAAACATCTTGATATTATCTTGGTATCATCTTTTGTTGTTTCATAATTAACTTTCGAGCCATTCCCTATGTGAAAAAGTATTTCTTTAGAAGATTCAAGCTTCAAATTCTTTGTTGCCTTGATCCATTCATATTCAAAATATTTTTGTAAAATAAAAGTTTGTGATGATGGTATTTGACTTAAACTTTTATATATTTGATCGTTACTTGACTTTTCCAGAGTTGGTGGTTGTGGTTTATTATGTTGAATATCATGTGTCGCTATTAGCCCTATACCTTTACCTTCTTTAAATGATTCCTGTTTGGGGATTTCTAGATGAGTTTTATCTGATCTTATTATTGGTTTTTCTGTTGATGATGTACTTTGAAACTTTTTTCCAAGCCCAGTATCCACTCGTCGTATAACATAATAACTATGGATTATTGGTCTTCTTGTGATTAATTTAGAACATCGAGGAGCACCTCGTATGATACATCTAAGCATTTATATTTGTGGTTGTTCTTCTTCTGGTGATCTTTTAACATAATAAAGTGAAAAATTATGAAATATTTTGTCTCGGGGATTAATTTCGATGCTATAAAAATTTAGTATGGGTATATAGAGAAAAGAAGTTAAACAAAGTCATGAATATTGAGTATAAATTACATGGTAACTAAATTAGATTATATTGAAATTATAATAGCTCAGTGCATTAGATTCATAACATTTTCAAAATTAATCTATTTACATGGTATATATTATGCTATCTGCTTTGGTTATTAAGAAATTTCCTATATACAAGGTTTCATTATATCATAAATAAAACAATGAGTTTCTAGTCTACCATTATTTCTTGGTGGAACTATTCTGTATCTGTATCCAATCGATTATAATAACTCTTATATACCCACTTGGCACCTCTGATTTCTGGATTTACTTCTGATTTAAAATTCATCACATATTTATTCTTCTCCAAAAATTCTTTATATTTTTGAATAAATAATGAAGGTTTTTCTTGATTATAAGTAAAATATTGATCTGTCAATGGTAACCATACTTCTTCAAATAATTTTTTTTCACCTCGAAGTAAAGCATTCACAGCAGCCATCTTTTTAGATTTTTTTTCTTCGACATGATATGCAATACTAGTTGGTATATTATTTATAAAACATTCCATTTGAAATTGAACAATAGGTTTTCCTCCCATTTTTTTAGTTCTATTACCAATTACTCTATATTCAATTGATGCATTTTCAAATCCACAGTTTTGTACAAATTCTTCAAGTTTCTTTATGGCAATATCTTCAGTTAACTTTGCTTTTGCGATTCTTAATTCATGTAGGAAAAACAATTTTAAATTTGAAACATCATCAAGTTTGATATCTGAATCTTCTGGTATTATTTTTTTTGAATTATTTGAATCAACTCCAAAATTTAGATTATTTGAATTTATAAAATTTTGATAATTTTTAGAAAACAATTTATCACCATCCCCAATTTTTGCAATCTTTAATTTTTTTTTAGAAATTGGTAACCAATAATCATTAAACATTGTATCTTTCCCATCAAAGAATACATTCATTGCAGCTTTTTGTTCAGCTTCTTTAATTGTTTCACCTTTAGCAACACCAAATAATTTATCATTTATAAAACATTTTGACGTGATTTCATTATCTATTTTTTCATTCTCATAAGTAATTAAAGTAAAACTTAACAGATCTTGAAGTTTGGATTTGGATGTTTTTAAAGTTATCTTCTTTTCCACATCTTCCCATAAATAGTCATAATATTTCCTTAAATTTATGTCTTCAATCTTTGATGAGTCCAGTATTTGATTATTTTGACCACTTCTTGATGTACTTTGAAATCTTTGTATTTTAAACCCCGTATTCACCTTTGGTATAGCGTGAGAACTAGGGACTATTGATCGTCTTGTAATTAATTTAGAGCATCGAGGAACTCCTCGTATTATACATCTAAGCATTATTCTTTGTTGGTTGTTTTGGTGACCTTTTGACATATAATAAAGTGAAATTGAAAATTTAATTTTTCAAAACAATTGTGTCTCGGGTTTAACTAAGTACATATAAAAAGATTATCAAGAGCATGTTTGATCGATATACTACATATTTCTTAGACTCTTGTTCTCTATATACGATATCTTATTAGTCTATTATTTGCTATTCGTTATTTTATATCATTAATTATTTTCTTGTAGAAACTTTTTATATTCATATTGGCAACAAGTTTAACAAGATTTTTATTCTTTCCATTCTTCAAATCTTTAACCAATGATTTAGCAACTGGTAACCATCTATCATTATAAAATTGTTCTGATCTATTAGAAATAACATCTTTAGCTGCTTTTCTTTCTGCAATTTTTGATTCTTTATCACAACCCATGCCTGAAAATTCACCATTAATAAGACAATGCACTTTTATGTTACCATTAATTCGTGAGACTATTTTGTATTCAATCTTGAATTTTTCATTAAGTGGACCAGTTAGAACATGAAGTTTTTCTTTGGGGTTTGTTTTTGTTGATGATCTTGCAACTCTTAAGCGAGATTCGAAAAACTTTCTTAACTTAATTGAATCTTTATCATCTGAGCTTTTTATTAATGACTGATTTTGTTGATTTGATACTTTATCATTCTTCACAACATTTTGCGAGCTATTTAAGAACTCAAGATATTGTTTAATAAAAGATGGAACATTTTCTCCTGGATTATGAGCATTTAAGTAACTCTTTGCCATTGGTAACCATACATCATTAAATAATTTCTCTTCATTCTTCTTTAAAGCATCTATAACAGCCATTTTTTCAGCTATCTTTTCTTTTGCATCGATTCCAGTACCAACTAAATGATTGTTTACAAAACATTCTACTTTAACCACATTATTTTCCTTATTTGCACCAGTTACTCTATACTTTATCGATGTATCTTTAGCTGCCCCTCTGACAAGGTTATATAAGCTCTGTTTGATTAGGGTGGTATTCAATCCTGATCTAGCAATATTTAATTCATATTGGAAAAATTTCTTCAAGTTTGAATGATCATCAAGTTTGAAATTTAAATCATTAATATTTGATGAATTGTTTGTTGAAATTGTCTTAGTTAAATTACTTGATTCTTTTGAAATGTTTGAATTAGAATTGGGGATACTAGGTTCATCCCTCTGATTAATTGACTTCAAAAATTCACGATACTTTAGTTTAAACGCTGTAGTTGACATCTTCAATTTTTTTTTGTTCATTGGAAACCAAATATCATGAAAGATTCTTTCTTTACCTTCAAGAAGTGCATTCATTGCAGCTTTTTTTTCAGCTTCTTCAATAGTATTACCGGTAGCAACATTAATCAATATATCATTAATTAAACATTTTGACGTTATTTTGGTACCATCTCGTGTTGTCTCATAATTAATTTTTGAACCTTTTAGTATATCATTAAGTCTCGACTTGGATGTGTTAAGACTCAAGAATTTTGTCACATTCATCCTTTTGAATTCAAAATATTTGCGTAGATTTCGGTCTTCAATTCTAGATGAGTCAAATGTTTCCTTATCTTTAGTACTGGTAAGTTTTGATATATTATTTGAGCTCGATACCCCATGATCGGTTTCAGATTTCCCATCTGGAATCCCAATCTGCTTCTTATCCTCTTCTTTAAGTTCATCCACTAAAGTCAAAATATCATCTTCTGTAATATTTTTACCAAATTTCTCCATCGTTGGCATATTTGCTATATTCTTAAGGTAAGTTATAAGCAAAATTTGATAATCCCCAGTTTTAAATCTATTATACATCATTGGTAACCAAATTGATTCATAAATTTTCTCATTTGATAAAGTTATAGCTTTAAAAGCTGCCTTTTCCTTAGAAATAAATTTAAATGTATCTTGTCCATTAGCAACAACTACCCCATTAATGATACAGTCAGTTAAATAACCATCGTTAGCTGTTTTTCGTGTTTCATATACCACTAAACTTTTTTTCCCACCCATAAGATTTAGAAGTGCATCTATGGAACTCGTAGAAATAAGTTCAGTTTCTGCCTTTTTTAAAGATCTTTGCCAAAGTGTTTTTAAAAGTTTTGAAAGTTCAAGTTTAGAGCTTTCAGTGTTTGATGATGGAGTGAAATCAACTTCAACTGGTTTGTTAGTTGTAATGACATTATTATGATTTCCTAGGTTCAAATCTTGTTGATCTGTGGTTTTAAGAACACTTGGTATGATGGGTTCAATCAATGATTTCAAAAATTCAAAAGGTTTAATATCTTTATGATCCTTTTGTGCCAGATATAAGACACCAAAATATGCATGTAGTACCTTATTCGAATCATCAATTTTGAAACTATGTTCATGAATTTCATAATTATTAACACGTTCATAATTTTTTTTTAAATTCTCAAGTATATCAAATGGGAATGTCCAATGTATGAGATCATTCTTAATTTTATCTTTAATTTTATAGAATGTTTTTTGATCAATGTTAGGTTGAGCTTCATATAATATTTCGACAATTTCATTATCTAAATAAGATTCACCTAAAAATGCAAATGTTTCAATGTTTTCATTAAGAGTTTCTGATGGTATTTGGTTGAAGATTTTAGATATTTGATAGTCACTTAACCCATCTAAAGTTGGTAATTGTGGTCTCTTAGGTTGAATAACTTGTGTATCTATTCTCTCTTTGTCCTGGAATTCTTCGAATGATTCCTTATTTGGTACCTCTAGTTGGATTTCATCCACATTTGATATGATTTCTGCTACTGCTGATGTACTGTGTAACCTTTGGCCAATGTTGACCCGTCGTATAACAAAAGAACCATGGAGAATTGACCTTCTTGCAATTGACTGAGCACTTTTAGGAGCTTTCCTTATGATACATCTAAGCATTTATCTTAATTGTGGCAGTTTGCATTGAAATGATAGTTTGACAGTAATAAAGTG